GGAGAAGCCAGGAGACTGGGGGAGATGAGCCCCTGGGGAAGCCGGGAGGCCGGGGCAGATGGGCCCCTGGGGAAGCCGGGAGGTCGGGGGAGATGAGCTCCTGGGGAAGTCGGGAGGTCAGGGGAGATGAGCCCCTGGGGAAGCCGGGAGGCCTGGGCAGATGGGCCCCTGCCCTGGGGATTCGGTGCCGGCCGAACACACCCACCTGCAAGCAGGATCCCCGCCAGGAGCAGCAGGGCTGGGTGTCCCGGTGGCAGCAGCATCTCTGGGGTGCGCGGGGCTGGGCCTCTGGCTGCCCGGAGCTCCGGCCACCCTGCCCAGCACCCTCTGACCAGGGCGGGGGCCGGACACAAGCTGGAGAACAGGACGTGGGAGCCGGTTGCAATGCTGCGAGGAGGAAGCCGAGGGAGGCGGGGGGGGGGGAGAAATTGGGCAATTGGGCCCAGAGCAGACCAGTCACTTCCCCTCCACTACCAGCCCTGTGGTCAGAGCTTCCCAGCCGCCCCCTGCCCCCGCAGCTGTGGGGCGGGCAGTGGGGTGCAGGGCCAGGTGTCATTTGGGGGACGGCGGCTGCAGGGGGCTTGTAGGGTGCAAGGGGGCTGGAGGACATGGGGGAATCCATGGGGCCTGCATAATTGGGTGGGGGGCTGCAGGGGGGGCATGGGAACTTGGGGGGGAAGGGATGCTGGAGCTGTGGGGGAGGAGCTGCACTATAATTAGCTGCTCCAGTTCCCCTTTTCCCACTTCCCAGTGGCTCAGCCGGACCCGCAGAGGAACAAGCGTCTCTGAGCCGGGGTACACCCCCCACCCCCGCCGGAGGGGGTGTGGCGAAGTGGGACTGTTCTTCATGTTTCCTCTGAATAGGGGGGTGCCTCAGTTTCCCCTAGGCAGTTCTTAAGTCTCTAGGGGGTGGAGTAAGGGCAGGGGTGGGCAGGGGTCTGGACACAGAGAATGGCCGACACCCTGTTTCCTGGCCACGGATGGCCTGGGCCCTTCCCCCCCTGCAAGGTGAGAGCTGAAGGGTTGGAGAACAAAGGAATCCGGTGACCTCCTGGCCCGGGAAAAGGGCAAAGCCCAGAGCAGGGGGGGCTGGGGGGAGTTTCAGTTTGGGGCTGGCTGGGACACGGAGTGAAGGGCAGACGGGGTTGTCTGGCTCACTGCCCCCCAAAATGGACCCGGCTGAGGGGTCCTGTTCTCTGCACCTACAAGCTCTGTGTTAGACCCTGTTCCTGTCGTCTAATAAACCTTCTGTGTTACTGGCTGGCTGAGAGTCACGTCTGACTGCGGAGTTGGGGGGCAGGACCCTCTGGCCGCCCCAGGACCCTGCCTGGGCGGACTCGCTGGGGGAAGCGCACGGAGGGGCAGAGGAGGCTGAAGGCTCCGAGGTCAGACCCAGGAAGGGGGAAGCCGGGTGAGCTGTGTGTCCTGCAGACAGTCCCCCCCGGCCCCACTCTAACCCACCAGCCCCCACTCCCCTTCCAGAGCCGGGGAGAGAACCCAGGAGTCCTGGCTCCCAGCCCCCACTTCCCTCCCAAAGCCAGGAAGAGAACCCAGGAGTCCTGACATGTGCACCTCCCCCACCCCCCCCCCCCCCCGCAGTGTCTCATAGGCCCAGGGCAGGGTGAGGATTTCACACAGGAAGGGCCAAAGTGTCAGCAGCTTCCTCAAATGAGCAACAGGGGGTGTTGGGGGGAGCAGAGCTGGTGGGGCCAGAGTCTCCTGCAGTGGGGCCATGAGCGGGGAGCTTCTGATGCTGATGCTGCTGCCCCTGGCGGGGGGTGAGTGCCCTGGGGCGGGACGCAGGGGGGCACAGAACTGGGGCACGGCCCATAGTCACTGGCCAGACCCGAACAGCAGGGGGTGGGGGGGGACAGGGAGGGCTGGCTGGGGGGGTGAATGGGGACTGGGCAGGGGAATGGGGAGGGGGGCACAGGGAGAGGCAGGCTGGGGCGTGGGAATGGGGCGGGGGGCACGGGGAGGGGCTGGCTGGGGCAGGAGAATGGGGTGGGGGGCACGGGGAGGGGCTGGCTGGGGCAGGGGAATGGGGAGGGGGCACGGGGAGGGGCTGGCTGGGGCAGGGGAATAGGGAGGGGGGGCACAGGGAGGGGCTGCCTGGGGCAGGGGAATAGGGAGGGGGGCACAGGGAGGGGCTGGCTGGGGTGGGGTGAATGGGGCGGGGGGCACAGGGAGGGGCTGGCTGAGGCAGGGGAATGGGGTGGGGGCACAGGGAGGGACTGGCTGGAGCAGGGGAATAGGGAGGGGGGCACAGGGAGGGGCTGGCTGGGGTGGGGTGAATGGGGCAGGGGGCACAGGGATGCGCTGGCTGGGGCAGGGGAATGGGGAGGGGGCACAGGGAGGGGCTGGCTGGGGCAGGGGAATGGGGTGGGGGTTCAGGGGCTGGGCTGGCTCTATGCAGTGTGGGTGCTGGAAGGGGTCTGGGGGCATTTGCGCCCCGCTGGCTGCGGCTGGGACCCCGGGGCCGGCCGCGGTGACGGGATTGTGTCTCTGGGGGTCTTTGCAGCGGCTGCTCAGGATCCCTGGTACCAGATAACCCAGCCCGAGTCCCTGTCGGCGCTGGCCGGGGGCTCCGTCACCCTGCCCTGCAACTTCACCTACCCCCGTGAGATCGAGCCGCTGCAGGACCTCCGGGTTTACTGGAGACTCGGGTTCCATGGCCAGTTTATCTACAATCACACCGAGAGATTCACCCGCCCGGATTACGGGGGCCGCATCGTCCTGGTCGGGGACCCACGGGGGAGCCGAACGGCCACAATCTGCATCAACCGGCTGCAGGAGTCGGACGCCGGAGAGTACGTCTGCCACATCACGGTGCGGAAGAACAATGGCCAATGGAACCAATGGCGCCATCACCCTGGGACCCAGCTCACGGTGACAGGTGAGAGGGGATGGACCGGGGGGGGCACCGCGATGCTGCGGGGGGGGGGAGAGAGAGAGCTGCTACTGGGCACAGATCCTGCACATCCAGGATCAAGGGGGGGGTCTCGCATATCCAGGGGGCAGAAAAGGGTAACAGGGACCCCCCATATCCGGAGGGCTGGGGGGGAAGGGGTCACTGCACCCTTCGAGCCAGGGAGCGGGTGGGTTTAGGGGGACAGAGTTTCCCAGGGGAGCCCGGACTCACCCGCTGTCCCCTGCTCCCTCCCCAGGGCGGGAAGCTCCCAGCCCCACGGACAGCACGTGGCACCGAGAAATGGTCACAACTAGAGCGGCGGGTGCGGGGAGAACCTGCCCCTGGTGCATCGACACCGTTCACCTCGTCCTTATCGGCCTTGTCCTGGTGCTTTCCAAGGCCGGCATCTGCTTCGTGGTCTTTGCCCTGGGCCGGCGGCGGGGCTGGGGTCACGGCCCACAGAGCGTCACCGGGCGGGTGTCCGGAAGCGACGCACCATTGGCGTCAGGATTCAAACTCACCTGCCTGGCGCAGAGCTCTCCGCCAGGCATCCCGGGGGAATGACACCGTCCAGCAGCTGTAGAATGGTTGTTATCCTCCAGCAAAATACCCGCTAGCAAGAGCAGAGCGGCATGGATAGTGTGCATGGGGGTCAGGGGGGAGTGTGGGGATAGATAGGGGGGTGGGGGATAGATAGATAGATGGGGGGGGTGACATTGCACTCCATATGCTTTTATGAAAATATGCTAATGAGTGTGAATATAATGTCGCTGGAATATGCGTCATGCAAAAGGTCCCTTGTGCGGTATCATGAGAAAGCTTGTGAGCTACGGAGTGTGGTCGTCCTGTTTGTATGAATGCATCACTCTTGTATCTGAAGCTAGAAGCATGAAGTATAACTCCGGGGTCCTACGGTACTGATGCGAAGGGTGGGCCGTTAATGGTGGTTGGGAATCTGGATGGCGCCCGTCGGCCAGGACACTTGGCTGTAGAGGGCTCTGTTTGCGGGCAGGCCTCCCTGTGAGCCAGGCCAGGAAGAACGGAGGCTTGGGGGTCTCACGGGACCTGTCACCATGTCCCCTGGTGCTGGAATCCACCTTAAACCTGGGGCTTTGCCATTGAGATGGGGGGCTGGGGACCCAGAGAGACAAAAGATTCCCGCCCTGTGCCAAAGCTATAGAAGGGGGTGGAGCAGGACAAAGGGGGCCGGTCGTGAGAAATCCCCTAGTGACCACCTGAGCCGGAACAAGGGCTGCATGTCACGGAGTCCCTAGGCGATGCTCTGGAACTGCTCCCCATGAAGCCAGTCAGGACTCTGGGGTAGTCGCCTTTCTGTGAGCAGCCTGTCTTCAGGACACACAGCTCACACAGCTTCCACCTTCCTGGGTCTGACCTCGGAGCATTCAGCATCCTCTGCCCCTCCGTGCGCTTCCCCCAGCGAGTCCGCTCAGGCGGGGCTCCTGGGGAAGCCAGAGGGTCCTGCACCCCAACTTCGCAGTCAGACGTGACTCTCAGCCAGCCAGTAAAACAGAAGGTTTATTAGATGACAGGAACATGGTCTAAAACAGAGCTTGCAGGTGCAGAGAACGGGACCCCTCAGCTGGGTCCATTTTGGGGGGCAGTGAGCCAGACAACCACGTCTGCACTTCACTCCATGTCCCAGCCAGCCCCAAACTGAAACCCCCTCCAGCCCCTCCTCCTCTGGGCTTTGTTCCTTTCCCGGGCCAGGTGGTCACCTGATTCCTTTGTTCTCCAACCCTTTAGCTCTCACCTTGCAGGGGGGGAAGGGCCCAGGCCATCAGTTGCCAGGAAATAGGGTGTCGGCCATTCTCTGTGTCCAGACTCCTGCACACACCTGCCCTCTAGGGCTCTGCAATGATCATACACCCTTACTCCACCCCCTAGATACTTAAGAACTGCCTAGGGGAAACTGAGGCACCCCCACACTATTCAGAGGAAACATTAAGAACAGTCCCACTTCGTCACATCTCTCCCCCCTTCGAGATCGAACTGAGCGGGGTCACTTTAGCCGGTGACCTGGGGAAGTTCGAAGCCACCAACGTTCCCATGGATGCCCCAGCATCTCTCCCATTCCTTGGTAGGAGTTACACCAGGCCCTTCCAGTATCACGCCCTCCCTTAGGTCAGGGGTGGTCGATAGCACTCGCAGGCCGCATGTGGGAAGGTTTATGCAGCCCATGCCCTTTGGCCACCCCAAGAATGTCTCCCCATTGACCATCACCTTCTGCTCCCACTGGAGGTCCGGGGGGCCTGGCCCCAGGAAACTCCACACAGACATATAGGTTGGGGTCAGGAGTGGGAGCCTGTCCACATCCCCAACCATCTGGCTGACGGAGTCTATGGCCTTGGGACCCAGCAAGGGAGCTAGACACCGGGGCTTTTCCGCAGGGTCCCCTTGGTTCAAATCGCCAGCCTGCCCAAAGGCAGTGGGGTGGCATCCACACCCCCCCCTCCTTAACCAGGGGCAGCAATTTAGTCTCGAGGTTCCCTGCGGAACTGGCCCCCCGGGATCTATCCCCACTCACCCCGGGGAGGTCCCCTAGGCCTCTCCGCTCCCCCACCGCCAGTTCATGCTGCTGCTGCTTCTGCAGCTCTTTCTCGGGCTCTCGCTGTCTCCCAGGGTCCTCTTGCTCTCTCAGACTCAGCTCCAATCCCGTCTGTCTCGATCCCCCGATGGGGAACCCGATCGTGAAGACTCTCGTCTGGTCGGGGACAGGAGTCTTGGCGATGTCTGGCTCCCGCTTCAGCTGCTCCCAGATCCTGATATAGCCCCAGTTGGGGTCAGGAATCTGTTCCTTAGAGCGGTCATCCTCCTCCAGCTGCACGATTAACTGTGCTTCGGTGAACTTTCCAACGCTCAACCCTCTCTTTCTGCACAGGGTTACAATGTCCTTCTTAAGGAGACGGTGACAGGCCATCACTCTGCTCCTCCCAAGTTGTTGTGGACTCACAGGCCCGTGTGTTCTCAGCTCCCCACGGTTTCCAGGGAGAACCCCTAGTGTGCCAGCCCTTCTCGAGGTCACCACCTCTTTGCCAGGGTCGAGCTGCAGACTCCTCTGCCCCTTGGACTGCTCGCTGCAATCCCCAGGGGAACCCTGTTACTGCACAGTCCTTCTCGCTGGTCACACACTCCCAGGGGTTAACCGCCCCCCGAAACCGCTCCTCTCTGAGCCTTCAGCAGGCCTGGTCCTCGGCAATCCCCCTTTGTGTTACTGCTCCCCAGTCACTTACTGCAGGAAGCACCATCCATGGGGTGCAGTACATCCCACCTCTGCCACCAGTTGTCACGGAGTCCCTGGGCGATGCTCTGGAACTGCTCCCCATGAAGCCAGTCAGGACTCTGGGGCAGTCGCCTTTCTGTGAGCAGCCTGTCTTCAGGACACGCAGCTCACTCAGCTTCCACCTTCCTGGGTCTGACCTCGGGCATTCACAACCCCCTCCCCCCCCCGGGCTCTTCCCCCAAGGCCGCCCCGGGGGGGGGGCCGCGGGGGGGGGAGGGGGCCCCCCCCCCCCCCCCCGGCAAGACGACACGCACCCCCCCAGACAAAAGAAGAATTATTTTTTTAGAAGAACACGGAGACATAGCCTAGCACGGGGGAGACGGGGGCCGACCGGGGGGGCCCCGCCGGGGGGGGGGGGGGGGGGGACCAACGACCCACCCCACCCCCCCCCCCCCTCCCCCCCCCCCCCCCCCCCCCCCCCACCCCCCCCCCCCCCTCCCCCCTTCTCTGTTCCTTTCCTTGGGGGGGGGGGTTGTGGTCTCCCCCCTTCCCTTTTCCCCTCCCCCGGGCGGGGCCTGGGCGGGCGGGGGGCGGGGCCTGGGGGGCGCGGGGGGGGGGGGCGAGGCCCTGTGCCTCTCTCCCTCCCCCCGCCCCCCCCCCCCCCTCCGGTTTTCAATGATCATACACCCTTACTCCACCCCCTAGATACTTAAGAACTGCCTAGGGGAAACTGAGGCACCCCCACACCATTCAGAGGAAACATTAAGAACAGTCCCACTTCGTCACACTGCACCAGGGGGAAGCTTTGGGCCCAGACGAGGAAGGAGGCCGGTCTGCGAAGAAGCTTATTGGAGCATCTCGGGTTTTATCTGTAATCCGTTTCCTACTGTATTAGGCTTAGACGTGCGTGTTTTTGTTTTATTTTGCTTGGTCACTTACTCTGTTCTGTCTGTTATTACTTGGAACCACTTAAATCCTACTTTTCATACTTAATAAAATCACTTTTGCTTATCAATTAACCCAGAGTAAGTAATTAATACCTGGGGCAGCAAACAGCTGTGCATCTCTCTCTATCAGTGTTACAGAGGTTCCGACAGTTTATGAATTTACTCCATATAAGATTTATACAGAGTAAAACGGATTGATTTGGGGTTTGGGTCCCATTGGGAGTTGGGTGTCTGGGTGCTGGAGACAGGAACACTTCTTAAGCGGCTACTCAGTTAAATCTGCAGCTTTGGGGGCGTGGACCAGACCCGGGGTCCATGATTGCCGCAGGCTGGCGTGTCTGGCTCAACAAGGCAGGGGTCTGGAGTCCCAAGCTGGCAGGGAAAACGGGCTCCGAGGTAATTTCAGCACGTCGGGTGACAGTCCCAAGGGGGTCTCGGTGACCCCACCCGTCACAGGGTGGATGGGGATAGCTAGATAGATAGCAGATGTGTATGGGATGGACAGACAGACAGCTACTCTCTCTGTGTCCCGCATGAGGCCTTTGCAGAAGCCCTGCATTCAGTGACACGCACGTAACTCGCCTCGTGCCCACCCGTCTGATTGAAGCCGCCCCCCTCCCGCTTGGTCCAGCTCTGCCTCCCGCTCCCATCCCCCGCAGCGCTTGGGAATCTCCCAGAATGCACTGCAGGGGCGCTGGTACCCTGCCCCCACCAGCAAAGAACGCGGTGGCGGGAGGGGGGTGCAGGGAGGTGGCGTCAGCCCCCGCCCTGCTGCTGTTACCGAATAAAGCGCCCGCCCCCGGCCGAGAGAGCGGATCAAGCAGCCTGTTTATCTGTAGGACCTACAGGAACGGGGGGGGGCCTTGCAGAGAGCGGTCTTGCCCCCGTGCTTTTGGGCCCCGGGAAAGGGCGGGCGGGCAGCTGGCCGACAGACAGAAAGCGACGGACGGACGCTCAGCGCTGCGGCGGGGTGAAGCCGGCCACCACCACAGGACACAACACGGCAGGAGCATCTTCACACCCCGGGGCCAGGGCAGGAAACCACCGCTGCTGAGGCCCTGCTCTGAAGCGGACCCAGGTGTTCGGGGCTGGGGGCGGGGCAGCTGGCACCTCCCAGGAACTGGGGCGAGATCATCCCCTGCGAGCCGGGGCCCCTCACACCCCGGGTGCCACAGAGGGGTGGGGAATCGGCTTCTCCGGGCGTCGCACGAGGGCATGAAAGTGCGACCCTGGCCTGGCACCGGGAGGGGACGGCTCTCACGGTCTCTTGGAGGAACTGTCAGTGGGGCCAGACCCCCGAGGGGTCTCCCCCTTCCTCCAGGGTGGGCTTCACCGCCTCCTCAGGCCTGCAGCCCCCAGCCCCTGCTCCCGGTCCCGAGCTTTGGTCCCAGGCAGACGGACCCTGGGGGCGCCTGGCCCGCGGGGCAGGGATCAACGCCCCTCGCCCGGCCTTTGCAGTGACATTCACACGCCGCTGTCGGACCAGCCGGGTTTATTACCGAATAAAGCACCCGCCCCCCGGCCAAGAGAGCGGATCAAGCAGTCTGTTTCTCTGTAGGACCTACAGGAACGGGGCGGGGGGGCTCGCAGAGACCGGTTCTTCCCCCCCAAGCGGTTTATCTGTGGGGAACAGAGAGGTTCAGCCCAGCCCGTCTGGGTTACCCAGAGCCCGGCCAGGCTCAGTTCTCGGCTCTCCGGCTGCGCCCACCCGGCCGGCTCCCTGCGGGCGGGGGCCATTCGTGGCCGCTTGGTGCTAGGTACCAAATGTCCCGGTGACTGGCTTTGCCATTGTCTCCAGAGACCCGAGACAGCCAGGCGCCGGTTCCCTGTGTCGGGCCCAGCTCGAGAGCGAGCCCCTTTTCCAACCCCAGTATAGGGGAAACTGAGGCACACACAGTCTTCATAGAAAACGTTACAGAAAATTCCCATCCTGTCACAATGGCTCCGGGGCGGGCGGCACCAGGAGGGGTCAGCTCCAGCCGTGGGGTCCCGCGCGTGGCACGCGGGGTGGACAGCGTCCTGTCTTCGCAGAGCAGGGGACGGTCCCTCAAGCTTTGCGGTGGGCCGAGTCCCGAGGGGAAGGAAGCCAGTGTCAGGTCCTGTGACGGCGGCCCGGGCACTGCTCCTCATGCCCCTGCACCCAGCGTGTGGCCCTGCTCTGCCCCGGGCCCTGACCCGTGTCCCGGCCAGGCTGGGGGGGCAGTGGGGGGGGCAAGGGGCCCCCGTGGGCTCTTGCGCTGGGCTGGGGGGTGAAGTAGTCCAAGTTGATGAGCACGTAGGGGGTGGAGAAAGAGTTGTGCTGGCCCGGCAGCCCCTGCTGCACCCACAGAGCCATGGGGGTCTCCTGGTGATGCAAGAAGAGCATTAGGGAGGGGGACCTGCCCCATGTACCGCTCCCCCTAGGGCAGAGCCCCCCACTGCACCCTGCCAGAAACCCCAGACACCTGCGGAGTCCTGCCCCCCACTGAGACTACAACTCCCAGCATGCAATGGAAGCCGAGCTGGGGGCTGCCATGGAGCAGGGCATCCCGCTGCACCATGGGATACGTAGTCCCAGGGGTTGCCGTGCTGGATGCTCCCGAGGCCAGGGTCTGTGTGCTGGGGGGCTCAGGCCGCAGCCCGGACCCCGTGCCCCACGGGGGCCCTGCAGGGCCCAGGCGGTGGGGGCAGGGCAGGGGTGGGTCTGAGCCGAGCGGCAGGCGAGGAACTGAAACCAGGGGCGGTTTCCTGTTCAGTGATGCTGCTGTTGATGTTTCTCAGCAGGCGTCGAGGGTGACACAGGGTGAACAGATGTGGGGGCTGGGCCCAGCTGCTCTGTCGAGTCCCGGGGCAGGGGGTGGCTAATGCCCATGCCCCTGCCCCCCACGTGGGCTGGCTGGTACTGATCCCATTGCAACCCAGGGGCTGGCTTCACAGTCCCCTCTGCCCCATGGAGGACTGGCCACAGGGCCCTCACTGCCCCAGGCCAGGAGACAATGTGCACGAGGTGTCCCCCCCACCCCATCGGGTCCCCCAGTCCCATCCCACCCCCCAGCCCTGTGGAGAGCAAGGCAGGGTCACCTGAGAGCTGGACAGGCCGGGGTGGGGATGAGAGCCCTTCAGCTTCCTAGAGACAAATAGAGGGGGTACAGTGAGAGAGTGGGGAGAGAACCCAGGAGTCCTGGCACCCAGTCCCCCCGCTCTAACCCCCCGAGACCCCCCTCCCCTCCCAGAGCCAGGAAGAGAACCCAGGAGTCCTGGCACCCAGTCCCCACCCTCCCCCTGCTCTAACCCCCGAGACCCCCCTCCCCTCCCAGCACTGGGGGGAGAACCTAGGAGTCCTGGCTCCCAGCCCCCCCGTTCTAACCCCTGAGACCACCCTCCCCTCTCAGAGCCGGGGAGAGAACCCAGGAGTCCTGGCTCCCAGCCACCCCCCAAAGGCAGGTGTGTCCAGTCCCCTCCCCTGCTGTGGGGGTTGCTGGCATCGGGGCAGGGGGTCGCTGTCTCCTACCTCCGCCTCCTTGTCCACTCCCGCAGGAGGTACCCCAGCAGCAGGACGCTCCCCAGCAGGAAGACGCCCGCGGCCCCCAGGGTCCCCAGCACGTCGGCGCGCAGGAAGGCGCGGCCCAAGGAGTGGGGGGCCGGGGAGGGGTCAGCGGCTGCGGGAGAGGGAGATGGATTGGAAAGCGTCCAGGGATGGAGAGCATCCAACCATCCCTCCAACTCTCCCTCCGCACCCCGCTTCCATCTGTCCCCATCCCACTTCCATCCTTCCCTCCCTCCGTACCCCACTTCCAACCCCCCAACCATCCCCCACACCCCACTTCCAACCCTCCATCCATCCCTCCGCACCCTGCTTCCATCCTTCCCTCCGCACCCCGCTTCCATCCTTTCCTCCCTCCGCACCCCACTTCCAACCCTCCATCCATCCCCCCACACCCCACTTCCAACCCTCCATCCATCCCTCCGCACCCTGCTTCCATCCTTCCCTCTCTCCACACCCCACTTCCAACCCTCCCTCCTTCCCTCCGCAGCCCGCTTCCATCTATCCCCACCCCACTTCCATCCCTCCCTCTGCAGCCCGCTTCCATCTGTCCCCACCCCACTTCCATCCCTTCCTCCCTCTGCACCCCACTTCCATCCCTCCCTCTGCACCCCGCTTCCATCTGTCCCCACCCCGCTTCCATCCCTCCCTCCCTCTGCACCCCACTTCCAACCCTCCATCCATCCCCCCACACCCCACTTCCAACCCTCCATCCATCCCTCCGCACCCTGCTTCCATCCTTCCCTCTCTCCACACCCCACTTCCAACCCTCCCTCCTTCCCTCCGCAGCCCGCTTCCATCTATCCCCACCCCACTTCCATCCCTCCCTCTGCAGCCCGCTTCCATCTGTCCCCACCCCACTTCCATCCCTCCCTCCCTCTGCACCCACTTCCATCCCTCCCTCTGCACCCGCTTCCATCTGTCCCCACCCCCTTCCATCCCTCCCTCCCTCTGCACCCCACTTCCAACCCTCCATCCATCCCCCCACACCCCACTTCCAACCCTCCATCCATCCCTCCGCACCCTGCTTCCATCCTTCCCTCTCTCCACACCCCACTTCCAACCCTCCCTCCTTCCCTCCGCAGCCCCTTCCATCTATCCCCACCCCACTTCCATCCCTCCCTCTGCAGCCCTTCCATCTGTCCCCACCCCACTTCCATCCCTCCCTCCCTCTGCACCCCACTTCCATCCCTCCCTCTGCACCCCCTTCCATCTGTCCCCACCCCGCTTCCATCCCTCCCTCCCTCTGCACCCCACTTCCAACCCTCCAACCATCCCTCCACACCCCACTTCCATCCCTCCCTCTGCACCCCACTTCCAACCCTCCAACCATCCCCCCACACCCTGCTTCCATCCTTCCCTCCCTCCGCACCCCACTTCCAACCCTCCATCCATCCCTCCGCACCCCACTTCCAACCCTCCCTCCCTCCCTCGCAGCCCCGCTTCCATCTGTCCCCATCCCGCTTCCATCCTTTCCTCCCTCCACACCCCACTTCCAACTCTCCATCCATCCCCCCACACCCCACTTCCAACCCTCCATCCATCCCTCCGCACCCTGCTTCCATCCTTCCCTCTCTCCACACCCCACTTCCAACCCTCCCTCCCTCCCTCTGCAGCCCACTTCCATCTATCCCCACCCCACTTCCATCCCTCCCTCCACTCCATCTGTCCCCACCCCCACTTCCATCCCTCCCTCTGCAGCCCGCTTCCATCTGTCCCCACCCCACTTCCATCCCTCCCTCCCTCTGCACCCCACTTCCATCCCTCCCTCTGCACCCCGCTTCCATCTGTCCCCACCCCGCTTCCATCCCTCCCTCCCTCTGCACCCCACTTCCAACCCTCCATCCATCCCCCCACACCCCACTTCCAACCCTCCATCCATCCCTCCGCACCCTGCTTCCATCCTTCCCTCTCTCCACACCCCACTTCCAACCCTCCCTCCTTCCCTCCGCAGCCCGCTTCCATCTATCCCCACCCCCACTTCCATCCCTCCCTCTGCAGCCCGCTTCCATCTGTCCCCACCCCACTTCCATCCCTCCCTCCCTCTGCACCCCACTTCCATCCCTCCCTCTGCACCCCGCTTCCATCTGTCCCCACCCCGCTTCCATCCCTCCCTCCCTCTGCACCCCACTTCCAACCCTCCAACCATCCCTCCACACCCCACTTCCATCCCTCCCTCTGCACCCCACTTCCAACCCTCCAACCATCCCCCCACACCCTGCTTCCATCCTTCCCTCCCTCCGCACCCCACTTCCAACCCTCCATCCATCCCTCCGCACCCCACTTCCAACCCTCCCTCCCTCCCTCTGCAGCCCGCTTCCATCTGTCCCCATCCCGCTTCCATCCTTTCCTCCCTCCACACCCCACTTCCAACTCTCCATCCATCCCCCCACACCCCACTTCCAACCCTCCATCCATCCCTCCACACCCTGCTTCCATCCTTCCCTCTCTCCACACCCCACTTCCAACCCTCCCTCCCTCCCTCTGCAGCCCACTTCCATCTATCCCCACCCCACTTCCATCCCTCCCTCTGCAGCCCGCTTCCATCTGTCCCCACCCCACTTCCATCCCTCCCTCCCTCTGCACCCCACTTCCATCCCTCCCTCTGCACCCCGCTTCCATCTGTCCCCACCCCGCTTCCATCCCTCCCTCCCTCTGCACCCCACTTCCAACCCTCCAACCATCCCCCCACACCCCACTTCCTACCCTCCAACCATCCCCCCACACTCTGCTTCCATCCTTCCCTCTCTCCACACCCCACTTCCAACCCTCCATCCATCCCCCCACACCCCACTTCCAACCCTCCATCCATCCCTCCGCACCCTGCTTCCACCCTTCCCTCTCTCCACACCCCGCTTCCAGCCCTCCCTCCCTCCCTCCCCACCCACTCTGCCCCCGCCCGCCCCACGCACCGGGCTCCGGGACCAGGACCGGGAGGCACTGCTCCGACACGCCCGAGGGGAAGGTGGAGAACTTGCAGCAGTAACGGGTGCCGTTGTGCTGAAGGTCCAGGCTGGGCACCGTGAGTCCCACCTGCCTGTCGTCGGACACGTTGGTGACCCACAGGCGGCCCTGGACCGCGGGGAGCACGTGGGCCCCGTGCGTGGGGTGCATCACGGCCAGGTCCTCACGGCTCCGGTTCTGCCCCCAGCGCCACCAGCTCACCAGGGTGATGTGCTCCTGGCCCAGGAACTTGCAGTGAAGCTGCAGGGGGGACCCCAGGGCCATGGGGTCCTCGGCCCAGAGCTTCAGCCCTGCCTTGCTGGTCCCTAGTGGGGAGAGAGGAGGGGGGGGTTAGACCCCCTCAGAACCACTGGTCCCCCAGGCTCCCAGCCCCCCATCCTGCTCTAACCCACCAGCCCCCACTCCCCTCCCAGAGCCGGGGACAGAAACCAGGCGTCCTGCCACCCAGCCCCCCCTGCTCTAACCCACCAGCCCCCACTCCCCTCCCAGAGCCGGGAAGAGAACCCAGGCGTCCTGCCACCCAGCCCCCCTGCTCTAACCCACCAGCCCCCACTCCCCTCCCAGAGCCGGGAGAGAACCCAGGAGTCCTGGCTCCCAGCCCCCCCTGCTCTAACCCACCAGCCCCCACTCCCCTCCCAGAGCCGGGGACAGAACCCAGGCGTCCTGGCTCCCAGCCCCCCCCCCCAGCTCTAACCCCCAGCCTTCACTGCCCTCCCAGGGCTGGGAGAGAACCCAGGCGTCCTGGCTCCCAGCCCCCTGCTCTGACCGGTGTCCAGGCAGTGGCCGAGGAGCAGGGCCACGAGCAGGAAGCCGCCGGGCCAGGCCATGGCACCGCGGGAGCTCAGAGAACAGCAGTTGCAGCTTTCGCTTCCCCCCTCGCTGGCAAACAGGAAAGCGTCACCTCCCACGCGCGCCCCGGGGCCCTGCCGCGCCAGCCCCACGTCTCTGGCCTCAGAGACAGGCCGGCCGGGGGGACACACGCCCGGCCCCGTGCCAGGCAGGCGAGCCGCAGGTCACCGGGGTCACGCCTGCCTCGCCCCAGCCGGCGTGCCCAGCTCCCGGCGAGGGCGCCATACCCCTCTGTGCTGCTCGGGGACACACACACACACACACACACAGAGCCCAGACCCACACCCCAATGCTCCACACTCCACAATGCAACAAGCAGACAGGTTCCTAGCAAACACCCACAGACACACTGCAGCCCCACCCCACCCCCCAGCGAGATCCACACAATTTGCAATGCAACACACCCCAGCTCCACAAAGCACCAGGCGGGCAGCTCCAGCACCCCCCCTCCACGCACCCCAGAGCCACGCAACACGCCAGGTGCTGGGGACACCCCGCACTGCCAAGCAGCCACCAGAAACACCCACAACAAACTCACAACGCTGCTCAGCGCCCCGTACGCACGCAATGGGTGCACCCAGCCACGGGGACGCAGCCTCTCCGCGTCGGGGGTTGGGTGGGTTTCATATTGGGGTCTCCGAGCCCCCACCCCCAAATGTCCCCCTCACAGCCCAGGGCACCCCCCCACACGTCACGAAAGCCCCTCTGTTTTCAGTCATGTTTTTATTGGACTGAACTGGCAAAGGAGGGGTGGGGGGTCCAGAGTCAGCAGCCAAGCCCAGTGCATGGTGGGATAGTGAAACCTGGTGCATTGTGGGATGGTCAAGGTACAGCAGGTGCATGGTGGGATGGCCAAGCCCAGTGTATTGTGGGATGGCCAAGCCCCATGCACTGTGGGAAGGCCACGCCCGGTGCACGGTGGAAATAACTGGAAGAAAGGGCAAGTTGGCTGTAACGAAAATGGATCCGAAGCTAGGAATTGTAGAAAATTGATAAGGGAAGCGAAGGGACACCTGGAGAAATCCGTGACCAGCAGAGTTAAGGACAAAGAAAGGTGTTTTTAAAAGTACATTAGGAACAAAAAGAAATTCTGAGAATGGTATGGGTCCATTACAAGAGGGAAACGGTAGAATTATCATCAGCAATAATGCAGAGACGGCAGAAGTGTTTAATAATTTTCTCTGTTCTGTATTTGGGAAAAACGGATAACATCATCATGTCACATGATTGCTTAATTTAGATTGATTCTAGTCAGGCTTTTGGCATGCCAGGCTCGTACACAAACCAGGGAAACGTGATCTAGAGCCAGTTGCAAAGAGTCGTTGTCAAAGGTTTGTGGTCAAACTGGGGTCCCACAGGGGGTCAGTCTTGGGTCTGTCCGATACCTTCATTAAAGGAGTGGGGCGGGGGCGGGAGCACTTTGCAGGACAGGGTCCGAATTCAAAACCACCGTGACCAGCTGGGAGAATCAGTCTGAAGTCCACAAGATTCAGGTCAGTCAAAGCCAGGGCAAGGAACGGCAGGCGGGAAGGAAAATCAAACGCACCGGCGGTGAGGTGGCCGTCGGGCTGGGGCAGATGACAGGCTGCATAGGAGCGAACAGGGAAAGGCAGGGTGGCGCAAAGGGTCACTTTGCTCGGGGCGCAGGGAGGCTATTTGAATCGGGTAGCCAGGAAGGCCTGGGTGATCCCAGGCCTGATGCTAAAGACGCTTCCCAGGCCAGCGAGGGGAGCGGCCGACGCAGGAGTCGGGGGACAAAGGATCACGGGGGCCAGTCCGCGTGGGTGTGTGGAAAACAGATCCCGGCTGTTTGTGCGGAGAGCACGGGCTGGGCGGCGAACGGCTGGAACAGCTGTCGGCGTGGCTAACGAGCGCCGTGTCAAACGAGCCCCGGCCCCGCGGCCTGTGGCTGAGAAGCTGGCTCCCGGAGAAGCCTCCCCACGGAAGGGTAAATGGGACCCGGCGTGGAGCAAGCCCAGCAGGCAACGTCAGCCCCCCCCACGCAGAAGACCCAGAAATGGGGGGGGGGGGGGCGTGAATTCAGTCCAGGGACCGGAACCCCTTGGGTCAGACAAACCCACGGCAGCCCCCCGGGAGCTCTGGTGTGGCCACGGGCAGAGACCGCGGGGCCCCCAGGGGCCTGGGACCCGGCCAGGCTGGGGGGGTGAGATGGGCCCAGAGGATCTAGCAGATGCCCTGCCCCACAGGTTACTAAGCTGGGGGGGGGGGGGGGATCCCTTCCCTGCCACCAGCCCGGCACCCCAGCTCGTGCGAGCCAGCCGGATGGCGTGTGAGTGCACGAGGAGGGTGTGGGGTGAGCCCCACAGCTCTTTCCTACACCCCCCCAGCCCCTCTCTGGGGGGGGGGTCGCAGCCCCAAGCGGAAGGACCCTCCCCTGCTCCCCCCCTCCCCGAACCAGAGAGTGGGGCAAGGCCAGGCCCACCCTGCAGCCAATCGCCTCGCTCCCCATGGGCCAGCCCTCCATGACATCACAGCTCAGTCCTCCATGACATCACTGTAGGGCGGGAAGTGGGGGGGGAAAGCAGGGCTGCAACAGGCCCCTCCCCCACCAGGACATAGAGGGGGCAGTGGCTAAGCCCCCCCCCAGCCCATGACCCCAGCCCCCTCTAATTCTTCATCCCTGCCCCCCTCCAGGGGCCCAGCCCCCTGCCCTGTGGGGGTCCCTGCGCTGTCCCCCTGCCTGGGACCCCCAGGCTGCAGCCCCCCCTTCCCGCCCCACTATGAGGTAACAGGCCCTGGGTGCTGCCTCCCAGCGGGACCCCCCACAGCCGTGGGGCTGCCCCCCAAGACAGAAGCTGCTGCCCGCCATGCCCTGCGACTCCTGCCAGCGCTTGGGCGACGCCATGCTGGCGGTCCTGGGGCTGCTGGTTATGGGGTGTGTGGGGCTCAACACGACCAGCCTGGTGAGAGTCCGGGGGGCCAGTGGGAACCCCCCCCAGCCAGTTAGCCCCCAGCAGAGCCCCCCCGCACTTAGGGCATGGACCTTGGCGTCCGGGCCCAATCCCAGCTGGGACCATTCCCAAGAAATACCCCCATGGTGGGACACTGGGCAGGGGGGCTGCTGTGGGGGGCAGGGGGAGCCAGTGAGGCTGCAAGGGGGGATCCTGGGTTGGGGGGGAAGACACCTGGTGGGGGTGAACTAAGGGTGGGAATATGGGCTGGGTCTGAGAGTGGGGGACACCGGGCTGGGGGGGGGCTGGGTCTGAAGGGGGGTGGAAGAGGTCAGGGGGAGCAAGTGGGTCTGATCCATTTCCCCCCCACCCCCAGCTCTGGCTGCACCTGAGACCCCTTGTCCAGCATCTGCTCCGCCTTCTCACCCCAAAATGTGAGTCAAGTGCAGCGAGCTGGGGCAGGGGGACAGGGCCCCCCTTCTCCCAGCATCCTCCAGGGCAGGACCCCCCTTCTCCCAGCACCCCCTGACACGGGAACCCTCCTTCTCCCAGCATCCTCTGAGGCAGGACTCCCCTTCTCCCAGAATCCTCTAAGGTGGGGACCCCCCCCTTCTCCCAGCATCCTCCGGGGCAGGGACCCCCCCTTCTCCCAGCATCCTCTGGGGCAGGACCCCACTTCCACCAGAATCTTCCAGGGTGGGGACCCCCCTTCTCTCAGAATCCTCTGGAGTGCAAACCCCCCCACCCTGCTTTCTCCCAGCGTCATCCACGGCCTGACCCCCATTTCTCCCAGCATCCTCGAGGGCAGGGACCCCCCTTCTCCCAGCATCCTCCAGGGTTGTGGGGGGGACAGGACACTGAGCCACAGGCTCCCACAATCCCCTGGGGTGGGGGGGGACACATGAGGCTGGTGGGGGGCTGACACTCCCTTTCTCTCCCCCTGTAGTGGACGCGGGGAGCAGATCGACTGCCTCCCCGGCCAGGCCCTGCACCCCCCAGCAGTGCCAGGAGCTTGGGGGGCCTCCAGCCCCCCGAAGGCCAGCCAAAGACCCTGCCCGGGGGCCCATCTCAGCTCCCGACGCCCCCCAGCCGGCACCCCCCCCGGCCTGGAGATGGAGGAGCCCTGGGCACGTCCAGCCACACCGCCCAGCCTGGGTGGCCACGCGGCCCCCCGCCCCGCCCACCGTGCCTGCATCTGTGTGTGCCCCCTGCCCCAGAGCCCTGGCTGGACCCCACTGCCCCCCAGCCCAGGCGGGGTCACCTCCGAGAGCTGGCAGGGGGACTTCACCGGGGAGGGGGTCCCTGTGTACCCCCCAGCCCCTCCTTTGCCTGCTGGAACCGGGATGGCTCGGGGGTTCTGCGCTAGCCCCCCCACAGGGACAATAAAACGCGGAGCGTGGAGGGGCTGGGGGTGACTCTCTGAGAAGGGGTGAACCCCCCAATGCCACCCAGAACCACAGGCAGCCCCGCCCCAGGGGCAATGGGGGGAGGAGTGGGGCCGCTGGACCTGGCCCCTGTGAGCTGAGTTTGGGGGCTACCCAGCCCTGCCCAAGGGGAGAGAAGCTCCTGCCTCATGGTGATGGCAGAGGGACCCCCAACAGGGGAGATCTGGGGGGCAGGGCAGGGCTGAGCAGCCTGGGGGGAAGCTCTCCCCAACCACCTCCATTCCCAGCCCCCTACCTTCAGCCCCAGCGCTCAGCTCCCCTGCGACGGGCACTGACCCCTGCCTGGCTCCGCGACACCGGATCCGCGTGAGGGGGCAGAGCACGTGTGCCCAGCCCTGCCCCACTGCAGCACTGGGCCACTACCTGGCTGTGCCCCACGACCCCAGGGCTGCGAGGGAGAGGGCAGAGCAGAACTCCTGGGTTCCCTGGAGGGAGAGAAAGGCCCCATGCGAGCAGGGGGGGTGGGGGGGCCAGGACTCCTGGGTTTCCTGGAGGCAGAGAAAGGGCCCGTGCGAGCGGGGGGGTGGGAGGGGGGCCAGGACTCCTGGGTTCCCTGGAGGCAGAGAAAGGGCCCGTGGGAGTGGGGGCGACGCCAGCAGAGATGAGGGCAGAGCTGGTTTATTGGGAGTTCACGGGTTTATACCGCGGTATTTACAGCTATGTACACGGGGGCAGCCCCCTTTTCACCCCCCCACTCCACCCCAGCCAGGTCCTGCAGGTGAGTGCTGCTCTGTTAGCCTCTTGCGCCCCCCGCTGGCCTTTGCTGCTGCTGCAGCTGCCCCACATGCCACAGGGGGGCTGGGGTCAGATCCCCCCACACACCACTGACTCCAGGCCCGGGGCCACCATGGCCGCGGGGGTGTCCCTGTGGGTGGGGCCAGCTGCTGAGACTCTGCCCCACCCCACCAGCCCTGCCCAAAGGGGCGGAGCCATGGCAGGGCCGGCGAGGTCACTGGGAGGGCTGAGGCGACCCGGCCACGCCCCCCTGCGCCCCATTGGCCTTGCCGAAGGGGCTGGGGGTGCCGGGCGGGGCTTGGGGGCTGTCACCGGGCTCCTGCTTGATGGTGGAGGTGCCAATGGGGGGCGCCAGGCCGGGCAGCGCCAGCCCCGGTGGGGCTGAGGGGGAGAGCTGGGTCCCAGGGGCCCCTCCGGCTTTGCCCCCCTCACCCGGGGGCGGCAGCGAGACCACGATGTACTTCTGCAGGCTGCCCGTCACCGTGGCGCTGGGCGCCGTCTGGGCCGTGGAGACCAGCTTCACCACGGGCTGCACCCCGGCCGCCGTGGTGCTGATGGGGGAGCTGGCCGTGCCCAGGGGGCTGCTGCTGAAGGTGATCACCTGCGAACGACAGGCACGGGGGTTCAGCGGCCCCCAAGCACCCCTGCCGGGGGGGACAGGCCCACGGGGAAGCTGGGGTCCCTGAGGCCCACCGGTCCCCCCACGCCAGCCTGCCCCCCAGGACCCACCCAGGGCAGCGTGGGGGAGCCCCACCCTCCCCCACACTGCCCAGGCCAATCCACCCCAATGGCAGCATTGGGGAGCCTCCCCTCCCCCCATGCCAGCCTACCCCCCCAGGGCGGCTGATCCTGATAGGCGGGACACCAGGCAGCTCCGAGAGGGGGGATCTGGAGGGGAGGATGCGGGGGCCGAGGAGCAGCGCAGGCTGGGCAGGCAGCTCCCCGGCGACCCTGCTCGACACCCCGGCTAAGGGCAGGAGCCTGCCAGCCCCCGGCAGCGGGGAGCCTGGGGGGCGTGGCTGCAGTGGCAGAGCCGGGCTGCGGAGAGGGGAAACCGAGGCAGGGGTGGCGCAGGGCCGCGGCTGGCCACGGCGCTGGAGCAGAGACGTCGTGCCCCCCTCAGCCCCCTACCTGCTGGGAGGTGCTGCTGCCGGAGGCGGAGGACATGACAATGTACTTGGTGGGGGGCGGGGAGGGCTGGGTGGGGGTGGAGGGGCGGCCGGACACCAGGGTCTGCACGGGCAGCGTGATGGAGCTGGGCACTTTGATGATGCTCGGGGCCCGCGGGGGGCCCTGGGGGGCCTGCGACAGGGTCAGCGTCGGGCGGGGCTGCCGGGGGGAGACGGACAGACACAATCAGACAAACCCACCCCAGCACCCCCCCACCTCCCAATACGGGGCTCAGCCCCACAGCCTTCTCCCTGGCAGTGGCCAAGGGAACCCCCCCTCCTTCTGCCCCACCACAAACCCACGGGCCTCCCCGCCACAGACTCTCAGGAGCCTGCCCCTCCTAGGTCCCTCCCCACTGACCTCTGTCCCCTTCACCTGGATGCCCACCCCAGAATCAGCTCCCTGCCCCCCAGTGACATCCTCTGCCCCCAGACTCACGGTTCCAGCCCCCAGGCAGCTGCCCGTTCTCCCCAGAGCCAGGTATCCACCCCCAGAGCAGGCCAGCTGCCCGCCCCCTCCCAGAGCCAGCTGCCCCCGTACCTGCGTGATGGTGAGGGTGGTGCGGTTGACCTGCTGGGCCTGCATGGCCGCCTGGGCCCGGGCTTTCACCACGTGGGTGCAGAGCAGGGAGCCCAGGGAGCCGTAGTCGGCCTTGTACGAGTCCTGGTTGTCGGGCGGCGGGCGGACCTTGGCCAGCACTGGGGCGCAGTGCTTCTGCGGGGCAGGCAGAGGGCAGAGGTGAGCGGGAACCGGCAGGCCGAGGGAGAGCGGCAGGGAAGGAGATGTGGAGTGGGAGGGGCCCAGGAGAAAGGGGCGGAGCCTCATGGACTGGGCGGGGCCAGAGAGAAAGGAGCCAACCCAGGAAGTAGGAGGGGCCCCAGGGAAGCTGAGAGCAGGAGGGGAGCTAAGTTGCAGCCCCAAATGCGGCAGGCCAGGCCCCCCATCCCCAGCACTCACCAGCAGCAGACTCTGGACGTGGTCGGCCCCGATCTTATCGATGTTGCTGACAACCGGCCCCTCCACGATGCCGCGCACCCGCTCGCCCTCCACCTGCAGCCGCGGCAGGATCAGGGTCTTGATCACCTGGGGAGAGGAGCTGTCAGCTGGGAGGCCACCCCCCACCCTACCCCCACGCCTCCCAGCATGCCCCAGGCTCCATCCCCCACCCCCAACAGGCCCCAGGGCCCCCCTCCCCCTCGCGTGCCCGGGGTCTCACTCACGTCGTGGCCCAGCTCGGCCAGCCCCGCGATGGAGCCGTACCGCGTGGTCCAGGGCGTCTTCTCGTCCACCCAGCTCTGCGGGGACAAAGGCAGGGTGAGTCCTGCGCCCCCAGGCCCCGCCCCCTCTCTCCAAGCCCCACCCCCCCTTCCCAAAGGGCCTGGGGATGCAGGCGTGGATGTTGGTGGCACGAGGCCCCACCCCCACCTTGGTGATGCAGGACTGGATGGTGGTGGTGCTAGGCCCCGCCCCATCTCCCCAAGCCACGCCCCTCTCCCCAGGCCCCGCCCCACCTTGGTGAAGGTCTTGGTGATACAAGACTGGATGGTGTTGGTGGTGGTGCTAGGCCCCGCCCCAGGCCCCGCCCACCTTGGTGAAGGTCTTGGTGATGCGGGACTGGATGTTGTTGGTGGTGGTGCTGAAGTTCTTGCAGATCTGGGCGATGAGGCGGGCGGCGAAGTCCCGCAGGGCCCAGTGATTGTCCACGTCCGGCCGCAGGCAGAGCTGCCGGCTCACGATACAGGTCATCACTGCTGGGATCAGCTCGTGCAGCTGGGGGGTGGGGGGCAGTGGGATAGGGGTTAGCCGCCATCCGCCTGGCCAGGACCCAGACCCTCCCTCCCCATGCCCAACAGGGCTCGCCGAGGGAAGAGAACCCAGGAGTCCTGGCTCCCAGCCCCGCCCCCCCTTAGAGCTGAGCCAGGGCGGCCACTCACGTATTTCTCCAGGTACAGGGTGGGGTTGTCCATCAGCGCCTTCACCATCCGCATCAAGTAGATGAGCAGCGCCAGGTTATTCTGCACCACATTCACACGCACCTGGGGGGAGACCTGGTCAGGGGTACGGAGCTGGGGGGCTCGCCCACCCCCACACCGGGCCCCCCAGCCTACAGGGGACAGATGGGTCAGGGGTCACAGCCTGGGAGCTCAGCCCACCCCCACACGGGGCCCCCCAGCCTACAGGGCAGACACGGGCCAGGGGTCACAGCCTGGGGGGCTCAGCCCAGCGCCCCACAGGCCCCCCCAGCCTAGAGGGGACAGACGGGGGTCAGGGATCACACCCGGGGGGCTCAGCCCGGCCCCTGCCTTACCCCTTCGGAGATGAAGGTACTGAAGCGCGGTAACATCTGGTAGAGTCCGGGGTCGGTGGCAATGCTCTGCAGGGCCTCCTGGGGGTGGGGCAGAGAGAGAGTGGCCCGTCAGCGCTGGGGGGTCTGGGGCAGGGGCCCTGTGCGCACAGGGGAAGGGCACACGCAGGCCCGGGGGGGTATGCGGGGGGCACTCACGGCTCTCTTGGCCTCGCAGGACCCCACGCAGGCCTCCGTGATCTCCTTGTAATAAAGCTGCTGCTCCACAGACAGCTCGTGGATGCTTCGCCGTTTCAGCTTCAGCGGGGCCCCCTCCAGCACGGGGGCCTTCTTCTCCTTCCCTGGGGGGCACAGTGTGAGCAGAGCCCCGTCTCCTCCCGCTAACCCTGCCCCCTCCAGCACAGGGGCCTTCTTCTCCTTCCCTGGGGGGCACAGTGTGAGCAGAGCCCCGTCTCCTCCCGCTAACCCTGCCCCCTCCAGCACGGGGGCCTTCTTCTCCTTCCCTGGGGGGCACAGTGTGAGCAGAGCCCCGTCTCCTCCCGCTAACCCTGCCCCCTCCAGCACGGGGGGGGGCCTTCTTCTCCTTCCCTGGGGGGCACAGTGTGAGCAGAGCCCCGTCTCCTCCCGCTAACCCTGCCCCCTCCAGCACGGGGGCCTTCTTCTCCTTCCCTGGGGGGCACAGTGTGAGCAGAGCCCCGTCCCCTCCCGCTAACCCTGCCCCCTCCAGCACGGGGGGGGGCCTTCTTCTCCTTCCCTGGGGGGCACAGTGTGAGCAGAGCCCCGTCTCCTCCCGCTAACCCTGCCCCCTCCAGCACGGGGGGGGGCCTTCTTCTCCTTCCCTGGGGGGCACAGTGTGAGCAGAGCCCCGTCTCCTCCCGCTAACCCTGCCCCCTCCAGCACGGGGGCCTTCTTCTCCTTCCCTGGGGGGCACAGTGTGAGCAGAGCCCCGTCTCCTCCCGCTAACCCTGCCCCCTCCAGCACGGGGGGGGGCCTTCTTCTCCTTCCCTGGGGGGCACAGTGTGAGCAGAGCCCCGTCTCCTCCCGCTAACCCTGCCCCCTCCAGCACAGGGGCCTTCTTCTCCTTCCCTGGGGGGCACAGTGTGAGCAGAGCCCCGTCCCCTCCCACTAGCCCTGCCCCCTCCAGCACGGGGGCCTTCTTCTCCTTCCCTGGGGGCACAGTGTGAGCAGAGCCCCGTCTCCTCCCGCTAACCCTGCCCCCTCCAGCACGGGGGCCTTCTTCTCCTTCCCTGGGGGGCACAGTGTGAGCAGAGCCCCGTCTCCTCCCGCTAACCCTGCCCCCTCCAGCACGGGGGCCTTCTTCTCCTTCCCTGGGGGGCACAGTGTGAGCAGAGCCCCCTCCCCTCCCACTAGCCCTGCCCCTCCAGCACGGGGGCCTCTTCTCCTTCCCTGGGGGGCACAGTGTGAGCAGAGCCCCGTCTCCTCCCGCTAACCCTGCCCCTCCAGCACCGGGGCCTTCTTCTCCTTCCCTGGGGGGCACAGTGTGAGCAGAGCCCCGTCTCCTCCCGCTAACCCTGCCCCCTCCAGCACGGGGGGGGCCTTCTTCTCCTTCCCTGGGGGCACAGTGTGAGCAGAGCCCCGCCCTCCAGCTAGCCCTGCCCCCTCCAGCACGGGGGCCTTCTTCTCCTTCCCTGGGGGGCACAGTGTGAGCAGAGCCCCGCCCCTCCCGCTAGCCCTGCCCCCTCCAGCACGGGGGCCTTCTTCTCCTTCCCTGGGGGGCACAGTGTGAGCAGAGCCCCGTCTCCTCCCGCTAACCCTGCCCCCTCCAGCACGGGGGGCCTTCTTCTCCTTCCCTGGGGGGCACAGTGTGAGCAGAGCCCCGTCTCCTCCCGCTAACCCTGCCCCCTCCAGCACGGGGGCCTTCTTCTCCTTCCCTGGGGGGCACAGTGTGAGCAGAGCCCCCTCCCCTCCCACTAGCCCTGCCCCCTCCAGCACGGGGGCCTTCTTCTCCTTCCCTGGGGGGCACAGTGTGAGCAGAGCCCCGTCTCCTCCCGCTAACCCTGCCCCCTCCAGCACCGGGGCCTTCTTCTCCTTCCCTGGGGGCACAGTGTGAGCAAAGCCCCGTCTCCTCCCGCTAACCCTGCCCCCTCCAGCACGGGGGGGCCTCTTCTCCTTCCCTGGGGGGCACAGTGTGAGCAGAGCCCCGCCCCCTCCAGCTAGCCCTGCCCCCTCCAGCACGGGGGCCTTCTTCTCCTTCCCTGGGGGGCACAGTGTGAGCAGAGCCCCGCCCCCTCCAGCTAGCCCTGCCCCCTCCAGCACGGGGGCCTTCTTCTCCTTCCCTGGGGGGCACAGTGTGAGCAGAGCCCCGCCCCCTCCCGCTAACCCTGCCCCCTCCAGCACGGGGGCCTTCTTCTCCTTCCCTGGGGGCACAGTGTGAGCAGAGCCCCGTCCCCTCCCCACTAGCCCTGCCCCCTCCAGCACGGGGGGGGGCCTTCTTCTCCTTCCCTGGGGGGCACAGTGTGAGCAGAGCCCCGTCTCCTCCCGCTAACCCTGCCCCCTCCAGCACGGGGGCCTTCTTCTCCTTCCCTGGGGGGCACAGTGTGAGCAGAGCCCCGTCTCCTCCCGCTAACCCTGCCCCCTCCAGCACGGGGGCCTTCTTCTCCTTCCCTGGGGGGCACAGTGTGAGCAGAGCCCCGCCTCCTCCCGCTAACCCTGCCCCCTCCAGCACGGGGGGGGCCTTCTTCTCCTTCCCTGGGGGGCACAGTGTGAGCAGAGCCCCGTCCCCTCCCCGCTAGCCCCACCCCTCCAGCACGGGGGCCTTCTTCTCCTTCCCTGGGGGGCACAGTGTGAGCAGAGGCCCGCCCCCTCCCGCTAACCCTGCCCCCTCCAGCTCGGGGGCCTTCTTCTCCTTCCCTGGGGGGCACAGTGTGAGCAGAGGCCCGCCCCCTCCCGCTAACCCTGCCCCCTCCAGCTCGGGGGCCTTCTTCTCCTTCCCTGGGGGGCACAGTGTGAGCAGAGCCCCGCCCCCCGCTAGCCCCGCCCCCTCCGGCATGGGGTCCTTCTCCTTCCCTGGGGTAGCAGGGGACATTAGACAGGGTAGAGTCACTCCCCCACTAACAGCCGCCCTCCAGCTCCCACCCTTCCCTCCCCTGCTAACACAGCTCTGCCTCCTGCCTCCGCTCCCCGCCCAGGCCCCTGGGAGCCCCTCCCTCTCCTGGCCCTGCTGCCCCCCCCCCACCTTTGCCATCCGGGGCGGCTGCGCTCTGCCCTTTGCCCTTCAGGGCACCGTTCTCCTCCTGCCCGGGCTTCGTGGATTTCAGCGGCTCCGTGGCCTCCGCTTTCTGCTGCTCTTTGGGGGCTGGAGAGAGACGCGGAGCAGGGTCACGAGCCAGCCCCTCACGTGTGCGGCTATTCATACAGGGGCCCCTCACCCGGTGCAGAGATGCAGCCACCTCTGGGGCAGGGTGGCTGGTTTCCCAGGGGCCCCTCGCCCGGCACGGACATGCAGCCACCTCTGGGGTGGAGCGGCTGGTGACACAGGGACCCCGCACCTGGCGCTGAGATGCAGCCACCTCTGGGGCGGGGCAGCTGGTGACACAGGGGCCCCTCGCCTGGCGCTGAGATGCAGCCACCTCTGGGGCGGGACACAGGGCTCCACCAAGGGCATTTCTCTGTTGGGAACATGCTAACTTTTGAACGGCCCGTTGGATCAATCCCTGAATTCTGGAGAGCATCGCGGGCATCACCCAGAAATGTTCGTCAGTCGCGTTGCTTAGCGACCAGGTCAAGTGCCCAGACAGAACAGAAGCAGGAGGGTCCGGTTCCCTGTGGGGAACCAGAGCGGGGCACCGCGGCCAGACGCCTGGGACCGCGACTCACCTGGGGGCGGGTTCTCGGGGATGGCGGGCTGGGTGCCTTCGATGCTGAGCCAGTGAGCTGAAAGGAAGCGGAGAGGGGAGTGAGAGCTGGCACGGAGGGGACCCCCACCCTCGTGCCCTGCATCTTCCCTTCCTTGGCACGCCAGCCCCCCCGAAGACCTCCCCCCGCGGCGCCCCCACCTTTGAGGCAGACGTCCAGCGGGACGCGGGGCAGGGGCGTGTTAATGATGTCGCTCAGATCCACTTCCTTCTCCTCGTAGAAGTACAGCTCCCGCCCGCCCCCGCTGGCGTAGCGGAAGGGGATGAACTCCTGGGCGTGGAAGCCGTACAGCGGCTGCGGGGGAGAGGGAGACGCGGCTCGGAGAAGCGTTCGCGGTGCTGCCACGGACCAGCCTGCCGAAGGATGAAACCTCGGCCCACTCCTCTGCCTTCAGGCCAGGACAGGGTATTGGCTGGGGGCCCAGGAGGTCCCCCCTGCGGAGTCCCCGTGTCTGTGTAAGCCCTCAGGCCGCACCCTGCCCCTGACATTAGCGCATGGCCTGGCTCCGTGGTCTTATGCACTGACTGGGACGGCCCCTGGTACGATACACACCAGGCCCATCAGAGGGGGGATCGCCAGCCGCCTCCAGGCACCAAGCCCCATACTCAGGAACAGACGTATCTGTGCCGGAAATTAACTCCTGACACATCACACGCGTCTCGCCACAGCAACCGGCAGGCTGCCGGCCGTTGGGAGGGACCCCCCCAAGCTCATGGGCTCCTCTGCTCTAGGAATTGGGGGCCCCCCCGCATAGTCCACCCTCCCCAAGCGTGTGCCCCCACTCAGAAACACCCTGAGCTGCAGAACCACCCCCCAAAGGCAAGAGACAGCCAGTCCTTAGAGCAAGGGGCCCCCTAGCATGGAGCCCAACCAGCCCACGGGGCCCAGCTTACACCCCGGCCCCTGGGCACAACGTCCCTGCCCCACCAGCACCTCAGCAGCAGGGGCTGGAGCAGGGGGTCCCCCCGCGCCCCATTACCTCCACGTTCTTCAGTTTCAAGGCATAGTCCACGTCCCCCGTGGTCAGCTTCCGGCGCTTGCCCATGTGCATGAACTTCAGGGCATCCTGTTGGGAGATGGGGGGGTCTCTGCGTCACGTGGGGCGCAGGGCTACCACAGCAGGGGGCGGCCCCTCTTCGCCCCAAGGGACTCTGGGAAGGCCAGGGTGGGAGCAGAGCGGGGGGGGAGGAGGGCAGGGTCTGCCGGAGGCATTGAGTGTTTGGGGGCTGGGGTTCTCCTTGGGCCAGGATGGGGCCGCGCCGTGGGGGATTTTCCCTGGGGGCGGGCGTAGGTACGGACAGCGTGTGTGCGAGGGAGGGAGGGCGGGGGGGGTCCTGCCCACCCCCGGGTGCTCTCTTTACGCCAGTGGCTGGGTGGGGGGAGGGCGAGGGCATCCCCCAGAGCGGGTGGCGGGATGGGCTGGCGCCCGGGGCGGGGAAGGGGGGGTTGTGTTGTGAAGCCCCCCCCCGGGGGCAGAGGACGGGTGTGGGGGCGGCGCGGGCCCCCGTACCTGGGCGATCTCCTTGATGCGGTAGCTGACCTCGTCGGCCAGCAGCTGGCAGGTCTCCTCGGGCACCTGGGCGATGCCCATGGCCTCCGCCATCACCTTCATGGACTCGGCCGGCAGCAGCGTGTGGCTCAGCTTCGGCTTCTTCTCCTCCGCCATCCTCCCGCCCCGGCCCCGCCGCCACCTGGGGGGGGGGGCGGGTGAGACATCGGGGGGGGCGGCACCGGGGGGGAGCCGGGCGGGGCCGCGTCTCCCCTCGCCCCCGGAGCCGGCAGAGACCCCCAGCGCCAGGCCCCGAGCCAGGGGCCCCCGGCTCCTGCCCCCCCCGGCCTCAGCCTCCCCCGGCCTCAGCCTCCCCCCAGCTCCCCCCCCGGCTCCTGCCTCCCCCGGCCTCAGCCTCCCCCTCCCCCACTCCCCCGGCTCCTGCCCCCCGGCCTCAGCCTCCCCTCCCCCGGCCTCCCCACCCCCCCCCAGCCTCACCTCCCCCACCCCCCGCTCCTGCCCCCCGGCCTCAGCCTCCCCCTCCCCCGCTCCCCCCTCCCCCCCCAGCCTCAGCCTCCCCCACTCCCCCGGCTCCTGCCTCCCCCGGCCTCCCCTCCCCCACTCCCCCGCTCCTGCCTCCCCCCCGGCCTCAGCCTCCCCCTCCCCCAGCTCCTGCCCCCCCCCCCCCGGGCCTCCTCCCCCGCCTCCCCCCCCCCAGCTCCCCCCGGCTCCTGCCCCCCGGCCTCAGCCTCCCCCCACTCCCCCGGCTCCTGCCTCCCCCCGGCCTCAGCCTCCCCCCTCCCCCCAGCTCCCCCGGCTCCTGCCCCCGGCCTCAGCCTCCCCCTCCCCCCGGCCTCCTCCCCCCAGCCTCAGCCTCCCCCAGCCCCCCCGGCTCCTGCCCCCCCCTCACCCCCCCCCCCCGCCCCCCCCCACCCACCCCCCCACCCCCCCCCCCCCCCCCCCCCCCCCCCCCCCCCCCCCACCCCCCCCCCCCCCCCCCCCCCCCCCCCCCCCCCCCCCTCCCCCCGGCTCCTGCCCCCCCGGCCTCAGCCTCCCCCCTCCCCCCCGGCTCCTGCCTCCCCCCCGGCCTCAGCCTCCCCCCCCCTCCCCCGGCTCCTGCCCCCCCCGGCCTCAGCCTCCCCCTCCCCCGGCTCCCCCGGCCTCCCCCCCCAGCCTCAGCCTCCCCCCTCCCCCCGGCTCCTGCCCCCCCCGGCCTCAGCCTCCCCCTCCCCCGGCCCCCCCAGGCCTCCCCCCCCCCAGCCTCCCCCAGCTCCCCCCGGCTCCTGCCTCCCCCAGCCTCCCCCCCCCCGCCCGCTCCTGCCTCCCCCCGGCCTCAGCCTCCCCTCCCCCACTCCCCCCCCGGCTCGGCCTGCCCCCCCCGGGCCTCCTCCTCCCCCGGCCTCAGCCTCCCCCCAGCTCCCCCCGGCTCCTGCCCCCCGGCCTCAGCCTCCCCGGCCCCCCGGCCTCTCCCCCTCCCCCCCCCCCCCGGCTCTCCCCCAGGCCTCCTCCCCCTCCCCCCAGCTCCTGCCCCCACGGGCCTCCCCCCGGCCTCGGCCTCCCCCCCACCTCTCACTCCCGCTCCCCGCTCTCCTCCTCGTCCGCCGCCATCTTGCTCCCGCCCCGCCTCCTCCCGGTCCTGGCAGATGCACACTGCCCGCCCCTCGCCCTCGCCCTGGGACACCCCGCGCGGTCCCCGCTCACAGCGCGGGGCCCTGATCCTCTTCGCCCCGATCCTCCGCCCTGATCCTCGCCGCTGCTCGTCCCTCGAGCCCGCGCCCCGCCTGCCCCTCACTACAACCCTGCCAGGACCCGAGCCCCGGAGTAGGGGAGGGGCCAGCGTGGGACACCGACCGGCGGCTAGGCAGGGCAATGCGCAAGCGCGGGATGGGCGAAAGACTGCAATGCGCATGCGTGGTCCATGAGGGCCGGGACTGCGCCTGCGTACTGCGCGCGGATTCATTCTACCGAGCATGCGCAACATTGTGCTGAGGGGACGTTATATTATGCATGCGCTTTACTACGCATGCGCCGTTAGTTTTCTCCCCTCGCCTTTGGCTCACGATGCGCATGCGTAGTCCCGCTCCTTTCGTTTAACCTGGCGGTGCGACAGTGCTTTTCCCAGCCCCGCCCCCCTCTGTTGCGCATGCGCCTCGTTCCTCCCGACGGCTGCGTCTACGCGCATGCGCCGGCCGTCCCAGCGAGGCCCTGACTGCGCATGCTCGGTGCCAGCTCCCCCTTAAAGGGCCAGCGCCGCTATTTCCTTCCCAGGGCGGGGGCGCAGCCATGTGGCTCCCCCTGCTGGGGCTGCTGCTGCTCGGGGCGCCGGGGCGGGGGGCGGGGCAGGAGGCGCAGGAGGGGGACGAGAGGCGGCCCACCCCCTGCGAAGGTAACCTGGGGGGAGGGGCTCTTAAAGGGGCCACGCGCCCTGTCTGGGGCTGTAGGGCCCGGTCTATATGGGGCTATAGGGACTAGCGGCCAGGCCTGGCCAGCGAATCAGGAGCAGGCTGGCTTTGTGCACAGAGATGAGCTCTCCCTAGATATCCGTATGGTCCGTATGGGGCTATATGGACTAGGGAGGGGCTGCAAGGCCCAGGCAAGGGGAGGGGGCACAGGGCCTGGCTGGGTCCGGGGCTGGGTGGGAGAGGTGCCCAGGCTGTCCCTATGGGGCTATAGGGACCAGGGATGGGGGGACAGCCTCAGTGGGGGGGTATGGGGCCATGGACGGGGGGGGCATACGGGCCAGGCGGCTGGCTGATGACCCCCCCCCCCCCCCCCGGCAGTCTGCAAGTACCTGAGCCTGGAGTTGCAGGAGACCCTGGCGCAGAGCGGCCGCTCCAAGGAGGTGCTGGAGCTGGGGCAGGTGCTGGACTCGGGCAAGCGGAAGAGACGCATCCAGTACAACACCTCGTAAGCGGGGGGGGACTGGGGTCCCGGATGCCGAGAGTGAATTGACCCCCCCCCAGGGCCCCGAGCGCTCGGCAGACCCGGGCCCGTGGCATGTCGTGACGCCCAGAAACCCGGTTTCCCTGTCACCCGAACCCCAGAATTGTCTTTTTCTGCCCACATCCAAAAGGTTCCGTTTCGGGGGGTTGGTTCGTTTATTTATTTATTTTGGACCAAAACCAGGAAAATTTCACCCTTTGCACAAAACTGGTTTGTTTGGGGCGATTTACTCCAGGCAAAAGATGCTCCCTGCCGGGATCCGGGCCCCGATCCAGCCGGGATCTGGACCCAGACCCGGACCCCGATTCTGGCTTCAGTCAGACCCGCTGCGGTGGGGTTTTAAACTCAAACCTGACCTCAGCTTTGCAGAGCAAAGCGCTGTGTGATGACCCCGATTCTGCCAGCCCCCCAACTCCTCACCGCCCCACTTCTGTCCGCCTAGGGAAACCCGACTGGCCGAGGCCCTAGAAACCGTGTGTGAGCGGTTCCTGCATTACAACGTCCATGCCGAGCGCCCAGGCAGCCTGCGGTATGCCAAGGTACGGCTGGGAGCCAGGACTCCTGGGTTCTCTCCCTGACTCAGGGAGGGGGGGGCTGGTGGGTTAGAGCAGGGTGGGGCTAAGAGCCAGGACTCCTGGGTTCTCTCCCTGGCTCTGGGAGGGAATTGGGGTGTGGGGTCTGGTGGGTTTGAACAGAGGGAGGAGTTTGGCAGCCAGGACTCCTGGGTTCCCTTCTTTCCCTGCAGGGTCAGAGCCAGACGATGAATACCCTGAAGAACCTGGTGAACAAGGGGGTGAAGGTGGATCTGGGGATCCCCCTGGAGCTCTGGGATGAGCCATCCGTGGAGGTGACACAGCTGAAGCAGCAGGCGAGTGTGGGGGGTGATGAGTTGGGGGGTGGCGGGGAAAAGCCAGTGGGCTCTGCCCTGTGTGGGGTTGGGGATGGGTGGCAGAACACGGCGTCAGAACAAGAACTAGTGCCGGAAGCTGAAGCCAGACAAATTCCTGTGAGAAACGAGTGAGACAAGCCGGGGGAGGCCACGTCCGTTATTGGATCGATGGTGGGGGTGTGACGGGTTTGGCCACAGAGGTGCCCTTGGGACTGTCACCCGACGTGCTGAAATTACCTCGGAGCCCGTTTTCCCTGCCAGTTTGGGACTCCAGACCCCTGCCTTGTTGAGCCAGTCATGCCAGCCTGCTACAAACACGGACCCCAGGTCTGGTCCACGCCCCCAAAGCTGCAGGCTTAACTGAGTACCGCTTAAGAAGTGTTCCTGTCTCCAGCACCCAGACACCCAGCTCCCAATGGGACCCAAACCCCAAATCAATCCGTTTTACTCTGTATAAATCTTATATGGAGTAAATTCATAAACTGTCGGCCCTCTGTAACACTGATAGAGAGAGATGCACAGCTGTTTGCTGCCCCAGGTATTAATTACTTACTCTGGGTTAATTGATAAGCAAAAGTGATTTTATTAAGTATGAAAAGTAGGATTTAAGTGCTTCCAAGTAATAACAGACAGAACAGAGTAAGCGACCAAGCAAAATAAAACAAAAACACGCACGTCTAAGCCTAATACAGTAGGAAACGGATTACAGATAAAACCTCACCCTCCGAGATGCTCCAATAAGCTTCTTCGCAGACCGGCCTCCTTCCTCGTCTGGGCCCAAAGCTTCCCCCTGGTGCAGCCCTTGTTCCGGCTCAGGTGGTCACTAGGGGATTTCTCACGACCGGCCCCCTTTGTCCTGCTCCACCCCCTTCTATAGCTTTGGCACAGGGCGGGAATCTTTTGTCTCTCTGGGTCCCCAGCCCCCCATCTCAATGGCAAAGCCCCAGGTTTAAGGTGGATTCCAGCACCAGGGGACATGGTGACAGGTCCCGTGAGACCCCCAAGCCTCCGTTCTTCCTGGCCTGGCTCACAGGGAGGCCTGCCCGCAAACAGAGCCCTCTACAGCCAAGTGTCCTGGCCGACGGGCGCCATCCAGATTCCCAACCACCATTAACGGCCCACCCTTCGCATCAGTACCGTAGGACCCCGGAGTTATACTTCGTGCTTCTAGCTTCAGATACAAGAGTGATGCATTCACACAAACAGAACGACCACACTCCGTAGCTCACAAGCTTTCTCATGATACCGCACAAGGGACCTTTTGCATGACGCATATTCCAGCGACATTATATTCACACTCATTAGCATATTTTCATAAAAGCATATGGAGTGCAGCGTCACGGAGTGGGGGGTGACCAGCCCTCACAAGGCCGCTTCTCATGGGTGCATCCCAGGCTGGGGGGGCGTCTCCCCCCCACCCCCCATCTCTCTCACCCCTTGGGGCCGACAGGGTACTGACCACATTGAACGCTGCAAACAAACCGCAGCAGGCCCCAGATTGCTCCCGGTGCGGGTGAATCAGCCCTGGGCCCGGTTCTGCGGTGCGGGAGGGCGTCTCCTTCTCCTGGTGCGTCTCTGGGACACGCAGGCAACTGGTTTCCCCCCGGGGGCCGCAGGGGCCAGGGTCTCTGGGCTGTGCAGGCGGGGGGTTACTGGGCCCCTCTGACCTTCCGTCCCATGGCCGGGTCCCCTCTCCCTGCAGTGCGAGACGATGCTAGAGGAATTCGAGGCCGTGCTGGAGGACTGGTACTTCCACCACCAGGAGACGGCACTGGGAGCCTTCCTGTGCGAAGGGCACGTGCTGGCGGCTGGAGAGAGAGGTGTGTAAACCACCCCCCCAGCTCTGCCGGGGCCCCTCACTCCCGACCCGCAGCCCCTGCAAGCCCAGCCCTGGGCCCCCCAGCTCTGCCGGTGCCCCTCACTCCCAACTCATAGCCCCCTGCTAGCCCAGCCTTGCCCTCCCCAGCCCTGCCGGGGCCCTTCACTCCTGCTCCGCAGCCCCCTGCTACCCCAGCCCTGGGCCCCCCAGCTCTGCCGGAGCCCCTCACTCCCGATCCATAGCCCCCTGCTAGCCCAGCCTTGCCCCCCGCAGCTCTGCCGGGGCCCCTCACTCCCAACCCGCAGCCCCTGCTAGCCCAGCCCTTCCCCCCCACCAGCCCTGCCGGGGCCCCTCATTCCTGACCCGCAGCCCCTGCCAGCCCAGCCCCCCCAGCCCTGCCGGGACCCCTCACTCCTGCCCCACAGCCCCCTGCTAGCCCAGCCCTGGGCTCTCTGAACACACAGGCTATTTTTCTGTTCTGCCTCATCCCCTTCCCCCTGCTGTTGTGTTGGCTGCTGCCCCACCCCAGAGGCAGCTGCCTTTCCAGCCCAGGAGAGGCACCAGGCCTGTTAACTATTCTCTGCCCCCCACAGGGTGTCTGAGCGAGGTCTGGACAGGGAGGAAGGGTGACGAGGGAGCCCAGGAAGAGGAGGAGGAAGAGATGATGAAACAACCCAGCCCCCTCGCCAGGCATGCAGATCGTGACCCAGGGGAGCTCTGAGCAGGGGGGAGGGGGCGGGCGGGTTTGGCACATTCAGGGGGAGGGACTTTGACACCCCTGCTTGCCTTCTCCCCCCAGGGCCTGCAGGTCCCTGCTGGGGACTTGGGAAAGGTATGGATCTGCCTTTTCGGTGCCTTATGCACAGCGGCCTGGGGGGATGTGGAATTCCCCCCCCACACTGCCCCCGTTGTCATTCTGTCTATGTCTCTGTCTGTCCATCTCTGGTTTTTATACAGAAATCGCCGGCCACAGTGAAGTGGTTTTTTGTTGTCGTTGGCTGGTTCCAATGGGGGTCAGGAGGGCTGGGCTGGTCGGTGGGGAGCAGGAGGAGCTGGGCTGTGGGGGGCTTGGGTGGGCAGGAGGGAGATGGGCTGTAGGGGGGGCAGAAGAGGGGGTTGGGGGGAGCTGAGCTATAAGGGGGACAGGAGGGGCTTGGGGGTGTATGACCGGGGTCCTAGTGGGGAGCCAGCTGTGGTCACTCAATTAGGATAAACTGCAAAGACTGGGGCAGCCAAACCCCGTAAAGCTGGTGGATTTTTCCCATACTCCGATCTACCAAACCAGCATACAACAGCTTTCCTGAAAGCGATCCAGCCTCAGGCCCGCAGCCAGGTACCCGCGTCAAATACGGTGAAAATTTCTGTAAATCTTATTTCCTCCTATAAACGAAAATGTTCTGCCGATCCCAAAGGGTCGGGCACCTTCCCTCCCAGAAAGAACGGGGGTGGGCGTGTGGCACTTGAAAGAGACTAACACATTTGTTTGAGTGTAAGCTTGTTGCCGGCACCCAGTGCCGAGAGGCTAAACAACAGCTGGGGTTCGTTCGCTACCCGGTGTGCGTCACCCAATAATCACAACGGGGTGGAGACGCAGAAAAGTTTATTTTAAGCTGCAAAAAGGTCCAGGGAGAATAAAATCTCAAATCCTGCACCCAGAGCAGGAAGTTACACAGGCTTTTATACATCCTTTCTTCAGCATACTTATCCAATAGCAAGCTGCCCTAAGTATCCATCTAGCCAGGCAATCCAGTTCCCTTGTTCTCTGTATCATTTGTTAAACTATACATAAAGCTGCTTTATTTAGCATTGTTTTTTTATATCTGCCCTGTTCGGCCTCCCTTAGTTTCAGGCAGTCTGACTCCGCAGCACATTGTTGCAGATCCTCAGCATAACTGCTGCGAGTGCCTCCAGGCGGGAGCGGGGGCCAAGGACACTTGGGCCTAGTGCGAGGGGGCTTCATCGACACTCGTGGTTTTCCATCCCCTCGAGCTACCTAGTGGCCATGCCCCAGGGTCCCCAACAAGCTCTCCGGGGAAGCGGGCTGTGGCTCGGGAGAGCTCACGCTCTAATCAATGTGTTGGTCCCCCCCTGCCACGCGCCCCCCTTGTTCTTTTTGCGGATTTGGACTCACACGGCTGCTGCGCTCTCACCTCCCAGGTGAATGAATAGTCCGGACCTCACCCAAGTCCTCGCGACAGCCAATTCTTACGAAACGAACTAAGCTTTATTGAAGAAGAAAAGCGAGCAGGGTTAACAGAGCAGCAAAGAGCCGTGAGCTGCCTTCAGGGCGGTGCAGGGCCACGGGGAGGCGGTGAGCTTTGCGCCGAGTTCTTTCAGAAATAGTTCCCAGGCCAATGTCCAAGGCCCCTGTTCAGGGCGTAACGGGGACCTCCGTCGTGCCAGTCGGACGTCCCCCGATGAAGCCTAAGCAGGTGTGAGATGACAGGATCAGGACCCCAGGATCTTTTCTACAATTTCGTGTCCTCCGCGACCCGCTGGGAGTTGCCCGGGGGCGGCTTTGCGGCGGGTCCCTCCCCGGTCCTTCGCGATGGGAATGAGCAGAAGGCCACGGGCGGGACGCTGCAGAGAGAGATGAACGCCGAGATAGCCCGTGCTCACGGCGCACTGAAGCGATAGCCGAACACAGGGTCCCTGTCGTGCATAAAGACATAAAAACACAGACGTTCTCTCCCCGCAGATCCGCGGCGGGTTATTTATTCTGCAGGATGTTTAACCCTTTCCAGCCATGCGTCACAGGAGGGCAGGGGGGACCTGGGCTGTAAGGGGGGCAGGAGGGGCGGGTTGGGGGGAGAAGGGGGGTTGGGGGCAGGAGGGGGGTTGGGGCAAGGGGGAGAAGGGGGGGCAGGAGGGAGCTGGGTTGTAAGGGGGGCAGGGGCGAGAAGGGGGGTTGGGGGCAGGAGGGGGAGAAGGGGGGCAGGGGGCAGGAGGGAGCTGGGCTGTAAGGGGGGGCAGGAGGGGCGGGTTGGGGGGAGAAGGGGGGTTGGGGGCAGGAGGGAGCTGGGCTGTAAGGGGGGCAGGAGGGGCGGGTTGGGGGGAGAAGGGGGGTTGGGGGCAGGAGGGAGCTGGGCTGTAAGGGGGGCAGGAGGGGCGGGTTGGGGGGAGAAGGGGGGTTGGGGGCAGGATGGGGGGTTGGGGCGAGGGGGAGAAGGGGGGCAGGAGGGAGCTGGGTTGTAAGGGGGGCAGGGGAGAGAAGGGGGGTTGGGGGCAGGAGGGGCGGGTTGGGGGGAGAACGGGGGGCAGGAGGGAGCTGGGCTGTAAGGGGGGGCAGGGGGCAGGAGGGGGCTTGGGGGGTTGAGGCAGCTGTAGGTGCAGGGGGGACATAACCCCCCCTCTCCTGCCCCCCCTCCCTGGGCCCCTGTTGTGCGGGGAAGGGGTCAAGAGGGGGGATTTGAGTTTATGGGGGAGGGGCCGGGGGAATTAAGCCCCGCAAAGACGTGTTGAGGTTTTTTTTTAACATTTCTGTCCCTCACCGCTCACCGTCCAGCGCCGTCTTCCCAACATGGCGGCGCCCAGCCCACAGTGCCGTAAAGACCACTTTCAATATGGCGATGCCCAGTTGCGAACTTCCGGTGAGGGGTGCCAAGATGGCGGTGCCCACAATCGGGTCGCTTCCTGTGAGTCAAACATGGCGGCTTCCAGGAGTCACTTCCGCCTGACCAGCCTCTTCCAAAATGGCGGCGCTCAGTTTCGCTTCCTTTCTGCTTCGCCCTTCCCAACATGGCGCCGCCCGGGGGCCATTTCCGGTTTTGTATACGGACGATACCATCGAGGGGTTACGAGAGGGGGTGAGGCCAGACCCATAGGAGCTGGGGGAGATCGTTCGAGGGCGGAGCGGTAATAAGGGCTGAAGCCATGTGGGGGGTGATGGGATGGGGTGCGCAGCGGGGAGGTGTAGGAGGAAGGGCCAGGGTGGCCACCAGGCCTAAGGGCGGCAGCCCTCTCTGCACCTCGTGGGAACCAAACCCGGCGAAAGAGATTTCGTTTATTTTAATATTCAAGTCCCTCGGCGCTACCCGTCCAGCGCCGTGTTTCTAACATGGCGGCGCCCATCGGCCTCACGGCCCATGGTTGCCCCATAAGAGCCACTTCCAAGATGGCGGCACCCAGGAGCTAACTTCCGGTAAAGAGCTACCAAGATGGCGGCACCTGTCGAGCCGCTTGTGCGCGGGGGGAGCTTCTGCCGCCAATATGGCGGCACCCAAGACGGGATCGATTCCGTGAGGTCATAGGGTGCTTCCGGTCAGGCAATAACGGCACGGATCCCGCCTCCCAACCTGGTGGCTGCCAGGAGGTATTTCCGGTATCACGCGCCACCCCACGGACGAGACCATTGTAAGGATTAAATGGGGGGGTCTGGCGGGGGGGAGATGGGTCACTGGGGGGTGAGCGGGGCAGAGGGGTGCGGGGGGGGTCTGGCTGGGGGAGGTGGGTCACTGGGGGGAGCAGGGGAGAGGGGTGCGGAGGGGTCTGGCTGGGGGGAGGTGGGGTCACTGGGGGGTGAGCGGGGCCGAGGGGTGCGGGGGGGTCTGGCTGGGGGGAGGTGGGTCACGGGGGGTGAGCGGGGCAGAGGGGTGCGGGGGGGTCTGGGTGGGGGGAGGTGGGGTCACTGGGGGGTGAGCGGGGCAGAGGGGTGCGGGGGGGTCTGGCTGGAGGGAGGTGGGGTCACTGGGGGGTGAGCGGGGCAGAGGGGTGCGGGGGGGTCTGGCTGGGGGGAGGTGGGTCACTGGGGGGTGAGCGGGGCCGAGGGGTGAGAGGGGGGTCTGGCTGGGGGGAGGTGGGTCACTGGGGGGAGCGGGGCAGAGGGGTGCGGGGGGTCTGGCTGGGGGGAGGTGGGGTCACTGGGGGTGAGCGGGGCAGAGGGGGTGGGGGGTCTGGCTGGAGGGAGGTGGGGTCACTGGGGGGTGAGCGGGGCAGAGGGGTGCGGGGGGGTCTGGCTGGGGGGAGGTGGGTCACTGGGGGGTGAGCGGGGCCGAGGGGTGAGAGGGGGGTCTGGCTGGGGGGAGGTGGGTCACTGGGGGGAGCGGGGCAGAGGGGTGCGGGGGGTCTGGCTGGGGGGAGGTGGGGTCACTGGGGGGTGAGAGGGGTGAGAGGGGGGTCTGGCTGGGGGGAGATGGGGTCACGGGGGGGTGAGCGTGGCCGAGGGGTGAGAGGGGTCTGGGTGGGGGGAGATGGGGTCACGGGGGGGTGAGCGGGGCCGAGGGGCGAGAGGGGTCTGGGTGGGGGGAGATGGGGTCACTGGGGGGTGAGCGGGGCCGAGGGGTGAGAGGGGGGTCTGGCTGGGGGGAGATGGGGTCACTGGGGGGTGAGCGGGGCAGAGGGGTGAGAGGGGTCTGGGTGGGGGGAGGTGGGGTCACTGGGGGGGTGAGCGGGGCCGAGGGGTGAGAGGGGGGTCTGGCTGGGGGGAGATGGGGTCACTGGGGGGTGAGCGGGGCCGAGGGGTGAGAGGGGGGTCTGGCTGGGGGGAGGTGGGGTCACTGGGGGGTGAGCGGGGCCGAGGGGTGAGAGGGGGGTCTGGCTGGGGGGAGATGGGGTCACTGGGGGGTGAGCGGGGCCGAGGGGTGAGAGGGGGGTCTGGCTGGAGGGAGGTGGGGTCACTGGGGGGGTGAGCGGGGCCGAGGGGTGAGAGGGGTCTGGCTGGGGGGAGATGGGGTCACTGGGGGGTGAGCGGGGCCGAGGGGGTGAGAGGGGGGTCTGGCTGGGGGGAGATGGGGTCACTGGGGGGTGAGCGGGGCCGAGGGGTGAGAGGGGTCTGGGTGGGGGGAGGTGGGGTCACTGGGGGGTGAGCGGGGCCGAGGGGTGAGAGGGGGGTCTGGCTGGGGGGAGATGGGGTCACTGGGGGGTGAGCGGGGCCGAGGGGTGAGAGGGGGGTCTGGCTGGGGGGAGATGGGGTCACTGGGGGGTGAGCGGGGCCGAGGGGTACTGTTGTACCAATAAAATAAAAACCAGCAGGATCTTATTAAAGGGAAAAAGGCAAAAAGCCACATTTACTGTGAATACAGAAAGAATCCTGGTAAGCAGTTAGTTACAGCTATAACTTTCCATTCAGTCTCATATTCATTCACCCACACCCACCCACACACACCCCCCACCCACCCACCCACACCCACACACACCGGTTCTGCAAGGTAGTTATCATAGTTACCAGCCTGCTCACGCCAAGCCACTGGCCAGGTGGCCTGGACACGAGGAGGGAGCAGGGCCTTGTCAGATGCTCGTCTGATGCTCCTGGAAGTTGGTTTGCAGAATCAGACCCCAAAGTTCTCACTTTCCAGAGTCCATTTTTATAGGCATTTCTTCCTGTGCCAGTCTGTGGGAATGGCTTCATCGTGCTGTTGCTGAATCAATCGGCAGATGGCACATTCCTGACGGCTCCAAGATGTTATCTTGTTCCTGGGTTCTCCCATTCTTGAGGCTGTTGGGTGGATTCCAGTCTGCCCTCCGGGGGTCCTCTGGTTATTTCCACTTGACGCCTTCTTCAGCCGATGGACACTGGATTCTTAGCCTGGCACCTCCCTGATCATTCAGTTATTATCCACACCAAGCATCCATCCGCATCCATCCTCTATCTCTATTTTAATCACAATTGTTAGTACAACAAAAGGGCGGGGAGTCTCTGGGTGCTGTTTCCGTTGTTACAGAGTATTGCTTTGGGTCTCTCTCTCTGTGAATTGCGTTGAGAACAGACTCTGTCTTAGAAAGTACTAACGCAATTAGCAGCTTGCAAGTTTCACACCTAGAGGGAGAGAAACAGCACCAAAAACCAAGAGACCTCTTAATTAGTATTACCCTGGAATTTAAACTCTGGGGAATCAAACTCATTTGTGATTTTAATACAGAACTTCTTTAATATGATCCAACAGTACGGGGGGGTCTGGCTGGGGAGAGGTGGGTCACTGGGGGGTGAGCGGGGCAGGGGTGCGGGGGGTCTGGCTGGGGGCGGTGGGTCACTGGGGGGTGAGCGGGGCAGGGGTGCGGGGGTCTGGCTGGGGGGAGGTGGGGTCACTGGGGGGTGAGCGGGGCAGAGGGGTGCGGGGGGGTCTGGCTGGGGGGAGGTGGGTCACTGGGGGGTGAGCGGGGCAGGGGTGCGGGGGGGTCTGGCTGGGGGAGGTGGGGTCACTGGGGGGTGAGCGGGGCAGGGGTGCGGGGGGTCTGGCTGGGGGAGGTGGGTCACTGGGGGGGTGAGCAGGGCAGGAGTGCGGGGGGGTCTGGCTGGGGGAGGTGGGTCACTGGGGGGGTGAGCAGGGCAGGAGTGCGGGGGGGTCTGGCTGGGGGAGGTGGGTCACTGGGGGGTGAGCGGGGCAGGGGTGCGAGGGGGTCTGGCTGGGGTGAGGCGCGGGAGTGAGGCTGGGCGGGGGGGTGACTCAGGGCAGAGGGTCCTGCAGTCTCTCAGCCCCCCCCATCTTTGTCTCTAGGGCACGAGGAGGCCCCAGGAGAGGGGGGCGCAGCCTGGCGAGGACTCGGGAGCCCCCAGCGACCCCTGACCTCCAGCTCGTGGGACTCTCTGAACTCCGCCCTCTGAGGACCCTGCGACCCCCAACCTCCCAGCCCCCTTGAAGGCCGACCTTGGAGGCCAGCAGCGCCCCCAGCCTGGCCCCACCCCCCACCCCCATGAGCCTGCCGGTGCACACGGCCCCCCTGGGGCTCTCCCTGAGACCCACCGCCCCCTCCAGCCCCGCGAGCCCCCCGGAGGGCACGGCCCCCCTGGGGCTCTCCCTGATCCCCGGCACCCCCTACTCGGTACTGGTGCTGCAGGAGGGGTACAGCCGGGCGCTCCCGGACGGCACCATGCAGGCCGACGGCACCGTCACGCTGCTGCGGGGCCCCCGGCTCACCCTGGTAGACACGGGGGGGCCCTGGGGGCGGGAGCGGCTGCTGGGGCTGCTGGCGGCCCAGGGGGTGGCCCCGGGGGACGTGTCCCACGTGGTCTGCACCCACGGCCACTCCGACCACGCCGGCAACCTCAACCTCTTCCCCGGGGCCACGCTGCTCGTGGGCTTCGACCTGAGCCGGGGAGAGGGGCTCTACCTGCCCCATAACCTGGGGGACGGGGCCCCCTACCCCATCGACCCGGGGCACGTGGAGGTGCTGCCCACGCCCGGGCACACGGCCGCCCACACCAGCGTGCTGGTGCGGGGCACGGCCCTGGGCACGGTGCTGGTGGCCGGGGACCTGTTCGAGCGGGAGCAGGACGAGGCCGCCTGGCGGGCGCTGAGCGAGGACCCCGCCCGGCAGGAGCAGAGCCGCCGGCGGGCGCTGGCCCTGGCCGACGTGGTGATCCCCGGCCACGGGCCGCCCTTCCGGGTGCGGCGGGGGGAGGGCGGCCCCGGGGGGGGGCCGACGGGGCGTGAGACGCCCCCCTGAGCTCGAATTAAACAGAGCTTGGCGACCCCCAGCGCTGCCTCTTATTGGGGGGGCGCCTTTCGAAGGGAGAGAGATTCCTTCCGCAGGTCTTCCGGCCCCACGGTGACGACACCCCGAAACGCAGGGTGGAGACAGAGCCAAGGTACCCCCAGACTGACCCCCAGGACCTCCGCAGCGGGTGGGGCTGCCCCGCCCAGCCCCGAGCGGCGGGTGAGGCCCGGGAGCACCCCTGGGTGCTGGGGGGCTGAGCAGCAGCAGGTGCTCAGAGGGCAGCCATGGGACCCTGCCCGTGGCCCCACACGCAGGCCAGGCCCCTTTATGGTTTAATTGCCCTGTTTGTGTCACAGGCAGCTTGGCTGCCTGCCCAGCAGCCAGAGATAACGGGGAGTGAACCTCGTTACCGACAGCCCCCCGCCCCAGAGGGGCCGCGTCTCGGCGCCGGGCGAGGGGTCCCCGTGTAAACAGACGCCCCGCCCCAGAGGGGTCCCCGTGTAAACAGACGCCCCGCCTCGAGAGGGCCGTGTCTCGGTGCCGGGCGAGGGGTCCCCATGTAAACAGATGCCCCGCCTCATAGGGGTCCCCGTGTAAACAGACGCCCCGCCCCATAGGGGTTCCCATGTAAACAGACACCCCGCCTCGAGAGGGCCGTGTCTCGGCGGTGGGCGAGGGGTCCCCGTGTAAACACGCCCCGCCCCAGAGGGTGCCGCATCTCGGTGCCGGGCAAGGGGTCCCCGTGTAAACAGACGCCCCGCCTCATAGGGGTCCCCGTGTAAACAGACGCCCCGCCCCATAGGGGTCCCCGTGTAAACAGACGCCCCGCCTCGAGAGGGCCGCGTCTCGGCGGTGGGCGAGGGGTCCCCGTGTCACCAGCCGCCCCGCCCCAGAGGGTGCCGCATCTCGGTGCCGGGCGAGGGGTCCCCGTGTAAACAGACGCCCCGCCCCATAGGGGTCCCCGTGTAAACAGACGCCCCGCCCCATAGGGGTTCCCGTGTAAACAGACGCCCCGCCTCGAGAGGGCCGCGTCTCGGCGGTGGGCGAGGGGTCCCCGTGTCACCAGCCGCCCCGCCCCAGAGGGTGCCGCATCTCGGTGCCGGGCGAGGGGTCCCCGTGTAAACAGACGCCCCGCCCCATAGGGGTTCCCGTGTAAACAGACGCCCCGCCTCGAGAGGGCTGTGTCTCGGCGGCGGGCGAGGGGTCCCCGTGTCACCAGCCGCCCCGCCCCAGAGGGGTCCCCGTGTCACCAGCCGCCCCGCCCCCCCGCCGGCCCGGGGGTTCCCAGGCACTCGTGCTGACGCTCCTGATCGCGCCGATCGATGCTCTGAGGTCACTAACGGCCCTCGTGACGGTCTAGGCTCAAGGACACGGGCGGCTGGCACCGTATGGCACCACCCACGCCACCTGCGTGACAGATCCCAGCACCATGCACAGAGCGGGGCTGGGGGCTTGGAGTGGGGGCAGGGGCTGGGAGCCAGGACTCCTGGGTTCTATCCTGTGCCCTGGGGGGTAGAGCGGGGGGCTGGGCGCTAGGATGCCTGGGTTCTCTCCCTCCATCAGCGGGTGGCCTTGGGAGCCTGGGGTGGGATGAGGCGATAGCTGGAACGTGGCATCCTCCCCTCCGAGCCCGCCAGCCCCATGACGTCTCCTTCGCCCTGTGGCGTCCCGGCCCCCTTGCCCCAAACCGAGCGCTGGGGCAGGGAGTTCCCGGGGCCAGCCAGTGGGGGGAAAGGGACACGAGCCAGACATGATGCTGGAGTCCTGGCGTCCCCACTCCTGAGACCCTACAACAACACCCCCCCCACCTTCCCGAGGGACCCCATGCTAACAAACACCCCTACCAGAGCAAAGCCCACCTCCCCAGCCACGCGACCCTACGCTCGCCCCAGGCTGGTGCCAGCCACCTGTGTCTGGGAGCAAACTCCAGCGGGCGCGGCGGGGGGTGGAGCTACCTGGGGTCCCCCCCCCGGTGTAAAACCCCCAGGCCACTCCAGCTCCCCCAGCGGGCGCGATGTGCACGGGGAAGTGCTCCCGGGTGGTGGGCCTGGGGCTGTTGCCCCTGGCCCTGACCTGCATCGTCTGCAACCTGCTGCTCTGCTTCCCCGACTGGGACACCCAGTACGTGCACGAGGGGGGCAAGCTGCTCACCCCCGCGGTGCTGTACCTGGGGGGCCTCGTCGGGGGCGGCATCATGGTGAGCGTGGGGCTGGGGGGGCTGGTACGAGGGGGGAGGCAGGAAGGGGAGTACGGGGGGCAGCGGGGGGGCTGGTACGAGGGGGGAGGCAGGAAGGGGAGTACGGGGGGCATCGGGGGGGCTGGTACGAGGGGGAAGGCAGGAAGGGGAGTTCGGGAGGGCTGGTACGAGGGGGGAGGCAGGAAGGGGAGTACGGGGGCATCGGGGGGGCTGGTACGAGGGTGGAAGCTGGAAGGGGAATACGGGGGCATCGGGGGGGCTGGTACGAGGGGGGAGGCAGGATGGGGAGTACGGGGGGCATCAGGGGGGCTGGTATGAGGGGGGAGGCAGGAAGGGGAGTGTAGGGGGGCTGGGTCCTGCCCCACTGACTCTGTCTCTCTCCAGATCCTGATCCCAGCGATTCACATCCAGGCGACCGGACGGCAGGGCTGCTGCGGGAACCGCTGTGGGGTGAGTGACCCTCTGTAGCCCCCCACTGCCCCCGGAACCAATCGACCCCCAACCACCCCCCAGTCTCTCCCCACCGCTGGGAGTTGAGGCTCTCCCTCCGTCCCCAACAGGGTCTTTGCTCCCAGTCTCCTCCGAAGAGCGGGGTCCCCCCCAGCCGTAAAGGGGTCCCCCCCACATCTGATCCCCAGCACTAACGGGGTCCCCCTGCCCCAGATGTTCCTGTCCATCCTCTTCGCCCTGGTGGGGCTGGCCGGCTCTGTCTACGCCGTGAGCGTCTCTGCCCTGGGGCTGGTGTACGGGCCGCTGTGCCAGGTCCTGGAGTCCAACGGCAGCCTCGGCAAATGGGAACAGCCCTTCACGCAGGACGAGCTCAGGTGCGAGCCACGGTGGGACGGCAGGGGCTGCGGGTCGGGGGCAACCGGCCGAGCCGGGGGGTTGCGGGTCACGGTCAGGGGGCACTGGCAGACCCAGAGCCAGGAGGTGGCAGGTTGGGGGGTGCGGGTGGAGCGGTAGGGAGGGGTCGAGGGGCTCCGGCAGGGCCGGGGTCGAGGGGCTCCGGCAGGGCCGGGGTCGAGGGGCTCCGGCAGGGCCGGGGGGCTGGCGGCTCGGGGTCGAGGGGTCCGGCAGGGCCGGGGGGCTGGCGGCTCGGGGTCGAGGGGCAGGGCAGGGCCAGGGTCGAGGGGCTCCGGCAGGGCCGGGGGGGCGGCGGCTCGGGGTCGAGGGGCTCCGGCAGGGCCGGGGGGCTGGCGGCTCGGGGTCGAGGGGCTCCGGCAGGGCCGGGTGGCGGCTCGGGGTCGAGGGGCTCCGGCAGGGCCGGGGGGCTGGCGGCTCGGGGTCGGGGGTCCGGCAGGGCCGGGGGGCTGGCGGCTCGGGGTCGAGGGGTCCGGCAGGGCCGGGGGGCTGGCGGCTCGGGGTCGAGGGGCACCAGGCCGGGTGGCACCTGGCCAGCCCCTCCTGTCCGTGCAGCGAGCAGAGCTACCTGTTCAACACCTCGACGTGGGACACGTGTGCGAAGCCGCCCGGCGTGGTCCGGTTCAACGTGATCCTCTTCGCCCTGGTGCTGGCCGCCTCGCTGCTCGAGCTGCTCCTCTGCGGGGTCCAGGTGCTGAACGGCCTCTTCGGCTGCCTCTGCGGGACCTGCAGCAAGAAACGGGCCGAGGTGAGAGCCCCCCGCAGCCGGGCCAGCCCCGCGCCCCGCCCCAGAGCCAGCCGCGCCGGGGCGAGGGGGCAGGGGCTCCGTAGGGACCCACTGGGGAGATTTCACCCCCTTTGTTCCCTGTTTCCAGCACACCCAGTCCTGAGCCGAAGAGCCGCCAGCGCGTCCTGAGGACCCGCGTCACGACCGCCCACCCCCACCGGAATCCCCACTCCGCCCGTCTCGACCAGGACCAGGAACCCCGGCGTCCGGGACCAGCTCTGCCCCCCCGCCCCGCAGACGCAGAGATCACAGACAGCGTCGCCCCGACAGTCTGTCCCGCCGGCTGCACCCCCCCTGCCCCTGTGTGTCACCAGCCACCCCCAATAAACCCGAGGGCCCGTGGGGAGCGCGGAGCGGGGACCTGCGGCCTCTGGTCTGGACAAACCTCGGCCTGCCTCATTGTCTGGGATGGTCAACAGGGAATCAGAGACTGGGGGTGGGGGGCTCCCCAAACGCACCCGCGCCAGGACACTGCCTGCTGTTCTACCCCCCGCAAGGTCTGCGGTGCCCCTTCCTCCCGACCCACAGCCCCCTGCTAGCCCAGCCCTGCCCCCCCAGCCCTGTCGGCGCCCCTCGCTCCCGACCCACAGCCCCCTGCTAGCCCAGCCCTGCCCCCCCCAGCCCTGCCCGTGCCCCTCGCTCCCGACCCACAGCCCCCTGCCCCTGCAGCCCTGCCCCTGCAGCCCTGCCCGTGCCCCTCACTCCCGACCCTCAGCCCCCTGCTAGCCCAGCCCTGCCCCCCCAGCCCTGCCGGTTCCCCTCAGTCCCGACCACAGCCCCTGCTAGCCCAGCCCTGCCCCCCCAGCTCTGCTGGTGCCCTCAGCCCCTCCTGTGATATGGGGCAGGAAGTCAAGTTGTGATCAGCTGTTCACTGCTGTGGTTTGGCCACTGGCTCACTCTGCAGGGACTGAGTGGAAACGTCCTCAGTCCGTTTCTCTCCCTGGAGCCCACCGGGGTCACAGCTGCCAGAGGTCCCCCCCAGAGGGTAGGTGAACAGTCCTCAGGCCAGCCCCTCAGCATGAGGAGGGCTCAGTCTATGGGGACTCCTGGGCCGTCAGACTCTGTGCCGGGGCTGATGGTGGGCGTGGGGTGGTTTCGTGCTGGGGGCCGGGAGCGATGAGCTGGGCTGAGATCGGACAGACTTGTTCTGCACATGCACCGTGGAGGGACTTCCATCTTGGGGCCAGAACACAGCCAGTGCCCCATGCCCTGAGCCAGCCAGTCCTGAACCTGGGGGTGGATGGGAGCCAGTACCCCATAGAGGGGACAGGCCCCATGCCCCATTCCCCACCCCCAAAGCCAGCCAATCCCTGCCCGGGGGCCAGATGGGAGCCAGTACCCCATAGAGGGGATAGGCCCCATGCCCCATTCCCCACCCCCCTGAGCCAGCCAGTCCCTGCCCTGATGGGGGAGGGGGATGCTAGAGGGGATAGGCCCTGCCCTCCAACCCCCTGACTTCGGCTTCCTGTAATAACAGCCACTATTTTATCTGCCCAGCTCAGCAGAAAATAGCAGCAGGAAGTTCCCAAGATACAGCTTAGATTGTGACATGAACCATCCAGCACCCTGCTCTAACCACCCAGCCCCCACTCCCCTCCCAGAGCTGGGGAAAGAACCCAGGAGTCCTGGCACCTAGCCCCCCCAGCCCCCATTCCCTTCGCAGAGCTGGGGAGAGAACCCAGGAGTCCTGGCGCCTAGCCCCCCCTGCTCTAACCCCCCAGCCCCCACTCCCCTCGCAGAGCTGGGGAGAGAACCCAGGAGTCCTGGCGCCTAGCCCCCCCTGCTCTAACCCCCCAGCCCCCACTCCCCTCCCAGAGCCGGGGAGAGAACCCAGGAGTCCTGGCACCTAGCCCCCTAGCCCCCACTCCCTTCCCAGAGCTGGGGAAAGAACCCAGGAGTCCTGGCACCTAGCCCCCCCAGCCCCCATTCCCTTCGCAGAGCTGGGGAGAGAACCCAGGAGTCCTGGCGCCTAGCCCCCCCTGCTCTAACCCCCCAGCCCCCACTCCCCTCCCAGAGCCGGGGAGAGAACCCAGGAGTCCTGGCACCTAGCCCCCCACAGCCCCCATTCCCTTCGCAGAGCTGGGGAGAGAACCCAGGAGTCCTGGCGCCTAGCCCCCCCTGCTCTAACCCCTAGCCCCCACTCCCCTCCCAGAGCTGGGGAGAGAACCCAGGAGTCCTGGCACCTAGCCCCCCAGCCCCCACTCCCTTCCCAGAGCTGGGGAGAGAACCCAGGAGTTCTAGCTTTCCTTGTTCTAACCCACTGATCCTAATGGCCTCACAGAGCCAGGAAAAGAACCCAGGAGTCCTGATTCCTGGTCCAGCTTCCCTCCCATAAAACCAATTTGAAACGATGCCCCGCCCTGAACTGTTTCAGCTGTGCTTAGGGTGGGGCACACCTGGACCCCAGCCCCATAGACTCACACCCCCACCCTCCACCCTGGGAAATGTCCTTATAAGGAGTGGGAGAGGGGCCCTGCCTACCTTACATGGGGGTGGGGGGGCTATAAAAGGTCAGGCCCCAGGAAGGGGGCTGTAAGACAGGCAGAAGGTAGGAATTGTCAGGGTGAGATTCCTAACTCTTGGGTGGGCTAATAGGGGTCGGGCATGAGAGGCACCAGCAGGGCTGGGGGGACCCCTGGGCTGGGCTGGGCTGGGCTGTCGGGGGGCTGTGGGTCAGGCGTGAGGGGCACCGGCAGGGCTGGGGGGAGCCCAGGGCTGGGCTGGCGGGGGGCTGTGGGTCGGGAGTGAGGGGCACCGGCAGGGCTGGGGGGAGCCCAGGGCTGGGCTGGGTTGTGGGTCGGGAGTGAGGGGCACCGGCAGGGCTGGGGGAAGCCCAGGGCTGGGCTGTCGGGGGGCTGTGGGTCGGGAGTGAGGGGCACCGGCAGGGCTGGGGGGAGCCCAGGGCTGGGCTGTCGGGGGCTGTGGGTCGGGCGTGAGGGGCACCGGCAGGGCTGGGGGGAGCCCAGGGCTGGGCTGTCGGGGGGCTGTGGGTCGGGTGTGAGGGGCACCGGCAGGGCGGGGCTGTGGGTCGGGTGTGAGGGGCACCGGCAGGGCTGGGGGGAGACCAGGGCTGGGCTGGGCTGTCGGGGGCTGTGGGTCGGGTGTGAGGGGCACCGGCAGGGCTGGGCTGTCGGGGGGCTGTGGGTCAGGTGTGAGGGGCACCGGCAGGGCTGGGGGAGCCCAGGGCTGGGCTGGGCTGGCGGGGGGCTGTGGGTCGGGTGTGAGGGGCACCGGCAGGGTTGGGCTGGGCTGGCGGGGGGCTGTGGGTCGGGTGTGAGGGGCACCGGCAGGGCTGGGGGGAGCCCAGGGCTGGGCTGGGCTGGTGGGGGGCTGTGGGTCAGGCGTGAGGGGCACCGGCAGGGCTGGGGGAGCCCAGGGCTGGGCTGGCGGGGGGCTGTGGGTCAGGCGTGAGGGGCACCGGCAGGGCTGGGCTGAACCCAGGGCTGGGCTGGGTTGTGGGTCGGGAGTGAGGGGCACCGGCAGAGCTGGGGGAACCCAGGGCTGGGCTGGCGGGGGCTGTGGGTCGGGCGTGCGGGGCACCGGCAGGGCTGGGGGAACCCAGGGCTGGGCTGTCGGGGGGCTGTGGGTCGGGCGTGAGGGGCACCGGCAGGGCTGGGGGGAGCCCAGGGCTGGGCTGTCGGGGGGCTGTGGGTCGGGTGTGAGGGGCACCGGCAGGGCTGGGGGGAACCCAGGGCTGGTGGGCTGTGGGTCGGGAGTGAGGGGCACCGGCAGGGCTGGGGGAGCCCAGGGCTGGGCTGTCGGGGGGCTGTGGGTCGGGCGTGAGGGGCACCGGCAGGGCTGGGGGAGCCCAGGGCTGGGCTGTCGGGGGGCTGTGGGTCGGGTGTGAGGGGCACCGGCAGGGCTGGGGGGAGCCCAGGGCTGGGCTGGGCTGTTGGGGGGCTGTGGGTCGGGTGTGAGGGGCACCGGCAGGGCTCGGCTGACGGGGGGCTGTGGGTCAGGTGTGAGGGGCACCGGCAGGGCTGGGCTGTCGGGGGGCTGTGGGTCGGGCGTGAGGGGCACCGGCAGGGCTGGGGGGAGCCCAGGGCTGGGCTGTCGGGGGGCTGTGGGTCGGGCGTGAGGGGCACCGGCAGGGCTGGGGGGAGCCCAGGGCTGGGCTGTCGGGGGGCTGTGGGTCGGGTGTGAGGGGCACCGGCAGGGCTGGGCTGTCGGGGGGCTGTGGGTCGGGTGTGAGGGGCACCGGCAGGGCTGGGGGGAGCCCAGGGCTGGGCTGGGCTGTCGGGGGCTGTGGGTCGGGTGTGAGGGGCACCGGCAGGGCTGGGGGAACCCAGGGCTGGGCTGGGTTGTGGGTCGGGCGTGAGGGGCACCGGCAGGGCTGGGGGGAGCCCAGGGCTGGGCTGTCGGGGGGCTGTGGGTCGGGTGTGAGGGGCACTGGCAGGGCTGGGGGGAGCCCAGGGCTGGGCTGGGCTGTGGGTCGGGCGTGCGGGGCACCGGCAGGGCTGGGGGGAGCCCAGGGCTGGGCTGTCGGGGGGACTGTGGGTCGGGAGGGCGGGGGCACGGGCAGGGCTGGGGGAGCCCAGGGCTGGGCTGGGCTGTGGGTCGGGCGTGCGGGGCACGGGCAGGGCTGGGGGGAGACCAGGGCTGGGCTGGGCTGTTGGGGGGCTGTGGGTCAGGTGTGAGGGGCACCGGCAGGGCTGGGCTGTCGGGGGGCTGTGGGTCGGGTGTGAGGGGCACTGGCAGGGCTGGGGGAGCCTAGGGCTGGGCTGTCGGGGGCTGTGGGTCGGGCGTGAGGGGCACCGGCAGGGCTGGGGGAGCCCAGGGCTGGGCTGTCGGGGGGCTGTGGGTCGGGTGTGAGGGGCACCGGCTGGGCTGGGCTGTCGGGGGGCTGTGGGTCGGGTGTGAGGGGCACCGGCAGGGCTGGGGGGAGCCCAGGGCTGGGCTGGGCTGGCGGGGGGCTGTGGGTCGGGGGTGAGGGGCACCGGCAGGGCTGGGGGAGCCCAGGGCTGGGCTGGGTGGCGGGGGCTGTGGGTCGGGTGTGAGGGGCACCGGCAGGGCTGGGCTGTCGGGGGTGTGGGTCAGGTGTGAGGGGCACCGGCAGGGCTGGGCTGTCGGGGGCTGTGGGTCGGGCGTGAGGGGCACCGGCAGGGCTGGGGGGAGCCCAGGGCTGGGCTGTCGGGGGGCTGTGGGTCGGGCGTGAGGGGCACCGGCAGGGCTGGGGGGAGCCCAGGGCTGGGCTGGGTTGTGGGTCGGGCGTGAGGGGCACCGGCAGGGCTGGGGGAGCCCAGGGCTGGGCTGGCGGGGGGCTGTGGGTCGGGCGTGCGGGGCACGGGCAGGGCTGGGGGAGCCAGGGCTGGGCTGGGCTGTGGGTCGGGCGTGCGGGGCACGGGCAGGGCTGGGGGGAGACCAGGGCTGGGCTGGGCTGTTGGGGGGCTGTGGGTCAGGTGTGAGGGGCACCGGCAGGGCTGGGCTGTCGGGGGGCTGTGGGTCGGGTGTGAGGGGCACCGGCAGGGCTGGGGGGAGCCCAGGGCTGGGCTGGGCTGTCGGGGGGCTGTGGGTCGGGTGTGAGGGGCACCGGCAGGGCTGGGGGAACCCAGGGCTGGGTGGGTTGTGGGTCGGGGTGAGGGGCACGGGAGGGCTGGGGGGAGCCAGGGGGGGGGGTGTGGGTGGGGTGGGGGACCGGCAGGGTGGGGGAGCCCAGGGCTGGGTGGGGGGGGGGCGGGGTCGGGCGTGAGGGGCACCGGCAGGGCGGGGGAGCCAGGGCTGGGCTGGGCTGTCGGGGGGCTGTGGGTCGGGTGTGAGGGGCACCGGCAGGGCTGCGGGGAGCCCAGGGCTGGGCGGGGCTGTGGGTCGGGTGTGAGGGGCACCGGCAGGGCTGGGGGGAGCCCAGGGCTGGGCTGGGCTGGCGGGGGGCTGTGGGTCGGGTGTGAGGGGCACCGGCAGGGCTGGGCTGTCGGGGGGCTGTGGGTCGGGTGTGAGGGGCACCGGCAGGGCTGGGTGTCGGGGGCTGTGGGTCGGCGTGAGGGGCACCGGCAGGGCTGGGGGAGCCAGGGCTGGGCTGGGTTGTGGGTCGGGCGTGAGGGGCACCGGCAGGGCTGGGGGAGCCCAGGGCTGGGCTGTCGGGGGGCTGTGGGTCGGGAGTGCGGGGCACGGGCAGGGCTGGGGGGAGCCCAGGGCTGGGCTGGGCTGTGGGTCGGGCGTGCGGGGGCACGGGCAGGGCTGGGGGGAGACCAGGGCTGGGCTGGGCTGTTGGGGGGCTGTGGGTCAGGTGTGAGGGGCACCGGCAGGGCTGGGCTGTCGGGGGGCTGTGGGTCGGGTGTGAGGGGGCACCGGCAGGGCTGGGGGAGCCCAGGGCTGGGCTGGGCTGTCGGGGGGCTGTGGGTCGGGTGTGAGGGGCACCGGCAGGGCTGGGGGGAACCCAGGGCTGGGCTGGGTTGTGGGTCGGGCGTGAGGGGCACCGGCAGGGCTGGGGGGAGCCCAGGGCTGGGCTGGGCTGTGGGTCGGGCGTGCGGGGCACCGGCAGGGCTGGGGGGAGCCCAGGGCTGGGCTGGGCTGGCGGGGGGCCGTGGGTCGGGCGTGAGGGGCACCGGCAGGGCTGGGGGGAGCCCAGGGCTGGGCTGGGCTGTCGGGGGGCTGTGGGTCGGGCGTGAGGGGCACCGGCAGGGCTGGGGGAACCCAGGGCTGGGCTGGGCTGTGGGTTGGGCGTGAGGGGCACCGGCAGGGCTGGGGGGAGCCCAGGGCTGGGCGGGGCTGTGGGTCGGGCGTGAGGGGCACTGGCAGGGCTGGGGGGAACCCAGGGCTGGGCTGGCGGGGGGCTGTGGGTGAGGTGTGAGGGGCACCGGCAGGGCTGGGGGGAACCCAGGGCTGGGCTGGGGCTGTGGGTCGGGCGTGAGGGGCACCGGCAGGGCTGGGGGGAACCCAGGGCTGGGCTGGGTTGTGGTCGGGCGTGAGGGGCACCGGCAGGGCTGGGGGGAGCCCAGGGCTGGGCGGGGCTGTGGGTCGGGCGTGGGGGGCACCGGCAGCTTTAACCCTCTCCATGCCCCCAGCTCCGGGCCCCTGAGACATGGCGGAGGATGCAGATGGCCACAGGGCCCCCCTGCTGCCAGGCACGGAGGAGTCCCCTGGGCACCCTGCGCTGAACTGTAAGTGCCGGGCCCCTCGGGCCGCCGGGCCCCTCGGGCCCTCTGACCCCCGCCGTCCTCCTCGCCTGCCCCTAACCCGGCTCTCTCTCTTCCAGTCCTGGGGAAGGCAGCGGCCTCGGTGCTGCCAATCGCCAGCCTTGTCGTCGGTGAGTGTCCGCCCCGCTCCCCCCGGGGCTGAGCCCACCCCGTGTGGGTGCCCCCTGGGCAGGGGCTGCCCCGGGCACTGACCCCCTCTCCCCACGGCAGGAGCCTTGTACCTGGGCCAGTGCCCGCACCAGCCCCTGCTGCCCTGCTACCTGCTGGTGGGGGGCAGCGCCGCCCTGCTCTTCCTGCTGCTGACCTGCCTGCCCTGCGGGGACGGGACGGACCCGCCCCAGCTGAGCCCCGGCACCCGCGGCTGGAGGGCGGCTTTCCTGCTCTTCCTCTTCGCGTGGTTCATCGCCGGTGAGCGCCCCCCTCCCCGACGCCCCGGTCACCCCGCTATCCCCGCACCTCTGCTTCACCCCAGGGAGGGGCTGAGCCCCGCCTGGCTCCCACTGCCCCCCTTCCCTGAGGACTGACTCTGGGGCACTGCCTGCCTTGGGGCAGGGGAGGGGGGGGTTAGCGGGGGGGGTCCCTGGAGTCTGTGCCTCCTCTGGGTGGGTCCTCTCCCCCCTTAGCGAGACTCCCCTCGGCTGCGTTTGGGCCCCCTCCCCAGCCAGCCTTGACCTCTGACCTCCAGTCTCTTTTCTCCCCCCTCCTGCCAGGTAACGTCTGGGTCTACTCCATCTACCCCCCGGAGTACAAGGACCCCAAGAATCCGGATTTCTGCTCCCGCCCCCTCTACCTCTTCGCCTTCTGGGTCACCACGCTGGTGTACGTGGGGCTGGGGGTCGCGTTGCTGGCTGCCCTCGGCATCCTGGGCTGCCTGGTGCTGCTGCGGGCACGGCTGCCCTGGCTCCAGCGGGGAGACGCGTATCCCTAGCCGGGGGGGAGACAAGGGGGTAAATAAAGGCCTGAAACACAGCTGGCAAATGGAGTCCTCCTTGTCTCCGGGGCAGCTCCTGGGGTGGCTACCCCTGAGCCAGACTCCCCGATCCCCCAGCCCTCCAAGCCGGGCTCCCCGTGGCCTGAGCCAGACCCCTGCTTGGGGGTCCTCCTGGCCCCCCCACCCTGTGATGCAGGGCAGTGGGGTCCAGGTCGGGCTGCCCCGCTGTGGCCTGAAGGGGGGGCAGCCAGTCCCTGCTGTGGAAGAGGAGGTGAGGGCTGGGGGGGCCCTAAGGGGGGGGGAGAGGAGCTGAGCTGGCAGCTGTCATGCTGTAGCCAGGCTCCCATCAGCAGCTGAGGCGGCTGCCCGTGGGAGGGGGGCCTTTGAGCCCCTGGGGCAGGTGTCGTCCGTGCCCCCCTCAGCGAGACTCCCCATGAGCCCCTGGGGCAGGTGTCGCGCCCCCCCTCCCCTCTCAGCGAGACTCCCCATGAGCCCCTGGGGCAGGTGTCGCCCCCCCTCCCCCTCAGCGAGACTCCCCATGAGCCCCTGGGGCAGGTGTCGCACCCCCCCCCCCCTCAGCGAGACTCCCATGAGCCCCTAGGGCAGGTGTCGCACTCCCTGACCCCTTAGCGAGACTCCCATGAGCCCCTGGGGCAGGTATCACACTCCCTGACCCCTTAGCGAGACTCCCATGAGCCCCTGGGGCAGGTGTTCTCCCCCCCCCCCTTAGCGAGACTCCCATGAGCCCCTGGGGCAGCTGTCATGCACCCCTCCTCCCTTAACGAGACTCCCATGAGCCCCTGGGGCAGGTGTCACCCCCTTAGTGAGACTCCTGCTGCTGGCACCCAGTACCGAGAGGCTAAACAACAGCTGGGGTTGGTTTGCTACCCGGTGTGCGTCACCCAATAATCACAACAGGGTGGAGACACAGAAAAGTTTATTTGCAGCTGCAAAAAGGTCCAGGGAGAATAAAATCTCAAATCCTGCACCTAGAGCAGGAAGTTACATAGACTTTTATACATTTTTTTTTAGCATACTTATTTAATAGCAAGCTGCCCTAAGTATTTATATTGCCAGCCAATTCAATTTTCAGCTAGTTTTTTTGTTTTTTGTATTATTTGTTAAACCATACATAAAGCTGCTTTATTTAGCATTGTTTTTTTATATTTGCCCTGTTTGGCCTTGCTTAGTTTCAGGCAGTCTGACTCTGCAACCTGTTGTTGCAGATCCTCAGCATAACTGCTGCGAGTGCCTCCAGGCGGGGGGGCCAAGGACACTTGGGCCTAGTGCGAGGGGGCTTCATTGACACTCGTGGTTTTCCATTTTTTTGAGTTATTTAGTGGCCATGCCCCAGTGTTTTTAACAACTCCCTCCTTTGAGAACACTCAACAACCTTGGCTCTGAGTTTTCTTACTTGGGCTACTTATTTCTTTACAATAGGATTTTGCATAAGCACTTTGTGATAGCCCTGAAGAGAAGGACTTATTAACTTTTGCAAAAGGGCCCTAACACATAATACTGCACAGCATAATACCGGTAATACAAGCAATACAGGAAAGAGAAGTTTCAATAACAGGCTAAATAAACCACCAAGCCAAAACGACAAACCCCAGCCTGAAAACAAGGTTTGCAACCAATCGCTCTTGGGGGCAGTATAGGCAACCTGTGCTCCGGCTAGGGCATGGGCCTCAGCCTGTACCGCCTTCTCATAGATTTTATAACTGCTATCATTTACATATACATAACACTGGGGCCCGACGAGGGCACAAACCCCTCCTTGGGATGCCAAGAGATAGTTTAAAGTTTTTTTTGGGCAGTGTGGCAGTTATTGACAGATGAGGAACTTCATGAGCTATATAACAGCTACCTGTCCAGCTGGCTGGCAGCACCTTGTAAGCCTTTTGGCGACATACAAAATAGTGACCCTGTAGGGCCCAGTAAGGACTGTTTCTTAAGGGGATTCCTGGGATATTTAAAGCTGTTTTTTTAAACAGTTCATATGCCCCTAAGGGGGCATCCCATTCTCCTGACTGGGTACAAGTGGGGGCGTTTTTAATTGTGCCGTTTAAATTACACTCGCCATAGGGACCACTACAAACTTATCATTGGCTTGCTACATTGGAGATATTAACTGGACGGCAAGTTATATTTCCAAACCTTTTTTTGTGGTAAGATTATTTGTAAGAGTTTCCCTAAAAGGGGAGGAACCGTTACACCCAAACTGCTGGCCTCCCCTGTTGGTCTTTATCCAATACGCATCAGCCCACTGCGTAATAACAGAGGAGCTCTTTCCCACAGGACGCCCATAGTGATCAGATTGGTTTCGTGTAAAACATAACACTCCCTCGGTGAGTACTGCAGCTGAATACTCCTGGTCCTGATAGGTGGCTTGCTGTAAAGAGGTCTTATTCCAGAATGGCGAGTCCGTTCTTTCCTGCTCTTCGGTGGTGCTAATTCTGCTAGAGTCAGGGGCAGCATGTCAAGGGGCATTCCCATTTTGGGGGACAGTGGAGTCGGAGCACATACCCAGCAATCAATCTGGTTTGTTAAAGTAGCACCATGGTGCGCAAGCGAAACAAAGGAGTTATGCTCCCGATATGCACAGTTTGGAAATAACAATACAGAGAATAACAATGTTACCCAATTAATTATCACCAGAGTCTTCCCAACCTAGGGTCTCCAGTACCTGGGTGGGCCCATTTTAGCATTAAGATGCCCGCTATTTGTGTCTTTTAAACAGTAGCTTTAGCCCGAGATCGTCACTAGATGAGGAGTCAGCAGGTTGGACGGTCCACTGTTCTGCTGACGAGGGGGCGGGTACTGCCTTCAGCCGAGAGTGATGGATTCAGTTCTTGTGCCTCTTGATTTTTGCCGCTGTATGGGAGATCCGCAGGACGGCATAGGGTCCTTTCCACTTTTCCTGGAGAGGTTCGTCTTTCCAGGTACGAACAAGCACGGAGTCACCGGGCTGTAAGGAGTGAACGGGAGAGTCCAAGGGGAGAGGCTGGGAATCCTTGGTATACCTGTGAAGAGACAAGAGAACAGCAGACAGGGAACACATATACTGTGACAACAAACCATTACCCAACTCCCATTCCCCTGACAGAACCGGGGTGCCATTCACAGGCCATGCCCTTTTACACATCATTTTAAAGGGACTGAGCCCTAATTTACCCTTAGGGAGAGCGCGGACATGGAGCAGGACGAGGGGCAAAGCATCAGGCCATCGCAGCTGGGGTTGGGGGTGGGGTCCCCCTCCTTTCTCTGCCTGCCTTTCCCCCCTTTTCTTTTCTTTTTGGCCCTTTTCGTGTTTTCTGTGCACAGGCACCGGTTGGCTGTCTCTTCTGCAACCGGCGTTGTTCGCTTCTTCTCCTGGCCCTTCCTTAGTGCTGGCCTGTCGTGTTCCTCGTGTCCTTGCTTTTTTTTTGTTTTGTTTTTTTAGCTATAGCTTGGTTTGCAGTCTCTAAGTTTGTGCCTGGTCATGCCCTTAAATTTTTTTTTTGTACTTTTTTTTAATATCAGGGGCGCTCTGTTGTAAAAATTCCCTTAATAATTGCTCAGTTGCCTGATCAGGGGTCTGCATAGTGTTCTGTTGATTGGTCCCGACACGTCACGTGTGAAGGCCCTGGGCTTTTTTAAATCCGCATTACTTCAAGGTTGCCCAATTATTATGTCGGACAGCGAGTGACAGAGTCCATGCAAAAGCAACTTCTTATAGGGGTAGGGGGTCTTCCCATGTCATTTGGTCCCACCGGGGTGCTCGGGGGACTGTGCATCGGGTCAGGGCATTATCGTCCGGTCGTCTGTTTCTGCGCCTTTCCTTGCCTTGGACACAACCGTTGTCTTTCAACCTAGACAATAGGGTCGCAGGAGGTGTTCAATCCCCGGTGGGTGATGTGGGCACCCTCAAAGACTGATATAAACCGTCGGGTTGGTGGAAAACCCCGCCTGTGCTGAAAGCAGCCAAATCACAGGATTAAGGGCCTGAGTATAACTGCAAACCACGAGTATAAACCGTGGGGGCTGTCCGATCCAGCGGGCAACTGGTTTTGGTGATTAAAGGGTTAGGCATTGGGGACTCAAGGTGTGAGGTGGGGCCAAGGGGCCGTCTGTCATTACAGTGGGGGTGGGGGTCTGGGGCTAACATAGGCCGAACCAGTCGGAGTCAGATTACAGTGCTGTAAAATATCTGGTCGAGTCATAAAGCCAGAAACAAATGCGTGTCTCGTTCATTCCTTTTTTGTTTTTGACAGACAGGTAACTGAAGGTCGTGTTGTAATTAATTGCCTCCGGGCCCCTCCGGTCCTTTAGTTGATATTGAGGCCAGTTAACGTACAGAATCATTTTAATTGGCTTTTAGTTATTGGTTCGCACCAAATACCTTCCAGTTTGCTAGAATGCATTCGAGGGCTACACGTGCCCTACGCCGCCCTGTCCCATACCTACAGGTAACCGGGCCCCCAGGTTCCACAGGCTACAATCGGTTTTAAAGGTTCCTACCTTATTCAAGGGCCGTTCCTCCCGTTGTCCGCGCTCTCCACTATATGAGTGATTGCACCGTTGTGCCCCGTCAAATGCTTTTTCCAAGACCCTGATGAACTCACCGCTGTGCGGGGATCGGTTCTCACCCAATCCTTGACCTCCAGGAGGGGGCAAATAGAGCGGCCCACCAGGGACCAAAGCGTTGGGCACCCAGTGCCAAGAGGCTAAACAACAGCTGGGGTTGGTTTGCTACCTGGTGTGGTCACCCAATAATCACACGGGGTGGAAAACAGAAAATATTTGCAGCTGAGGTAAAAAGGATAGGAAAAAATCAACACCAAAAAAAAGTTTTTACCACACTTATTTATGAGCAGCTGCCGTATGTTATTTGTCGTTTAGGCCTATTGTTCCGCAGATCCTCAGCATAACTGGGGGGGAATCGCTAGGGAGGGGGCTCATTATTTGACACACTGGGGCAGGTATCACACTCCCTGACCCCTTAGCGAGACTCCCATGAGCCCCTGCACCCCCCCCGGACCCCCCCCCCCCCGACTCCCATGAGCCCCTGGGGGCCACCCCTGCAGAACCCATGAGCCCCTGGGACAGGTGTCGCCCTCCCCCCCTTAGCGAGACTCCCATGAGCCCCTGGGGCAGCTGTCACACTCCCTGACCCCTCAGCGAGACTCCCATGAGCCCCTGGGGCAGGTATTGCCCCCCCCCCTTAGCGAGACTCCCATGAGCCCCTGGGGCAGGTATCTTCCTACCCCTTAGTGAGACTCCCATGAGCCCCTGGGGCAGGTATAGCCTCCCCCCTACGAGACTCCCATGAGCCCCTGGGGCAGGTGTTGTGCCCCACTCTCCCCTTCACGAGACTCCCCATGAGCCCTGGGGCAGGTGTTGCCCTCCCCCCCTTAGTGAGACCCCATGAGCCCGGCGCAGGTATCGCCTCCCCCCCCTTAGCGAGACTCCCATGAGCCCCTGGGGCAGGTATCTTCCCCCCCTTAGCGAGACTCCCATGAGCCCCTGGGGCAGGTGTTGTGCCCCACTCTCCCCTTCACGAGACTCCCCATGAGCCCCTGGGGCAGGTGTTGCCCTCCCCCCCCTTAGCGAGACTCCCATGAGCCCCTGGGGCAGGTATCTTCCCCCCTTAGTGAGACTCCCATGAGCCCCTGGGGCAGGTGTTGCACTCCCCCCCTTAGTGAGACTCCCATGAGCCCCTGGGGCAGGTGTTGCCCTCCCCCCCCTTAGCGAGACTCCCATGAGCCCCTGGGGCAGGTATTGCCTCCCCCCCTTAGCGAGACTCCCATGAGCCCCTGGGGCAGGTGTTGTGCCCCACTCTCCCCTTCACGAGACTCCCCATGAGCCCCTGGGGCAGGTGTTGCCCTCCCCCCCCCCCCCTGGCGCGGTATCGCCTCCCCCCCTTAGCGAGACTCCCATGAGCCCCTGGGGCAGGTATCTTCCCCCCCTTAGCGAGACTCCCATGAGCCCCTGGGGCAGGTGTTGTGCCCCACTCTCCCCTTCACGAGACTCCCCATGAGCCCCTGGGGCAGGTGTTGCCCTCCCCCCCCCCTTAGCGAGACTCCCATGAGCCCCTGGGGCAGGTGTTGTGCCCCACTCTCCCCTTCACGAGACTCCCCATGAGCCCCTGGGGCAGGTGTTGCCCTCCTCCCCCTTAGCGAGACTCCCATGAGCCCCTGGGGCAGGTGTTGCACTCCCTCCCTTAGCGAGACTCCCATGAGCCCCTGGGGCAGGTGTCTTCCCCTCCCTTAGCGAGACTCCCATGAGCCCCTGGGGCAGGTATCTTCCCCCCCCTTAGCGAGACTCCCATGAGCCCCTGGGGCAGGTATCTTCCCCCCCTTAGCGAGACTCCCATGAGCCCCTGGGGCAGGTGTCTTCCCCCCTTAGCGAGACTCCCATGAGCCCCTGGGGCAGGTGTCTTCCCCCCTTAGCGAGACTCCCATGAGCCCCTGGGGCAGGTGTCTTCCCCCCCTTAGTGAGACTCCCATGAGCCCCTGGGGCAGGTGTCTTCCCCCCCCTTAGCGAGACTCCCATGAGCCCCTGGGGCAGGTGTTGCCCTCCCCCCCTTAGCGAGACTCCCATGAGCCCCTGGGGCAGGTATCTTCCCCCCCCTTAGCGAGACTCCCATGAGCCCCTGGGGCAGGTGTTGCCCTCCCCCCTTAGCGAGACTCCCATGAGCCCCTGGGGCAGGTATCTTCCCCCCCCTTAGCGAGACTCCCATGAGCCCCTGGGGCAGGTGTTGCCCTCCCCCCCTTAGCGAGACTCCCATGAGCCCCTGGGGCAGGTGTCTTCCCCCCCCTTAGTGAGACTCCCATGAGCCCCTGCGGCGGGCGGTCACGAGCGCTGGGGGCGGCTCCCGAGGAGGCTTCAGGCCACGCGCCTCATTAATATTCATCGGCTCGCCCCGGCGGGGGGCGGGGAGCCGGAAGTTGCCCAGCCCGCAGGCCCCGCCCCCCTCCGGTCCCCCAGCCCCTGGGCCAATGGCAGCGCGAGGCTCCGAGCGGGCGGGGGACGGACGGCGCGGCGGGCCAATGGGCGGGGATAAGAGCGGGGCGGGGCGGGGAGTCAGCTGACGGCGGGGCGTGGAGCGGCTGGTGCTGCCCCGAGATGGTGAGGCCGGGACCCCCCCCATGGCGCGGGGCGGGGGATTCCCCCGGGGGGGCGCGGGCCGGGACCCCCCCATGGCGCGGGGCGGGAGATTCCCCCGGGGGGGGGCGCGGGCCGGGACCCCCCCCATGGCGCGGGGCGGGGATTCCCCCGGGGGGCGCGGGGGGACCCCCATGGGGGGGCGGGGGATTCCCCGGGGGGGCGCGGGCGGGACCCCCATGGCGGGGGCGGGGGATTCCCCCGGGGGGGGGGGGGGACCCCCATGGCGGGGGGGGGGCGGGGATTCCCGGGGGGGGGGGACCCCATGGGGGGGGGGCCGGGACCCCCATGGGCGGGGGGGGATTCCCCGGGGGGGGGGGGGGGGACCCCATGGCGCGGGGCGGGGATTCCCCCGGGGGGGCGCGGGCCGGGACCCCCCCCATGGCGCGGGGCGGGGGATTCCCCCGGGGGGGGGCGCGGGCCGGGACCCCCCCATGGCGCGGGGCGGGGGATTCCCCCGGGGGGGGGCGCGGGCCGGGACCCCCCCATGGCGCGGGGCGGGGGATTCCCCCGAGGGGGGGCGCGGGCCGGGACCCCCCCATGGCGCGGGGGGGTTGGGGCGCCTCCTCCGGGCCCCTCTCTCCAGCCTCTGCCCCACACACCTGCTGACCCTCCCCCCCCCCAGACCACGGCGCTGACCCAGGGGCTGGAGCGGATCCCCGACCAGCTGGGCTACCTGGTGATCTGCGATGGAGCGGTGCTGGCGGTGAGTGGGGGGCCCGGACGCCTGGGTTCTCTCCCCGGCGCTGGGAGGGGAGTGGGGGCGGGTGGGTCAGAGCAGGGGGTGCTGGGAGCCAGGACGCCTGGGTTCTCTCCCCAGCGCTGGGAGGGGGCGGGCTGGGAGCCAGGACTCCTGGGTTCTCTCCTGGGTGCTGGGAGGGGAGTGGGGGCAGGTGGGTTAGAGCAGGGGTGCTGGGAGCCAGGACGCCTGGGTTCTCTCCCCAGCGCTGGGAGGGGGCGGGCTGGGAGCCAGGACTCCTGGGTTCTCTCCCCAGCGCTGGGAGGGGAGTGGGGGCAGCTGGGTTAGAGCAGGGGGTGCTGGGAGCCAGGACTCCTGGGTTCTCTCCCCGGCGCTGGGAGGGGGCGGGCTGGGAGCCAGGACTCCTGGGTTCTCTCCTGGGTGCTGGGAGGGGAGTGGGGGCAGGTGGGTTAGAGCAGGGGTGCTGGGAGCCAGGACGCCTGGGTTCTCTCCCCGGCGCTGGGAGGGCAGTGAGGGCTGGTGGGTTAGAGCAGGGGGTGCTGGGAGCCAGGACGCCTGGGTTCTCTCCCCGGCGCTGGGAGGGGAGTGGGGGCGGGTGGGTTAGAGCAGGGGGGGCTGGGAGCCTGTACTCCCTTGCGCTGCTGACCTGCTGTGTGAATTTGGGGGAGGGGGGCTCCTCACGCTCTCTAACCTGGGGCTCCCCTGCTCCGCAGTCGGCTGGTGACCTGGAGAACGCCGAGCACACGGCGGGGGTGATCTCGGAGCTGGTGGCCACGGCCTGCGGCTTCCGGCTCCAGCGTGGCCCCGACCCCCCCTTCAAACGCCTCTCGGGTGAGTCTGGGGGGAGGAGAATGCCCGCGGGGCGGGGTGTATGCTGGCATGGTGAGGTGGGGAGGAAGGGGGCGCTGCTGCTGTAGGGCTGGGCCCTTTGTCCCAAGCCTTCCCCCCGCCCCCGTGCCCACTCCCTGTCTGTGACCCCCCCAGGAGTGGTGTTACGCCCTCCGCTCCAGAACAGCCTCTGGGACCCCAAGGGATCTCTTCCCCCCACTCCTGAGACTGACCCACTACAGGGTCCTCCCCTACCTGATCCCCATCAACCCATTGGGGGGACAAAGGTTTCCTTTCGCTCTCCCATGAGCCTCTGGGGTAGCGAGGGTGGCCACCCCTGACTCTCTCTGTCCCCAGTCCTAGCGGGGGGGGTCTCATGCCAAACTCTCTCCCCCCTCAGTGGTGTTCGGGGAACACACCTTCCTGGTGACCGTCTCTGGCCAGAAGATCTTTGTGGTGAAGCGACAGAACCATGTGCGGGAGCCGGTCGCTGTCTGAGCCGCGGGGGCAGGTTCCATATGCAAGTGTGGCTGGGTGAAATTGGGGGCGCTCCCCCCTCAGAGTTCTTGACCTGTGGGGGTCTCGCAGGGGCTGGTTGGGGACCCCCTGGCTTTCCCCCTTGCAGCACCTGCTCCCATGGCTGCCTGATTGAAGCCCCTGCACCTGCCAGGCCTAGCTGGGTGGGGTCCCCCACTTCACCAGGGCCCCTGCTGGGGCAGGAGGGCTCCAGAGATGCCCCTGCAAACACACCCACCCTGTGGGGACAGGAGGGGAGGCTGCAGCGGTATCTGTGGGGCTTCCTGGAGATATGGGGGGGGAGAGAATAGGCTCCGGCCAGGGGCCTCACTGTAACTGTTCAGAGAATAAAGTGTTTTTCCTAGCTGGTCTATGGGGTCTCCTTCCGTGGGGAGAGGGAGGCTGTGGGGATCCTACCCCCGCCATGCTCCAGGGGAGCCCTTGACTTGCCATGGGTCGTTGCTGCCCCTCCTCGCCCTCTGCAACTACAGCCGTGCGGGTCACCTGGGGGGAAGCTCCCCCCTGCTCGCAGGCATGGCTCAGGCTCCCTGCACATACAGCCCGTGGCACTGGGTCATTCCCAGGCGGGTGGCAGCCCCCCGCTCTCGGAGCGAGCGGCTCGGGCTCCCGGCAGCCCCGGTCGCGCAGGGGCCGGCTCTCGGAGCGAGCGGCTCGGGCAGCCCCGGTCGCACAGGGGCTGGCTCCCTGCCAGTCGCCCACTGCTCTGCTTTGGCCTGCAGCTGCCTGGACCCTGTGTGTCTCTATGGGGCCCAGCCCCCTGCAGCAACTCTGGGTGCAGCACCTGGTACCCTCCTGATCTCTTTGGGGGGGGGGTCTGTGCCGTGCATGGTGTTATACCCTCCCCCAACACCCAGCAAAGCAGGGCCGGTTCCATCCCATGAGGTTTATTCACAGACACAAATAAAGCCAGTTCAGAGACAAATAAATAACAAAAAAATGTAAATAAAGTGCAGTGGGGGCCCCTGGTCCAGTAAGTCCCTGTAGCCACAGGGGGCAACCTCGCCTGGGTAGCCCCCCCCCCAACAGCAAGGGCTAGGGAATGTACCTGCAGTGAGGCATGTGGGGCTGGGACCTTCTATGGGGTGGCTCAGGGCTGCGCCAGGCGCCTTCCTTCCCTTGGCTGGGATCGGGGCTGGCAAAGCTCATCTAGATAGCAGTGGGAGAGGGCAGCCGCAGGGGCTGAGGGGAGCCTGGCTCTCAGGGGATGCTGCCCCAGGGGCTGATAGGAAGGAAGGGGCTCACTCCAGCCCAGCCAGGGCCAAGCAGTACCATGGGTCCCTGCCCCCCAGCTCAGGGGGAATTTGCGGGGCCCCCAAATTAAAAAGGCAATGCAGGAAGCAAAGGGTTTTGTAAACAGTGACTGGGAACCAGCAATGAGATGTGTTCACCCCACCCACCCATAGCCACGGGTCCCACCCCTGGCACCCCCACAACTAACAGCAGGGAAACAGCAGCAGGATCACCCTGAAAATGGCACCCAGCCCACCCCCCCCCCCCTTCACAACACAGTAGCTGTGGCCTCTGCTGCCCCAACTCCCCCCTCCCACCCCCCCAGCACAGACCCATAATGCAATTCTCTCACACACACCCACCCATACTGGCCTGCAGCCTACCACATGCTGCTCCCCTGAGTCTGCAGTTCCCTCCCCCCCTTGGCACATGCCAGCCTCCCCCTGCACCCCATCCATGGTCCCAGGCCTCCAGCAACATGAGCTCCGGGGGGAAGCAGCAGCGAGGCGATGGGGGGCACCGGGAGGGACGTTTGGCCTCTTCACTTGATGGGCTCCACCACCAGAACCTTGCACTCGCGCTTGGCGATCTTGTCCAGCGACAGGACGCTCTTCTCGGGGGGCAGGTAGAGGGGGCGGCCCACGGGGGAGCCCACAGGCGGCGTGATGGCACGGCGCTCCATGACGCTACCCGACCTGCCGGGGGGGGGGGGGCACCAAGTGTCAGTGCGGGGGGGGGTCGCTGATTCCTCCCCTGCCCCCCCAGACAGCTCCCCTGCCACCCCTTCCCTTTTCAACCCACTCCCCTCACAGAGCCAGGAGAGGGACCTAGGAATCCTGGCTCCCACCAGCCATGTGTATATGTGGGGGGGGTGGGAAGCACAGATGCCCTCACCTGATTGGCCCCCCTAGTGCAGACAGGTGAATGAAGGGGAGGGGCCCAATGTTAGAGCCCCGCCTCCCCCAGGCTCCACCCACTGGCCAGGCTCCTTCCCCCCCTTAAATACTCCAGAGCTTCTGGGTGAAGGTCTCCTCTGGGACTGAAGACTCCAAGCCTCCCCCAGTCCCCCTGGCCCTCAGCAGCCCCCCGCCCAGCCCCCTGCACACCTCATGAGGTGGCTGCGGGAAGGCTGCTGGTGGGAGAAGGACTGGGACCGGCCCAGCCCGGCCTGGTGCCGCTCGACCAGGTCCCGCACAGCCGGGCTGCCGGGGCTGCTCCTGCGCGAGATGGGCCGGGCGTCAGGGGGTGGGTTCGAGACGCTCGCTGTGAACTGCAGCTTCAGCTTCATGTGCTGGGAGAGCTGAGGGGAGGAGAGATGATAGCACAGAAACTGCCCCTCCCTGCACCCCCCCCCCAAGAACCCAGGAGTCCTGTCTCCCAGCCCACCCTACTCTCAGCCACCAGCCCCCACTCCTCTCCCAGAGCTGGGGAGAGAACCCAGGAGTCCTGGCTCCCAGCGCCCCCTGCTCTAACCCACCAGCCCCCACTCCTCTCCCAGAGCTGGGGAGAGAACCCAGGAGTCCTGGCTCCCAGCGCCCCCTGCTCTAACCCACCAGCCCTCGCTCCCCTCCCAGAGCTGGGGAGAGAACCCAGGAGTCCTGGCTCCCAGCCCCCCTGCTCTAACCCACCAGCCCTCGCTCCCCTCCCAGAGCCGGGGAGAGAACCCAGGTGTCCTGGCTCCCAGCCCCCAGGGAGGGCCAGGCGGGCGGGTACCTCGAAGAGGCCGGCGCGGAGGGCCTGGAAGGCGACCTGGATGGTCAGGGCGCTGCCCTTGCGGGAATAGCCCAAGCTGTTGAGGGGCGTGTGGCAGACGATGGCGTCCAGGGCTGCCTGCGTGGCCCGGCGCTCCTCGCTGGACAGCTTCTTCCCTGGGGGTGGGGAGGGGTCAGAGCCGCCTGGAGCCCCCCGCAGCCCCCACAAGGCCTGCCCCCCACCAAACTCCCATCCCCTCCCAGCGTTTCCCAGCCCCCCGCCGACCCCTCCCAGCCCCACCTGACCCCTCCCAGCGCTCCCAGCCCCCCACCAAACCCCCAGCTCCAGGCCACCCGAGCCCGCTCACAGTCCCCACAGCTCCATCCTGCACCCCCCCCCCCCCCATGCCCACCAGCCGTGGCCTTGCCCACATCACAACACCAGGCCCCTGCAGCCCCGCCCACCAGCCGCGGCGCTCTCCGGGGTCCAGACCAGCCGCACAGCCAGGAAGTCCTGCAGGTTGTTGAGCAGGGTGTAGGTGACGGTGAAGCGTCGGCGCAGGGGCACGGGCGACTCGCAGGCTGCCGTCATCACGAATCGCGGCCGGTCCAGCCTGATGCTGGGCAGCCTGGGAACAGAACATAAGAACAGCCAGACTGGGTCAGAGCAAAGGTCCATCCAGCCCAGTGTCCTGTCTGCCGACAGTGGCCAGTGCCAGGTGCCCCAGAGGGAATGGACCGAACAGGGAATCACCAAGTGATCCATCCCCTGTCACCCATTGCCAGCTTCTGGCAAACAGAGGCCAGGGCCACCATCCCTGACCATCCTGGCTAATAGCCATTGCTGGACCTGTCCTCCAGGAACGTATCTAGTTTTTTTTTTTTTTAACCCTGTTATGGTCTTGGCCTTCACAACATCCTCTGGCAAGGAGTTCCACAAGTTGACTGTGTGTTGTGTGAAGAAATCATAGAATCATAGAATATCAGGGTTGGAAGGGACCTCAGGAGGTCATCTAGTCCAACCCCCTGCTCAAAAGCAGGACCAATCCCAAACTAAATCATCCCAGCCAGGGCTTTGTCAAGCCTGACCTTAAAAACTTCTAAGGAAGGAGATTCTACCACCTCCCTAGGCAACGCATTCCAGTGTTTCTCCACCCTCCTAGTGAAGAAGTTTTTCCTAATATCCAACCTAAACCTCCCCCACTGCAACTTGAGACCATTACTCCTTGTCCTGTCCTCTTCCACCACTGAGAATAGTCTAGATCCATCCTCTCTGGAACCACCTCTCAGGTAGTTGAAAGCAGCTATCAAATCCCCCCTCATTCTTCTCTTCTGCAGACTAAACAATCCCAGTTCCCTCAGCCTCTCCTCATAAGTCATGTGTTCCAGACCCCTAATCATTTTTGTTGCCCTTCGCTGGACTCTTTCCAATTTATCCACATCCTTCTTGTAGTGTGGGGCCCAAAACTGGACACAGTACTCCAGATGAGGCCTCACCAATGTCGAATAGAGGGGGACAATCACGTCCCTCGATCTGCTCGCTATGCCCCTACTTATACAAATACTTCCTTTGGTTTGTTTTAAACCTGCTGCCTGTTTATTTCATTTGGTGGCCCCTAGTTCTTGTGTTATGAGAAGTAAACAACACTTCCTTATTTATTTTCTCTACACCCATCATGATTTTACACACCTCTCTCATAATATCCCCCCCTTTGTCGTCTCTTTTCCAAGCTGAAAAGTTCCAGTCTTATTAATCTCTCCTCTTACAGCAGCTGTTCCGTACCCCTAATCATTTTTGTTGCCCTTTTCTGAACTTTTTCCAATTCCAATATGTCTTTTTTGAGATGGGGTGACCACATCTGCACACAGTATTCAAGAGGTGGACATACCATGGATTTATATAGAGGCAACATGATATTTTCTGTCCTATCACCTAACCCTTTCTTAATGATTCCCAGCATTCTGTTCGCTTTTTTGATGGCCGCTGCACATTGAGTGGATGTTTTCAGAGAACTATCCACAATGACCCCAAGATCTCTCTCTTGAGTGGTCACAGCTCATTTAGACCCCATTATTGTATATGTACAGTTGGGATGATGTTTTCCAATGTGCATCACTTTGCATTTATCAACACTGAATTTCATCGGCCATTTTGTTGCCCAGTCGTCCAGTTTTGAGAGATCGCTTTGTAACTCTTCCCAGTCTGCCTGGGACTTAACTATCCTGAGTAGTTTTGTATCATCTGCAAATTTTGCCACCTCACTGTTGACCCCTTTTTCCAGATCATTTATGAATATGTTGAATAGGACTGGGCCCAGTACAGACCCCTGAGGGACACCACTATTCACCACTCTCCACTCTGAAAACTGACCATTTATACCTCCCCTTTGTTTCCTGTCTTTTACCCAGTTACTGATCGAGGAGGGGACCTTCCCTCTTATCCCATAACAGCTGACTTTGCGTAAGAGCCTTTGGTGCGGGACCTTGTCAAAGGCTTTCTGAAAATCTAAGTATGCTATATCCACTGGATTCCCCTTGTCCGGGTGCTTGTTGACCCCCTCCAGGAATTCTAGCAAATGGGTGAGGCAGGATTTCCCTTTGCTAAAACCATGTTGACTCTTCCCCAACAAATTATGTTCATCTCTGTGTCTGACAATTTTGTTCTTTACTAGAGTTTCAACCAATTTGCTCGATACTGAAGTCTGGCTCACCGGCCTGTAATTGCTCCGGGCGGAGGGGAGCCCAGGGCCAGGAAGGCGTCAAAGCTGGGGATGGCCCAGGACAGAGGGCCAGGAAGGCGTCGAAGCTGGGGAGGGCCCAGGACAGAGGAAGCCCTGAACCATCAGTCGGGGGCGGGGGGTTCTCACCTGTAATGGGTGTAGATGCTGCTGGTGAAGGGGAGTTTGGGTGTCGACCACTGAACCACGGCCACCAGGGGGACCTCGAGACCCTGGGGGAGCAGGGGGCAGAGTGAATAACAGCCCCATGGCCCTGCCCCCAGTCCTATCCCCTCTGCCTTCTGGCCCTTTCCCCTCCTTCTGCCCTGTGGCCCCACCCCCCATGGCCAGACCCCCTCACAGCCTGTCTCCGCCCCCTGCCCTCGCCCCTTGCACCCACCTCCTTGGTGTCCTCCTGGGGCCGCTCAGGTGCCTGCAGCTGGAAGAGGAAGTTCTGCTCCTCCAGGGCACTCAGGGTGCAGGGGCAGCCAGAGCCAGCGCCGGCCATGCGGCAGAAGGCGCCGACGGGCACCTCACCAGAGTGATGGCTGGGGCGGGGAAGGAGGAAGGGAGTGTTAGCCCCACAGCCTGCCCCACAGATACCCCCCTGCTCCTTCCCACGGCACTCCCCGACACTGACCCTGCCCCCCGCCCCCACTCACCAGACGTCGTCGACCAGCAGCACGGAGCCATCGGGCAGCATGGGCAGGTAGCTGGCGTTGAAGTTGGGCAGGATGCGGACGTCCCACAGGGAGATTTCCTCCTGGGAGCAGCCGTTCAGCACTGGGGAGGCGGGCGGGTCAGAGACACGGAGCCCCACGCTCAGACCCCCCCCCTCCTCCCACGGCTCCAGGGCCCCCGCTGTCCTGCCATCCCTCCCGCCACGGCTCCAGGGACTCCCCCAGCCCCGCCCCCCACGGCCCCTGCCCCCCGTCCTGCCATCCCTCCCGCCACGGCTCCAGGGACTCCCCCAGCCCCGCCCCCCACGGCCCCTGCCCCCCGTCCTGCCATCCCTCCCCCCACGGCTCCAGGGACTCCCCCAGCCCCGCCCCCCACGGCCCCTGCCCCCCGTCCTGCCATCCCTCCCGCCACGGCTCCAGGGACTCCCCCAGCCCCGCCCGCCACGGCCCCTGCCCCCCGTCCTGCCATCCCTCCCCCCACGGCTCCCCCGTTACCCTTGAGCACGGTGAGGTATTTCCCAGAGACGTTCAGCTGGCGGCACCTGAGCCCCGGAGGGGGCAGCACGGTCAGCATGGTGCTCACTGCGGGCGCAAAGGGCAGGGGTCAGAGCGGTCCCGGGGGGAAAGGTCGGAGGGGGGTCGGGAGTGATCCCGGGAGGGGCTGCGTCTATCGGCTGCCCCATGGGGCAGGCGCTGTCAGTCTGGGCTGAGGGGCAGGGGCTGAGGGACGCCGTGGGGCGGGGCCGGGGGGCTGCACCTACCTTGGGCTTTGAAGGCCCCCTGCTCCTCGCGGAAGAGCTGGGCCGGCGCCCGGTTCTGCAGCAGGCTCAGGTACCCCCGTTCCCGCACCTCCGGCGCCTCCTGTTCCCGCTTCCACACCGTCACCACGATCTGCGGGGGGGTGGGGGGCGTCAGCGCTGGGGGGCTGGCCCCACTCCCACCCCCCCACAGGTCCCCCCGCCCAGCCGCCTTGTCCCACCCGGCCCCGGCCCCCCTCACTCACCTTGGCCTTGACAGTCCCGGGGGGCAGGTTGTCCAGGGAAATCGTCAGGGGGAAAATGACCTCGTCCGTGCAGACGATCGGCTCCTCCACCGGTATCTGGGGCGGGGGAGGGATGGGGGGGGTCAGTGCCACAGTGACCCCAACCCCGACCGGCAGCCCCCATGTCCCCCCAGGTGCCCCTCACTCCTGACCCACAGCCCCCCACCATGTTGATCCTCACTCCTGACCCGCAACACCCAGTACCCGCCCCTTGCTCCTGCTCGAGAACGCCCCCCGGGTTCCCCGCGCTGCACCCCACAGCCCCCCCAAACCCGAGCCCCCCCACCCCTGGGTGCCCCTTGCTCCCGACCCACAACGCTCCCCCGCTGGGTTCCCCTCACACCCACCCCACAGCCCCCACCCGCCCAGCACCCCACTACGCCCCCTCTCACCCCGGCGGCCGGCCGCCCCAGGGGTCCCTGGCCGTGGGTTAGCAGGGGCCGGCAGTCCCGGAAGAAGCCGGGGGCCGGAGGAGCCGTGTCCCCGTCCCCCCCCGGCTCCTCGGGGGGCTCCCCGTCCCCCTCGCCCCCCGGGTCGACCGCCCCGGGGCTGACGCTGGCCAGGGCGGCCAGGGAGGAGCCCAGCTCCCCCCAGGGGGTGCGGGCGCCCCCCGGCCCCGGCCGGCCCCGCAGCACCAGCAGGAAGCGGACGGTCTCGCCCAGGTAGAGGTGGTTGCGCCGGGGCAGAGCCCGGTACCGGCCCGGCTCGCCCCGCAGCAGCTCCCGGGCCGGGAAGGGCACGGCCGGGAAGTACATGAAGTAATCGCACTGCGCCTCCATGGTGGGGGGGGCTGGAAGGAGGATCTGGGGGGCTGGGGAATGAGGGGCTGGGGAACTGGGGCAGTGGGGGGCTAGGTGGGGGGCCCCTGGAGGGAGGATCTGGGGGGCTGGGGAACTGGGGCAGTGGGGGGCTAGGGTGGGGGGCCCCTGGAGGGAGGATCTGGGGGCTGGGGAACTGGGGAGTGGGGGGCCCCTGGAGGGATCTCAGGCAGTGGGGGGGGGGATCTGGGGGGTCGAGGCCCTGCAGGGACTAGGCTGGGATCCTGGGGCGCTGGGGGCCTAGGGGGGAAGGGGATCTGGGGCGGGCTGAGGGGGGGGCGCTGGGGATGGGATTCCAGGTGCTGGGGCAGTGCGGGACCTGGGGGGCCGTGAGGACCGGGGGGGGGCGCTGGTGGATCTGGAGGGAGCCAGGGGGGTCGCTAGGACCCGGGGCGGGCGCTGGGGCCGGAGGGGACCGGGGGGGGGCGCTAGGACGGGGGGGGCCGCTGGGGGGGCGCTGGTGGATCCGGAGGGGACCGGGGGGGCGCCAGGCCTGGGGGGGGGGGCCGCTGGGGGGGGTGGTGGATCCGGAGGGGGCGGGGGGGCCGCTGGGGGGGCGCTGGTGGATCCGGGGGGGACCGGGGGGGCGCCAGGACCTGGGGGGCGGGGGGGCCGCTGGGGGGGCGCTGGTGGATCCGGAGGGGGGCGGGGGGGCCGCTGGGGGGGCGCTGGTGGATCCGGAGGGGCGCTAGGACCCGGGGCGGGAGGGGGGTTGGTGGGACGGGGGGGGGTCCGCTGGTGGATCCGGAGGGGACGGGAGGGGGCGCTAGGACCCGGGGGGGCGCTGGGGCCGGGCAGGTCCCGCTCTCTGGGGGGGTCCCGGGCCGGGCGCTGCAGCCGGGGCCGGGCGCGGAGGGGGCGGAGCCAGAGCGGCCGACGGGGGGGGAGGGGGCAGGGTGCGCAGCCGAGCGCCGAGCGCATCGATCGGAGCGAGCACGTGGGGGGAGGTGCTAGCGGGGGAAACGGCCCCGCCCCCTCTTCCCCGGCTGGGGGAAGCCCCGCCCCCAGGGACACGTCGAAAGGGTGATGGACAGAGCCAGTGACCAATCCCTGCGCTAGAGTGAGGCGGGACTTCCTGGATTCCCCCCCTCCCAACCTGGGATGTGACGGATGGAGCCGCTGCCCAACCACGACCCTGGAAGGCCCTGAGGAGGCGGGACTTCCTGGTAGGCCGGGGCAAGGCCCAGGGAATGATGGACAGGTAAGGAGGACAATTCTGCTCCCGGGAGCTCCTCAGGGGGCGGGACTTCCTAGGTTGCGGGAGCCTGAGGCCCAGCGTGATAGACAGGCCCGGAGGCCAATCCACAGCCCTGGAACGCCCTGTGGGGGCGGGACTTCCTGGATTGCCGAGGGTGCCCGGGGAGGATTGACGGTTCCCAGGCCCAATAACTGTTGGGGCCACTGCTCGGGGTCCTGCCCCAGGGAGCTTGGCCCAGCCTGGGCCTCTGGCCCTGGGCTGCCCCCCAACCTGCCCCCCACCAACTGGGTGGGGGCCGGGCTTGTGCTGCCGGACTGGGGGAGGGGGTGGGGGGGGTTCGGCTTCCCATTTCCCTCTTCTATGCACCCCCCTCCTCAAGACTCCTCCCACTTTATGCCCCCCCGGGGCCCCTCTTCTGTCCCCCTCCCCCAGCCCCCCCAGAACCCCCGGGGCCGTTCCCTCTCTGCACCGCCCTCTGGGTTTCGGTTAGCAACTTATAATCGCCAGACCCGTTTCCTGATTTAATAACTTTATCAAAAGGAAACAAACCACGCGAAAGCGGGAACCGTTGAGCCGGGAATTTAACAAACGCAGTGTGGTGGTGAGGGGCGGGCGGGGGGAGGAGAGAGGTACCAAGGATCCCCCCCCTGCCGAGTACAGACCTCACCGGGCACCCGCTGCCCAGTTACAGGCCTGTGATAACAGACCAATAAATATTGTCCAGGTGGAGCCCGGAGACATCGGAGCTGGAGCAAGGGGGGGGCTGCGGCAGCCCCCCCAGCTTGAAGTGTGCAGGGTTTACAGTTTGGTTTGATGGCTCTCAGCCCCCCGGGCGCTGTACCCATTGTCCCAGCTCCGTCTGTCCATACCAGGAGCCAGGATATTGGGGGATCCCAGGGGGTTTTGTGCCCCATTGAACCCCCGTCTGTCTGTGCCAGGGGGCTGTGCCCCATATCTCCCCGTGTCTGTGCCGGGGGGCCAGATCTGTGGGGTCCCCACGAGGGTATGTACCGCGTCCCCCCCATCCTTCTGGGGCAGGGGGTCCGTACCGGGTGGAGGGGGTGGGGAGAGGCGGCCCCCAGCTACCTGCCCGCCCCTCCAGGCGCGCCCGCCGAGCCGTTGGCCCCGAACTGTCGGGCGTCCAGCCTGTCCTTGTACTGCAGCTCGGGGGTGACCAGGCGGGTGCAGAGCTGCTGGTCGACAGGCCCCAGCCCCGGCCGCAGCGCGTAGCCCAGGATCTGCGCCTGGCCGAACTGGAAGGGGCGGATCCGCTCGTCGGGGATGCCGGCCGCCTCCATGGGGCCCCCGCCCTGCAGGCAGCGCCTGGCCAGCTCCCGGCGCCGCTCCCGCAGCCTGGCCACCTCGGCCCGCAGCCGGGCCGGCCCGAAGGCCTCCACATGGCGCCAGAAGCTGCGGTTGAAGTGGGAGTAGAGCTGCCAGTCCAGGGCGTTCCAGGCCCGCAGCTGGGTGGCCTGGGCGGGGGCCAGAGGCCGCACGGCCCGGGGGCTGCGCTCGTTGTGCCGGAAGGCGTCCACGTCCTCCTCCGCCCAGCACAGCGCCTCCCGCAGCAGCACCAGCGACTCGTCGAAATGCTCCGTCAGCAGCACCAGCGGGAAGGCCCGGTCCAGCCGGGCCAGCGCCGCCTGCACGGCCTCGGGGCCCGGCGAGGCCGGCGGCGCCAGCCCGAAGTCGAACCACAGCAGGTTGCGGGCGTAGTGGTTGCCCCGCTCGGCCGGGTCGTAGAAGCGCACGGGCGCCTCCAGGAACTGGGCCAGCGAGCCCGCCCGGCGGAAGGCCGGCGCCACCCCCCCGGTAGTAGGAGAAGGCGGATTCGGCCAGCGACCCCGGGTCCCGCACGATGGAGAAGTAGAAGCTGTCGGGGGGCATGACTTTCTGCACCTGGGGGAGAGGAACAGGGGAAGAGAGTGGGGCAGGGGGAGGGGAACCCCCAAATCCTTCCTCCTAGGGCCCCCATGCTCCCCCCTCAGAGCCCCCCCAGGCTCTCCCCCACACCCCCTCACAACTCCCCCCAGAGTCCTCCACGCTGCCCTCTCCCCTCAAGCTCTCCCAGCCCCCCAGGTCCCCTCCCTGTGCTCCCCCCAAATGCACGGTCCCTGGTCCCCCCAAGCTCCCTCCCCCATTCTCCCCCCCCAAATGCATGACCCCAGCCCCCCTGAGTCCCGTCCCCCGTGATCCCCCTAAATGCATGGCCCCAGCCCCCCTGAGCCCCTTTCCCCATGCCCCTGAGCCCCCTCCCCAGGGCTCCCCCCGTATGCATGGCCCCTAACCCCCTGAGCCCCCTCCCCTGGGCTCCCCCTGAATACACGACCCCTGCCCCCCCAACCCCCTCCCAGCTGCCCCACTATCCCCCCCCCGGTCTCACCTCGGGCAGGTCGAAGCGCATGTGGTGACAGAGGATGTCGAAGCTGGGTCCCCCCGGCCGGTAGCCCTTCACCCGCCGGGCCTGGAAGGGGTAGGGGTACCCGAACTGGTAGCGGGGGGGCAGGGCGAAGCGCAGCCCCGCGTCTCCCCGAACCGGTGCAGCAGGTTCACGATGGTGCTGCTGCCCGTCTTGTGCGTCTTCAGGAAGACGATGTGGCGCCGCGGCAGGCAGGGCCGGGAGGGCGAGGGGCCCCCCTCCTCAGCCCCACCCCCAGGGAGCAGCCGCAAGTCGGGCAGCTGGTCCGGGGAGCCCCTGGAACAGAGGGGGGAAGTGAGAGACGGACAGAGACCCCGCTGACCCCCAACCATGGGGGATCCCCTCCCCCCACAGGGCTCACAGCCCCTGGCCCCCAACCATGGGGGATCCCCGCCCCTCCCCAGGGCTCCCAACCATGGGCAATCCCCTCCCCCCGCAGGGTTCACAGCTCCTGACCTCCAACCATAGGGGATCCCCTCCCCCCGCAGGGCTCACAGCTCCTGACCTCCAACCGTGGGGGGTCCCCTCCCCTCGCAGGGCTCACAGCACTCTCCAGACCTTGGAGGCTCAGAGGCCCCCCTCTGGACTCCCTTCCCTCCCCCACCAGGGTTCTCCCAACCTGGAGGGGGGCATCCCCCTGCGCAGCCCTCTGGAGCCAGTCACCTCCTGCCCCTGTTAATACCCCCCCACCCCCCAGCAGGAGATCAGCCCTTTTGCCACCCGACCCACCCTAGCCCCCGGCTCCGTGTCAGCAGCGGGGCCGCCTCTAGCTGGGAGCCCCCGTTCATGGGGCCGCGTGTGATTTTCCTTCCCCGGGGTGGCCCTTGGCGCTTGTCTGTGCTGAGTTTTGCCATGTGGATTTCGGACCCCTCCTCCAATTTGTCCGGGTGGTTTTGAATTCTGCTCCTGTTTCCCTTGCTGGCTTCTGAGACTGTTCTGTGGGCCTGCCTCAAAAGCCAGACTAAAAACTCGAGATCTAGCGAGTCTGCCACTTCCCCCCCGCACCCATCAGGCCGGTTGCCCCGTCAATGACAGAAATGACCCCGGGGTGTCAGGGTTTGTTTGTGACACACCAATGCTGGCTGCTCCTCGTCACCCTGTTCCCGTCCAGGGGCTCACCGCTGGCTTGTCATTCCCTGCGTCCCCTATGTTCCCCTTTGCAAGACCGGTGCCACATTTCCCCTTCTCCAGGCCGCTGGGCCTCCCCCGTCTTTCCAGGAGTTCTCCAAAATCGTCGCTAATGGGTCTGAGATGACTTCAGCTGGTTCCCGCAGTAGCCAAGGCTGAATTCAGGCCCTGCCGACTCGGTTACGTCCAACGTATCCACGGGGTCTTTAGGCTCTTCCTTCTCCGGTTCGGCCGGCGTTTCTTCCCTTGCTGTGCCCTGCAGCCTGGCAGAGAAGGGGTAGCTCTGTTCTCCTCAGGCTCTTGGGAATGCATTTGCTGTGGATGCTCTGGGGATGTTGGGGTCTTCCAGGGAACCACCCGGGTACGGCCCGGATGGCGGCTGGTTTCAGCGTCACCCCGAGCCGTGACTGGCGTTTGCCGGGATTGGGTCAGAGGCCCTGGAGCTTTTCTGCCTCTCTGCCGTCCCCGGCGCTGAGCGGACGCTGGCTGTTTCGGACGGCTCGCCGCGGGGGAGAACACCTGTGTGCCAGCCGAGAGCGGCAGGACAGTGGAGTGTGTGTAGTTTGACCCGCGGGCTTGGCGTTAGCAGCGGGAACGGCTCACTCCAAGATGTGGTTATTGCTGCCCTGCTGGGTCAGGCCGAAGGGCCAGCACCAGAGCTTCAGGGGAGTTCTGGAGAGATATGCCCCGACTGCCACAGCTGGCAGAGAGAGGTCTAGGGATGCCCAGAGCATGGGGCTCCATCCCAGACCACCTCAGCTAGTAGCCATTGGTGGACCTCGCCTCCAGGAACTTACCCGGTTCTTGTTTGAACCCGGTTATACTTTTGGCCTTCACAGCATCCCCCGGCAAGGAGTTCCGCAGGTTAGTTGTGCGACAAAGTGCTTCTTGTTGGTATAAAGCCTGCAGCTTGCTAATTTCATCAGGCAACCCCTGGTTCTTGTGTTGTGTGAAGGGGTAAATAACACTTCCCTCTTCGCTTTCTCGGCACCAGTCCTGGTTTTATAGACCTGGATCGTATCCCCCCCTTAGGCGTCTCTTGTCCAAGCAGAACAGCCCCTGTCTATCTGCTCTCTCCTCGTACGGGAGCCATTCTGTACCCTGGATCACGTGTGCTGCCTTTCTCTGAATCTTTGCCAGCCCCACTTGTTCCCTTTACAGTGGGGACTGTGGCAGAGATTGTCCCGTTTACCCCGTCGTTCCTGCGTAAAACCTTCTGCAAAGTGGGGTTCCTGGGCGGGGCTCGAACAGGAGTTTTCTGGGGCGGGGGGTACTCTGACCCAATCAAAGCTCAGACAGTGCCCTGGGCCATGTCTCTCTGTCTCACCCTGTGCACCGTTCCTAGGCTGTTTACTCCCCACGCGCAGACGGGCCGTAAACACCGCAGCCCTCTCGATGCCATGCATTCCCAGCTCCCCTTCCCCGCTACGCGGCGGGCCTCCGCTTTCCCCGTCTTCCTCCTGCTCCTGACGTGTTTAAAGCACCTTTTCTGCCTCCCGATCCTGGCCCGGGCTGGGTATAACTCATCCAGCGCCGGGGTCTGATTTCCTCCCGACCTGCCTTTCGTTTGTTTTCCTCTGCAGCAGTTGCCCCGGGTTTCCGCCTTGTGCGGGGTTCCCTTGGGATTATTAAGGCACTCCCGGTGGAAGCTTATTGGCCCCGTCCTAGTCTCCCCGCCCTCCCGTGGGAATGAAATTTCTCCCTCTTCTTTTCCCCTAGGGGCAGCCCAGAGGCAGGAGGCTGGATGGGAGTCGCGGGTTCGATGCACAGCGTGAGGAGCGCAGCACTCTCCCCTCGGCCCGGGAAGGACGGCAGTGGGCAGGGGGATTCGCAGGGTCTAAGGGCAGAGGGGACCGGCTGGCAGGCTCACCGGCTCCTAGAAACCTGGCAGAGATGCGCAGGCCCCCTCTCCCCCCGCCCATTAAGGTAGGTGCAGGCCCTGGTGGTTCCCCCCCATGGCCAGCAGGTGGCGCCCCTGTTGCAGCTGCACCCTGGGGACTCACCTCCGCTGGAAAGGCGCCCCCAGCAGCTGGAGGGTGAAGCCGATGGTCATGCACACGGCCAGGGCGGCCCCGAGGACCTGGAGCCGGAAGCACGCCAGGGGCAGCTTCATCCTTCTGCCGGAACCAAGAGGGGTCAATGGGACCCAGGTATCCTGGCTCCCAGCGCCCCCCGCCCCCTGCTCAGACCCCCCCCAGCCCTTCCTCCCTTCCCAGAGCTCGGGAGAGAACCCAGGCTCCCCACGCCCCCTGCTCTAACCCACCAGACCCCACTCTGCTCCCAGAGCCGGGGCGAGAACCCAGGAGTCCTGGCTCCCAGCTCCCCCCCCCCCGGCCCCATCTAACCCACCAGCCCCCACTCCCCTCCCAGAGCCAGGAAGAGAACCCAGGAGTCCTGGCTCCCAGCTCCCCCCCGGCCCCATCTAACCCACCAGCCCCCACTCCCCTCCCAGAGCCAGGAAGAGAACCCAGGAGTCCTGGCTCCCAGCCCCTCCCCCGGCCCCATCTAACCCACCAGCCCCCACTCCCCTCCCAGAGCCGGGGCGAGAACCCAGGAGTCCTGGCTCCCAGCTCCCCCCCCACGCCCCCTGCTCTAACCCACCAGACCCCACTCTGCTCCCAGAGCCGGGGCGAGAACCCAGGAGTCCTGGCTCCCAGCTCCCCCCCCGGCCCCATCTAACCCACCAGCCCCCACTCCCCTCCCAGAGCCAGGAAGAGAACCCAGGAGTCCTGGCTCCCAGCCCCTCCCCCGGCCCCATCTAACCCACCAGCCCCCACTCCCCTCCCAGAGCCGGGGAGAGAACCCAGGAGTCCTGGCTCCCAGCCCCCCCCCCCGGCCCCATCTAACCCACCAGCCCCCACTCCGCTCCCAGAGCCGGGGGGAGAACCCAGGAGTCCTGGCTCCCTGCCCCCCTGCTCTAACCCACCAGCCCCCACTCCCCTCCCAGAGCCAGGAAGAGAACCCAGGAGTCCTGGCTCCCAGCCCCCTGCTCCAACCCACCAGCCCCCGCTCCCGTCCCAGAGCCGGGGCGAGAACCCAGGAGTCCTGTGCTGTTAGTAGCAGCTCCGCTGAGCCTCTCTCTGCCTCATCCCATCCTGACCTCCTCCCTTTCCTCCCCCACAGCCCAATGTGCTGTTGCCTGCCAGGGGAGAGCGCCCCCCCACCCCGCTCCCCGCAGCTCAGCGCCCCCTAGCGCAGCATGGGGGCATCGGGACCAGCGCTGACTGAGAGGGCAGCCGTGGGACCTACTCCCTGCATTGCCCTGGCTTGTTCTCTGTGTTGTCTCCAAGAGATGCTGCTTCCCAAGCAGGATGTGACACCTTCCCAGATGGGTCAGACAGGCAGACAGACAGACAGCTCTGTCTCCTTCCTCCCCCCCGCCCGCCCCCACCTCTCTTCCTGGGTTTCCTCTGCCAGTGCCCCTCACTCCTGACTGGCCACCCCTGCCAGCCCAGCCCTGCCCCCCCCAGCTCTGCCGGTGCCCCTCACTTCTGCCCTGCAGCCCCTGCAAGCCCAGCCCTGCCCCCCAGCTCTGCCGGTGCCCCTCACTTCCGCCCCGCAGCCCCTGCAAGCCCAGCCCTGCCCCCCAACTCTGCCGGTGCCCCTCACTCCCGACCCACAGCCCCTGCCAGCCCAGCCCTGCCCCCCCCCAGCTCTTCCGGTGCCCCTCACTCCTGACCCGCAGCTCCTGCCAGCCCAGCCCTGCCCCCACATCTCTGCCGGTACCCCTCACTACCGACCCTCAGCCTCCTGCCAGCCCAGCCCTGCCCCCACATCTCTGCCGGTACCCCTCACTACCGACCCTCAGCCCCTGCCAGCCCAGCCCTGCCCCCCAGCTCTGCTGGTGCCCCTCACTCCCGACCCACAGCCCCTGCCAGCCCAGCCCTGCCCCCCAGCTCTGCTGGTGCCCCCTCACTCCCGACCCACAGCCCCTGCCAGCCCAGCCCTGCCCCCCAGCTCTGCCGGTGCCCCTCATTCCCGACCCCCAGCCCCTGCCAGCCCAGCCCTGCCCCCCCCATCTCTGCCGGTACCCCTCACTACCGACCCGCAGCCCCTGCCAGCCCAGCCCTGGGCTCCCCCCATCTCTGCCGGTACCCCTCACTCCCGACCCGCAGCCCCTGCTAGCCCTGGGCTCCCCCCATCTCTGCCGGTACCCCTCACTCCCGACCCGCAGCCCCTGCTAGCCCTGGGCTCCCCCCATCTCTGCCGGTACCCCTCACTACCGACCCGCAGCCCCTGCTAGCCCTGTGCTCCCCCCAGCTTTGCTGGTGCCCCTCACTCCCGACCCACAGCCCCCTGCTAGCCCAGCCCTGCCAGTGCCCCTCACTCCCGACCCACAGCCCCCATACTCTGAGACAGGGCCCCCCTCGGTCAGGCCGGCCAGCTCCTCCCAGGGCCTAGCAGGAAGGAAACCAGCCCTCCGGCTCCCGCAGAGGGAGCGACAGATTCAGGTGCGTACTGGACAATGGTGGCCCATGTGGCTTCCTCCTCCTGCTCATTGGGGCCAGAGCGGGGGCTCCAGGGGGCTGGGTCAGGGTTCGGGGCTGGAGCGGGCCCTGAGCACTGTGTCTGTCCCAGGCTGGCGGAGGGGTCCCCCTGTCTGGCTGTCCCTCCGACGCCTGGCGACCGACCCCTAATGCAGCGCTAAGCTGCAGCTGAGCGGATTAGCTGGGCCCTGCCCCCCAGCAGATGGGAGAGGGGGGCAGGGGGTGAGGGAAAGGAAGTGAGGGGGCGCTGTCCCATAGGGGGCTCTGTCTGCTGGCACACAGGGCTGGCCCCAGTGCAGGGAGTGGGGCAGCACTAGGGGGCGCTGGGCTATAGGGAGGGGGGATGGGGCGGCGCTGGGCTATAGGGGAGGGGGACGGGGCGGCGCTAGGGGGGCTGCGGTATAGGGAGGGGGAGGGGGCAGAGCTAGGGGGCTGTGGTATAGGGAGGGGGGACGGGGAAGCGCTGGGGGGCGCTGCGCTATAGGGAGGGGGGACGGGGCGGTGCTAGGGGGCGCTGGGCCATAGGGAGGGGGGAAGGGGAGGCCCTGGGGGCGCTGCGCTATAGCGAGGGAGGATGGGGGGCGCTGCGCTATAGGGAGGGGGGGACGGGGGCGGTGCTAGGGGGCGCTGCGCTATAGCGAGGGAGGATGGGGGGCGCTGCGCTATAGGGGGAGGGGGGACGGGACGGCGCTGTGGGGCGCTGCGCTATAGGGAGGGGGGACGGGGAGGCGCTGGGGGCGCTGCGCTATAGCGAGGGAGGATGGGGGGCTGCGCTGTAGGGAAGGGGGACGGGGCGGTGCTAGGGGGCGCTGCGCTATAGAGAGGGGGGACGGGTCGGTGCTAGGGGGCGCTGCGCTATAGCGAGGGAGGACGGGGGCGCTGCGCTATAGGGAGGGGGGACGGGGAGGCGCTGGGGGGCGCTGCGCTATAGGGAGGGGGGACGGGGCGGTGCTAGGGGGCGCTGCGCTATAGGGAGGGGGGACGGGGCGGTGCTAGGGGGCGCTGGGCCATAGGGAGGGGGGACGGGGAGGCCCTGGGGGCGCTGCGCTATAGCGAGGGAGGATGGGGGGCGCTGCGCTATAGGGAGGGGGACGGGGCGGCGCTGTGGGCGCTGCGCTATAGCGAGGGAGGATGGGGGCGCTGCGCTATAGGGAGGGGGGACGGGGATGCTCTGGGGGGCGCTGCGCTATAGGGAGGGGGGACGGAGAAGCGCTGGGGGGCGCTGGGCCATATGGAGGGGGGACGGGGAGGCGCTGGGGGACGCTGGGCCATATGGAGGGGGGACGAGGGGGCGCTGCGCTATAGGGAGGGGGGACGAGGGGGCCCTGGGCTGCGGGGCAGGTTGGGGGTTTGTGGGTGGGTGAGAGCTCGGATTCAGGGGGGCAGAGGCAGGGTGGGGCCCCGGCCGGCGGGGGCGTCGGCCGCATTTGGCGGCTGTGGACGGGGGCTCCGGCCAGCTGGCCCCGGGCCCCGGCCTCTCCCTGCCCCATCTGCATCCCATTAGCGAACCGCAGCCCCAGACCCGCCCCCACCCCACAGACAGGCAGGCCGGCCTCAGGGTCAGCCTCCTGTCCCGCCCAGCCCCACGGCCTGGGGCACCCACCCCGTAGGCAGGGAGCAGCGTGGGAGACTGGGTGGGCAGTGTGGGGAGAGGGGGCAGCATGGGGGCTGGGGGGCAGTGTAGAGAGATGCGGGGAGCTTGGGGTCGGGGGGGCAGCGTAGAGGGCAATGTGCGGAGATGGGGGGCCATGAGGGGAGATGGGGGCAGCGTGGTGGGCTGGGGGGCAGTGTGGGGAGGGGGGGACACCATGGGGAGAGGGGGGTAGGATGTGGGGCTGGGAAGTAGCATGGGAAGGGGGGGCAGTGTGGGGCAATGGGGGGCAGGACGGGGCTGGGAACTGCTTCTCCATCCCCGCCCCTCAGCCCCCCATCGCTCTCAGCAGTGTCTAGCCCTTCCCCACCCCCCAGATGTTTATCTCGGTGAGTCATGGCTGAGTTTATGGGGGGGGTCCTCGGGGTGTGTTTCACCCAGCCGGGGGGGGCGAGGGGACCCGTGTTCAGGGCGGGGTAACCCAGGGGTGCCTGCCTTTTGAGTCATGGGGGACAGTTAGGGGCCCCCAGCCCCCCATAGGCCCCTCCCTGCCCCAAGGGGGAGCCCCCCGAGTCCCCCTCACTCTGAAAGCGGATGCCCTGGGCTGTGTGTGCCCCCAGAACCTCCAACCCCCTCCCAGACCCTGAATCTCCCCGAAAACCCAGCCCCACCCCAATCCCCAGCCCCCCACTGCGCCCCCCGGCCGGGTTCCGTGCACCCCCCCTGTGTCTGTCTGCTCCCCCCCAGGTACTCACCCTGCGTTGGGGGGGGGGACCGGCGGAGTTTTCTTCAGTCCCACTCCCAGCAGCCGGGACCCCCCATTCCTGCGGGGGGAAACTATCCCCGAGACCCCCCCGTCTGTCCCTGAGCCCGGAGACACAACCCCCCGTCCCCGGGGCGCCCCCCCAGTCTGCCTCACTCCCTCCAAACTTCTTCTCTCTTCTCTAACTTTTCTTCTCTGCTCCCTTTGTCTCGCCCCCCCCTTCCCCCGTCTCCACCCCTCCCCCTTCTCCACCCCCAGCCCTCCACCCCCCCCCCCACGTCTCCACCCCTCCCCAGGAGCGATGCCTTTCCCAGCTCTTCCCAGGATCCTTCACAACAAAAGTCCCATTCACCGGGATGGGGGGGGGGTGCATGGGGGGGAGTCTCTGACATGGGGGAGAAACGGCTGCCCCCCCCCAAAAAACTCCCCCAGTCCCAACCTAGGCTGCTTTTCTCCCCCCCCCCGCCCCCCCAGCTTGTCCCGACAGGCCAGGCTGGGGTGGGAGGGGAGGAGTTGGCAACCGGAAATCAAGGATTGGGAGGTGAGAATCCACCAGCCCCATCTGTCTGCCCCCCAACCCCCCCTGCTGTCCCCCCTTTCCAGGTTTAATCCCCAGAGCAGCCGGCAGCTGGGGGCAGATCTGGGGGGGCCGGGGGCTCAACACCTAGACCGTCCCCCCCAAACCAAAGGGAACAAAGCCCAGAACAGGCCAGAGACCCCCAAGAAGTGGCCCCCGGGTCCTGCCCCCTGCATCCTCCCAGCCCCACAGAGACCCGCAGACAGACACAGGCCCCAACACGCAACCAAGACATGCAGATACACAGACACACGCAACATGGGCCAGCCCGGCACACGCCTCCGGGCGCAAGCTGGCAGCCAGGTCACAGAGTCCCCCACAGAGACGCTGGTCGGGGAGCTGGGTCATCGCACACCACACGGACACACCACGGCACACACACCACACATGGACATGGACACACACACATGGGACGCCCACACAGACACACATAATACACGGACACACCCACAGCACACGGACACACTGAAACACCCAGGGGATGCACACATGACACACCACAACACATGCACACACATGGGTGACACACACGCACGTGACACACGGACACACCCAGGGGATGCACACACGCCTCACGGACACACCACGCCACATGCACGGGGACACACACACACGACACATGGTCACACACAGGGGAGGCACACACAACCTGACACACACGGGATCCTCACACAACACCACACACACCCAGGGATGCCCACCGGCAGAGACCCCATTGGAAAGGGGTCCGGGCCAGTCCCCTGTGTGTAGCTCCCCAGTCTCAGCAGGGCGCCCCAGCACCGAGCCCAGCCTGGCGGAGACCCAGGGACAGGCCCCGGCCACGGTGATCAGGCTGCGAGTTCATCCCAGAGGTGGCCGCATCTAGGTGCTGGGCGAGGGATCCCTGGGTCACCAGCCGCCCTGCCCCAGAGGTGGCCGCGTCTCGGCATCGGGTGAGGGGTCCCCGGGTCACCAGCCGCCCCACCCCAGAGGTGGCCGCATCTCAGTGCTGGGCGAGGGGTCCCCGTGTCACTGGCCGCCCCGCCCCAGAGGTGGCCGCATCTCAGCGCCAGGCGAGGGGTCCCTGGGTCACCAGCCGCCCCGCCCCAGAGGTGGCCACGTCTCGGCCCTGGGCAGAAGCCCTGTGCATGACACAATTCTCCCTGTGGGTCTGTGGCTCCGTCCTGGGAGATGCTGTTTCCTGACCAGCTGCAGGTTCGGGAAGTTCGAAGGGGCCTGGCTCCATTCCCAGCTGATGCGTAGGGTGCATTGACACCAGCCCAGAGAGCCAGCCCTGGGCCATGCCCCATGCCCTGGCACCCCCTGCCCCGATCCCCAGCTTCCCCCTAACCCTGTCCCGGTCCCTGCACAAATGGGGCAGAGGGAACCAGGCCCTGTACCCACAAATCTTACTCCCCAGCAGGGACCCCTCACCTGGCGCCGAGATGCAGCCCCCTCTGGGATGGGGCACGGGGGCTGTTCATACAAGCCCCCCTCGCCGAGCGCTGGATCATGCCCTTCAGCCCTTTCTGCCCCTAGTTGCGCCCCGCTTTTGGCCCCCTGCACCCGGAGAGCCAGAGCCAGTGTGCCACGCCGCCAGCACACGGACAAGGGCCCTTTGTTCTTTGTCCTGCTGCAGGGATTTGGTGACACCAGACTCCGGCGAGGGGGGTCTCTGGCTTTTCACTGGGTGGTGACCTTTAGCTTCTGCTATGGGGGGGTCAGAGTTGGGGGGCTGCGCCCAGCCAGGTACCAGCCCCGCCCCGGGTTCGGATTCCCCAACCCCCTGGTGCTACACAGGCATGGTCGGGACACAGCTGGGAGAGCGGGAAAGGGAGTGCCCCACAAGGCAGGGGGCAGCGTGGGCAGTGGTGGGGAGAGTGTCCCCTGCTGAGCCCCCCGCCCCTTGCCCCACAGTGCCCCAGCACAGCGCTAACCCGTCCTATTTCCACCCCACACTATCTATCTATCTATCCATCCATCCATCCCCATCCACCCCCTCTATCTATCTATCCCCAGACACCCCAACTAATCTAATCTATCTATCTAACCATCCCCAGACACCCCTCTATCTAATCTATCCATCCCAGACACCCCCTCTATCTATCTATCTATCTATCCCCATCCACTCCCTCTATCTAATCTATCTATCCCTATCCACCCCCTTTATCTGTCCCCATCCACCCCCCTATCTAATCTATCTATCCCCAGACACTCCATCTATCTATCTATCTATCCCCATCCACCTCCTCTATCTATCTATCTATCCCCAGACACCCCAACTAATCTAATCTAATCTATCTATCCCCAGACACCCCCTCTATCTATCTATCTATCCATCCATCCATCCCCATCCACCCCCTCTATCTATCTATCCCCAGACACCCCAACTAATCTAATCTATCTATCTAACCATCCCCAGACACCCCTCTATCTAATCTATCCATCCCAGACACCCCCTCTATCTATCTATCCATCCATCCATCCCCATCCACCCCCTCTATCTATCTATCCCCAGACACCCCAACTAATCTAATCTATCTATCTAACCATCCCCAGACACCCCTCTATCTAATCTATCCATCCCAGACACCCCCTCTATCTATCTATCTATCCATCCATCCATCCCCATCCACCCCCTCTATCTATCTATCCCCAGACACCCCAACTAATCTAATCTATCTATCTAACCATCCCCAGACACCCCTCTATCTAATCTATCCATCCCAGACACCCCCTCTATCTATCTATCTATCCCCATCCACCCCCTCTATCTAATCTATCCATCCCAGACACCCTATCTATCTATCTATCCATCCATCCATCCATCCATCCCCATCCACCCCCTCTATCTATCTATTCCCAGACACCCCAACTAATCTAATCTATCTATCTAACCATCCCCAGACACCCCTCTATCTAATCTATCCATCCCAGACACCCCCTCTATCTATCTATCTATCTATCTATCTCCATCCACCCCCTCTATCTATCTATCTATCTATCTATCTATCTATCTATCTATCTATCTATCTATCCCCTTTATCTGTCCCCATCCACCCCCTATCTAATCTATCTATCCCCAGACACCCCCTCTATCTATCTATCTATCTATCCCCAGACACCCCCTCTATCTAATCTATCTATCAGGATATTTGGGTGAGTGGCTGGGGGTGTCTGGGAACAGGTATGTAGAGAGGAGGTGTATGGAGGGATGGGGGGTGTATGGCGAGACGGGGGTATAGGGCTGGCTGGGGCTCGACAGGAACAGGCAGATAAAGGGGAGGGGGATAGATGGGAACGAGACACCGCCCTGGACTCCTTCCCCCCCCCGCGACCCCCTCCCATCAGTGACAGACCCTCCAGCCTGTGCACCAGATGCACAAGCAGCTACCAGCTGTACCCCCAAGGGGACATGGGCAGCTCTGGGTCCTAATGCCTGCATGTGCAAGCTGGGCTGGCAGGGGCTGCGGGGCGGGAGTGCGGGGCACCGGCAGGCCCGGGCTGGCAGGGGCTGCGGGGCGGGAGTGCGGGGCACCGGCAGGGCTGCGGGGGGCAGGGGCTGCGGCAGGGGTGCGGGGCGGGAGGGGGGAGGGTGCGGGGGAGGGGGCACCGGCAGGGCCGGGCTGGCAGGGGCTGCGGGGCGGGAGTGCGGGGGGCACCGGCAGGGCTGCGGGGCGGGCAGGGGCTGCGGGGCGGGAGTGCGGGGCACCGGCAGGGCCGGGCTGGCAGGGGCTGCGGGGCGGGAGTGCGGGGCACCGGCGGAGCTGCGGGGGGCAGGGGCAGGGCTAGCGGGGGGCTGGTCTCGCCGGCGGGCGCTAGGACCCGGGCCCCGGCGCCATTGTCTCCCGGCGGAGGCCGGCGCTAGGGCCCCGCGGACGCCCCGCCGGCCGCTCGCGCTCCCATTGTCTCGGCTGCTGCCGGCGCCGGGTGCGGGCTCGGCGGGGGACGCGGCGGCTCCGTTCTTCTCCGGGCCGGGCCGCCTCGCCGCCGCCGCGCGCCGCCCTCCCCGGGCCGGGCCGCTCTTCCCCCGCCCGCGGGGCCCTGCACCTCGCGCCATGGCGCCGCCGCCGCCGCGCCTGGCCGCGCCGCTGCTCCTGCTTCTGCTGCTGGGGGCGGGCGGGCCGGGGGCGGCCGCGGGGGCGCGGGGCTGCGCCGAGGCGCGACGGGCGCTGGGCGCGCGGGGGCTGGGGCCGGGCGCGGTGCCCCCCGCGCTCATCTCGGGTAAGCGGGGCCCCCTGCAGCCGGTGCGCCCCCTGCCCCGCCCCCACGGGCCCCCCTGCGGCCGGGGCGCCCCCCGCGGCGCCCCCTGTCCCGCCCCCACGGGCCCCCCTGCAGCCGGGGCGCCCCCCGCGGCGCCCCCTGTCCCGCCCCCACGGGCCCCCCTGCGGCCGGGGCGCCCCCCGCGGCGCCCCCTGCCCCGCCCCCACGGGCCCCCCTGCGGCCGGGGCGCCCCCTGCCCCGCCCCCACGGGCCCCCCTGCGGCTGGAGCGCTCCCCCCCTGCGGCCGGAGCGCCCCCCGGCGCCCCCTGCCCCGCCCCCACGGGCCCCCCTGCAGTCGGGGCGCCCCCTGCCCCGCCCCCCACGGGCCCCCCTGCAGTCGGGGCGCCCCCTGCCCCGCCCCCACGGGCCCCCCGGCGGCCGGAGCGCCCCCCGCGGCGCCCCCTGCCCCGCCCCCACGGGCCCCCGGCGGCCGGAGCGCCCCCCGCGGCGCCCCCTGCCCCGCCCCCACGGGCCCCCCTGCGGCCGGGGCGCCCCCTGCCCCGCCCCCACGGGCCCCCCTGCGGCCGGGGCGCCCCCTGCCCCGCCCCCACGGGCCCCCCTGCGGCCGGGGCGCCCCCTGCCCCGCCCCCACGGGCCCCCCGGCGGCCGGAGCGCCCCGCCCCGCCCCCGGCGCCCCCCTGCCCCCGCCCCCACGGGCCCCCCTGCGGCCGGGGCGCCCCCTGCCCCGCCCCCACGGGCTCCCCTGCGGCCGGAGCGCCCCCCGCGGCGCCCCCTGCCCCGCCCCCACGGCCCTCCCTGCGGCTGGAGCGCCCCGCCCCCCCACGGCCCTCCCCTGCGGCCGGAGCGCCCCCCGGCGCCCCCTGCCCCCCCCAGGAGCCCCCTGCGGCCGGAGTGCCCCCCGCAGCGCCCCCTGCCCTGCCCCCCCCAGGAGCCCCCCTGCGGCCGGAGCGCCCCCCGGCGCCCCCGGCCCTGCCCCCCTAGGAGCCTGCAGCTCCCATATGAGCTAAATCCTCCCCCAGTGGCCCCCTGCACCCCCAAGCATCTGACACTGGTTCCCCCCCTGATCCTTAGACACCCGCGACGCCCGCTCCCTGGGTGTGGGAACCAGGTGGTGGGGCTGGGGACAGCGGTGGCTCTCTGGGTGTGGCAGGCGGGGGTCGGACTGTGTGTGGGGGGGGATCCTCGGGCCCCCCATGGCCAGGCACTGAGTGGAGGTGCCTTTCTCTGTCCCGCCCAGGGGAGCACCTGCGGATCTGCCCCCAGGACTACACCTGCTGCTCCAGCGAGATGGAGGAACACCTCAGCCTGCAAAGCGACCGGGACTTCCGCGCCCTGGTGGAGGACGGCGCCAGCTTCCTGTCCAGCACCCTGGCCTCGCGCCACCGCCGCTTCGAGGGTGAGAACCCAGGAGTCCTGGCGGCCAGCTCCCCTGCTCTAACCCCCCGGACCTGCCTCCCTTCCCAGAGCCGGGGGGAGAACCCAGGAGTCCTGGCGCCCAGCTCCCCTGCTCTAACCCCCCGGACCTGCCTCCCTTCCCAGAGCCGGGGGGAGAACCCAGGAGTCCTGGCGCCCAGCTCCCCTGCTCTAACCCCCCGGACCTGCCTCCCTTCCCAGAGCCAGGGGGAGAACCCAGGAGTCCTGGCGCCCAGCTCCCCTGCTCTAACCCCCCGGACCTGCCTCCCTTCCCAGAGCCAGGGGGAGAACCCAGGAGTCCTGGCGCCCAGCTCCCCTGCTCTAACCCCCCGGACCTCCCTCCCTCCCTTCCCAGAGCCGGGGGAGAACCCAGGAGTCCTGGTGCCCAGCCCCCCAGGTCTGGAGCCCGTGCATCCCCTGGTGGGGTGCTGAGCAGTCTCTGCCTGTCAGTGGCCTGGCTGGGCATCCCGGCCCCAAGCCGGGGTCTGACCCGTTTCGTTCAGGGCTGGGGTCGGACCGGGCACCCTGCCCTTACAGTGCGATGGGAGCGGGAGGCGTGTATGGGGGGCAGGGGCTGAGGGTGCCTTCAATCTGCCTTGACAGCTCATGGAGCTTTTCCCCGTTCTCTGGTGCAGAGTTTTTCCGGGAGCTGCTGGCGGCCGCCGAGCGGGGGCTGCAGGCCATGTTCACGCAGACCTACGGCCGCCTGTACGCCCAGAACGCCCGGCTCTTCCAGGGGCTCTTCACCGAGCTGCGACGCCATCAGCAGGGCGCCCGGCTCAGCCTGGACGAGGCGCTGGGCGAGTTCTGGGCCCGGCTGCTGGAGCGGATGCTGCCCCTGCTCAACCCCCAGTACCAGTTCCCCCCGGAGTACCTGGAGTGCGTGGCGCGCCAGGGGGAGGCGCTGCGGCCCTTCGGGGACGTGCCCCGCAAGCTGCGCCTGCAGGTGAGACTCCGGCCCCGCCCAGCGCTGCCAGCTGGGGCTGTGCGGTACCTGGGCCCCAAGGGGGCTGAGCTGGGGGGAGACCGTGGTGTCCTCTCCCACAGCTCCCCATGCCAGGGCTGGGGGCTCTTGGCCAGGGTCCCTTGGAGGCCGGGTCTCTGGGGTGTGGCTGGGGTCCCCGGGGGGCTGGGCTCTCTGGGGTGTGGCCGGGGGGCTGGGCTCTCTGGGCTGGGGGGGATCTCTGGGGGGCTTCCCTCACCCCTCCTGTCCCCCCCCAGGTGACGCGGGCGTTTGTGGCAGCTCGGGCCTTTGTGCAGGGACTGGCCACCGGGCGTGATGTGGTCACCAAGGCCTCCAAGGTGAGTGGGGGGGAGGCATGGGAGGGCAGAGGGGGTGTGGGGGGCTGCATGGGGGGGCGGAGGGGCTGCGGGAGGAGGCATGGGAGGGCAGAGGGACTGTGCAGTAGGGATGCTGGGGGAGGCGTCTCTCTGTCCTTCTGGCTGCCCTTTGGAGTCGACCCAGAGCCTGGAGACCCCCCTAGATTTTCCTCTCACACCCCACAAAGCCTGAGGGGCTGCTTGGGGCTCCCTCGTCGACACCGCTGGGATCCCCAGCAGAGAATGCCAGCTGGGGAGTGGGTCCCCTCTCTGCTCCCCGTGTCTCCCCAGTGCAGTGTATGGGGGGGTCCCCTCTCTGACCCCCGTGTCCCCCCCAGCTGCCCCCCAGCGGCGAGTGCCTGCGGGCCGCCATGCGCATGTCTTCCTGCCCTCTGTGCCGTGGGACCCCGGCCCTCAAACCCTGCAATGCCTTCTGCCTCAACGTCATGAAGGGCTGCCTGGCCCACCCGGCCGAGCTGGACCCCGAGTGGAACCGCTTCCTTGGTGAGACCCCGGGGCGCTGGGGGGTGGCACAGGATGCTGGGGGGGCGGCATGGGGCTAGAGGGCAAGGGTGCTGGGGGGGAGGGTGTGGAGGAGGGTGTCTCCGCAGGGGACTCTCCCCACCTGGGCTTTGCACCCCTACCAGCTTATGTGGGTCCCCCATGGGGCTGGCACTGGTTGGGAGATCCCACGGGGGATCTCTGGGAGGGGCTCCCCCTTCCCCATGGTGTAACTCAGCCTCCTGCCCCTCTCCCCCCCCATCCCCAGACGCTCTGATCCAGGTCGCCGAGCGGCTGGAGGGGCCCTTCAACATGGAGCTGGCTGCCGACTCCATCGGGGTGAAGATCTCGGAGGGGATCATGTACCTGCAGGAGAACGGGGTGCAGACCTCTGCCAAGGTTAGGGGCTCGCGCTGCCAGGGGGGGCGGGGGTGCTGCTGGAGGGATCTCACAACGCTGCGGGTGGGGGCTCTGCGAGGGGAAGCTACTAGCGTGGGGGCAGGGGCGCTGCTAAGGGGGAAGCTCGCAGAACCAGGTGGGGAGGGTCTGGCTGGCTCTGAGCTGGCCCCGCCCATCCCCATCTCCCCCCCTTTGCCCCTGCCCCCAGGTGTTTCAGGGCTGTGGGACCCCCCGCCCGGCCCCCGCCCGATCCCGCCGTGCCGCCCGGGATGACACCAAGCGTCGCTTTCGCACCTACCTGCCCGAGGAGAAACCCACCACAGCCGCAGGAACCAACCTGGATCGACTGGTACGGACCCCCCGAGGCCTCCCCCCCGCTGCTGCCCCCCGAGTCCCCTGTTGCCCCTGCCCCAATCTCCAGGGTCTGACGACACCCAAGCTTTGGAGCAGGCCTGTGGAGGAGCCCAGCAGCATGCCATATCCTCCCCAGAGCAGCCACCTGGCCTCTGTGAAGGAGCCTGGTGGCTCCTGCCCCCCCCACAAACTCTTCCCCACTGAGCCAGCCGCCTGGGAGAGCCTCTCCCCCTCTGCAGGGAGCCTGGCGCCCAGCACAGTGGGGGCCGTTGGTCGCCTGCACCTGCATGGGCAGCCGGCAGGGTGGCACGGAGGCGAGGAGGTGCCCCTCGGAAAGCAGCACTTCACCCCGACGCTCTTCCCTGGGCGCTGGGGCTGGGGCTGGGCCTGCCTGCCGAGAGGCGGGGGACGGTCTCCGTCCTCTGGGGCGCTGAGGGGGCAGATGGGACGTTCCCCTCCTCTCTGTGGGGTTCTCCGTCGAGACGGGGTCACCGGCACTCACCCCAAGAGCAGACTTAACCCTTTTACACCCGCGTGGAGCAGTGCCAAGCGCAGAGGGAAACTGAGGGGTGCACAGGCTTTGCAGGCATGTTTCAGAAAACTTCCCCCCATCACACCTTGGCCCCAGCCCTGCTCCCTGGAAAGACTGGTGTGGACCCCCTGGGGTGGGGTATAGCGGCTCACGTCCCCCAGCCAGCCCTGAGGAGCTGGCCCATGGGCGCTGATCCCATCTGCCGCCCCCTGCCCCCAGGTGACGGACGTGAAGGAGAAGCTGCGGCTGATGCGGGGGTTCTGGGTCACCCTGCCCCACACGCTCTGCAGCGACGGGAAGGTGGCGGCTGATGTGACAGACGAGGACAAGTGCTGGAACGGGCAGGCCCGGGGCAGGTGAGGGGGGCAGGCTCAGCTGGGCAAAATGGGGGGGATGGGGGACAGGGGGAGCTTCCCCAATAGCCAGCGCTCCTGCCCCATGGCGCCCCCTTCTCGGAGAGGCCAGGGCTTGGGATGCCAGGAGGACACCCCCCCACGCACACACATACATACACACATTGGGAGAGGCTGGGCTGGGGTACCCGGGCGCTCCCCCCAGCTGGTGCTCCACCCATCCCCCACCCGCCGTGGGGAGCGGCGCTGTCTCTGACCCCCTCTCCCTAGGTACCTCCCGGATGTGACGGGGGATGGGCTCGTGAATCAGATCAATAACCCGGAGGTGGAAGTGGACATCGGGCGGCCCGACCTGCTCACCCGCCAGCATGTCCTGCAGCTGCGGGTGGCCACCAGCCGCCTGCAGGGGGCCTACGGGGGCCAGGACCTCGACTTCCAGGACACCTGTGAGTCTGGGGGGTGGGTGGGGGCCCCCCGTGGGCTGGAGGGGGTGGGGGGGACCGCTCCCCTACTACAAGGCTGTGCGTTCCTTGGAGGGGCTCTGGCCCCCTGCCCACGTGGGTGATGGGGATGGGACCCGGGCGGCGAGTGCCTCGTCACCTGTTCTCCTGGGGTCCAGGGCTGGGGGGGTTGATCCCCATGCGTCCCCCACAAACACCCTCTCCAGGCCCTTGCAGCCCCCCCAGGGAGGCGTGGCTGGAGGGGCCCCCCATGTCTCTAACACCCTCCCCTTTGCTCTGGATGCAGACGAGGACGGCAGTGGCTCAGGAGGGGGCGAGCGGTACAGCGAGGACTGGCCGGCTGGAGGGGGCAGTGTCAGCAATTCGGGGTCCCGCCCCCCGGACTCCCGTTCGCCCCGCAAGGACCGGCCTGGCAAGGGCTCCAGGCAGAACCACCGCGTGGGGGGCAGCAGCAGCCGTGCCGCCTCCTGGGGGGGGCCCTGCCCTCCCCCTCCTGCTGCTCCCCACCCTGATGCTGCCTCTGCTGGGGCGGTAACTCCCCAGGCGCCTTGAATGTAGGGGGGGATCCCTCACTTGGGGTGCAGCTGGGGGGGACTTGCATCTTCCAGGGGCTCCCCCCGCCAGCCGGGGGAACTGGGGGGGGGGGGTTTGGGGATGGAGAGCGAGATGGGAAGTAGCATTAGGGGAGGAGGGATGGTGGGGGGTAGCAGGTGAGGTTTATCTAGCTCCCCAGGGGGAATTGCCAAGGGGAGGGAAGGGGGGCTAGGTTAGTTAGGCCCTGAGCCGGGGCTGAGCATGGACGAATGTACTGGGGGGGCAGGGTGTGGGCCCCACACAGAGCTTTTATTTTTTTACGTTGGTTTTTTTTTACAGGGTGTATTTATTTGGGGGGTTGTTTTTTAATGAGGCAACGGCCAGGTTAATTTTTTATAGGGTGGGTGGTGGGGGCAGGACTGATTTATTTCCTAGTCTCTTTCCAGAACACACATTTCCCCCCGCCCCCCGGCTCGCCCTGCCCCGGTGGCCCAGCTCTGAGCAGCCCCAGCGAGTCTCGGTCTCTCTCCCCCCGCCCCAGTATCCACCCTACAGCAGGGCAGGGAATGGGGTGGGAGCTCCTGGCTTCCTGCAGCAAGGAGTGGTCCTGCCCCACTCCCCGCAGCGCCCCTGCTGGGGGAGGCCGGGCCTGGAGAAGCCGGGCACTCCCCTCCGGCAGGGGGGCAGCATCCCCAGGGCTGCTGGGCGTGGGGCGACTTTCCCGGGCCTGGCACTAGGGGTTTTGTAGCACAATGTACAGTAGATGCCGATCTGGCTTTTTAAGGGAGCGAACCTTTTTTTAACGAGTTTGGACGACTTCTCCGTGTTGGTTTTGTCTTTTTTTATCACACAATAAAACATTTAATTTATTGACTCTCATTCTGGTAGGATATTATGCAGGGGTGGGGCGCAGGGGCCTGTTTTCACGGGGCCACAGCGCTGGGACGTGGCCCCTCTGGGGTGGGGCTTGGAGGCAGGGTACGGGGGAGCCCCTCGCCCACTGCTGGGACGTGGCCCCTCTGGGGTGGGGTGGGGTGTGGGGATGGGGTACAGGGGCACCCCTTGCCCAGCACTGAGATGCAGCCATCTCTGGGGTGGGGGAAGCTCCTGGGAGATGGGGGGGGGGGAGGAAAGCAGTCAGAGAAGGGGCGTGGCTTCTGATTTAGAACCCTGGTGGGGCGGGGTCTAATCTGCAAGGGGTGTAGCCAGGGGAGGGGGCGGGGCTTAGCTGACAAAGAACCCGGGCGGGGTCTAATCTGCAAGGGGTGGAGCCTGGGGAGGGGGGCGGGGCTTAGCTGACACAGAACCCTGGCAGGGGCGGGGTCTAATCTGCAAGGGGTGGAACCAGGGGAGAGGGTGGGGCTTAGCTGACACAGAACCCTGGCAGGGGCGGGTCTAATCTGCAAGGGGTGGAGCCAGGGGAGGGGGCGGGGTTTAGCTGACAAAGAACCCGGGCGGGGTCTAATCTGCAAGGGGTGGAGCCTGGGGAGGGGGCGGGGCTTAGCTGACACAGAACCCTGGCAGGGGCGGGGTCTAATCTGCAAGGGGTGGAACCAGGGGAGAGGGTGGGGCTTCTGGGGGCAGGGCTGGCTGGAGAGGGGGAGCTTCTCCCCCGAGGGTGGGGGGCGTCTCAGAGGCCGGCGGGGGCGTGGTCTCCGCTCAGGGGGCGGGGCGCGATGGGCGGGAGCGGGCTGGGAGGAGGCGGGGCTAGGCCACAGGGAAGGACGGCGTGGGAGGGGGCGGAGGGAGAGCGGTTCCGCGCCTGCGCAGTGTTGGCGCGCGGGCTCCTCGTGCTGGGCGTGGCCTGAGCGTTTCCCGCGCTGGGCCGAGGCTGAGGAGAACGCGGCCGTTAGAGCGGCGCGCGCGGCAGCGGCCAGGCGGGTGAAGGGAGCGCGAGGCTCCACCCCACGTGACTCCCCTCCCCTTATTCTAAGTGGGCGATAGAGGGGCGCGAGCCCCGCCCACACAGCTGCCGTTGGGGGCTCGAGACCCTTCCCCTCGCGTGACGCCCCCCCAACGGCCGTGAGGTGCAGGGCGGGGGTCTCAGTGAGGAGCAGCCCCGCCCCTGTGTTCTGGGGGGGCCGGGTCCCCTCAGTGCGTCCTGGGGGGGGGTGACTGCCCCATGGCGGGGCCCTGTGGGGGGAGGGGGTGACTCCCCTCAGTGTGTCCAGGGGGGGGTGACTGCCCCCTGGCGGGGCCCTGTGGGGGGAGGGGGTGACTCCCCTCAGTGTGTCCGGGGGGGGGGTGACTGCCCCATGGCGGGTCCCTGTGGGGGGAGGGGGTGACTCCCCTCAATGTGTCCTGGGGGGGGGTGACTGCCCCATGGGGGTCCCTGTGGGGGCGGGTCCCCTCAGTGTGTCCAGGGGGGGAGGGTGACTGCCCCATGGCGGGTCCCTGTGGGGGGTGGGTCTCCTCAGTGTGTCCTGGGGGGGGGTGACTGCCCCATGGCGGGTCCCTGTGGGGGGCGGGTCCCCTCAGTGTGTCCTGGGGGGGGTGACTGCCGCATGGTGGGTCCCTGTGGGGGGCGGGTCCCCTCAGTGTGTCCTGGGGGGGGGGTGACTGCCCCATGGCGGGTCCCTGTGGGGGGAGGGGGTGACTCCCCTCAATGTGTCCTGGGGGGGGGGTGACTGCCCCATGGCGGGTCCCTGTGGGGGGCGGGTCCCCTCAGTGTGTCCAGGGGGGGAGGGTGACTGCCCCATGGCGGTCCCTGTGGGGGGGTCCCCTCAGTGTGTCCTGGGGGGGGGTGACTGCCGCATGGCGGGTCCCTGTGGGGGGCGGGTCCCCTCAGTGTGTCCAGGGGGGGAGGGTGACTGCCCCATGGCGGTCCCTGTGGGGGGGTCCCCTCAGTGTGTCCTGGGGGGGTGACTGCCCCATGGCGGGTCCCTGTGGGGGGTGGGTCTCCTCAGTGTGTCCTGGGGGGGGTGACTGCCCCATGGTGGGTCCCTGTGGGGGGCGGGTCCCCTCAGTGTGTCCTGGGGGGGGTGACTGCCGCATGGTGGGTCCCTGTGGGGGGCGGGTCCCCTCAGTGTGTCCTGGGGGGGGGTGACTGCCCCATGGCGGGTCCCTGTGTGGGGGGCGGTTCCCCTCAGTGTGTCCTGGGGGGGAGGGTGACTGCCCCATGGCAGGTCCCCATGGGGGACGGGTCCCCTCAGTGTGTCCTGGGGTGTGTGTGACTGCCCCATGGTGAGTCCCTGTGGGGGGAGGGGGTGACTCCCCTCAGTGTGTCCGCGGGCCGAGTCCCAGTGTGGGGGTGACTCCCCCTGGGCGTGTCCCTGTGGGGGTGGCTGGCCTGGCTCAGGGCCAGTCTCCAGGGGGGTGTCTGTAGAGCAGGGGTAGGTGACTCTGCAGGTGGTTTCCCCTTGTTGGGCTTTGGGGGGGCCACGTTCTCCATCCCCGTTATCCTGTGCTGTGTTCTTCCCACAGGCTGCTCCCGGATCCAGGCCTCGCTCCCTCCCGCCATGTTACTGCGGAAATCCTCCCGCGTTCTTGACTCCCCAGGCAGCTCCAGTTCCTCCCTGGTGCAGCCGCAGGGCATGTGGGCCAGCTCCAGCTCCTCCGTGGCACAGGGGGATGCGGAGATGGGCTCCCTGCCAGCCTCCGGGGTGCCAGATGTCCCGTGAGTGGGGTGCAGAGCACGGTGCAGGCTGTCTGGGAGCAGGCGTGGGGGCAGCACTGGAGGACTGCTGGTGTGGGGACAGAGTTGGGGAAGGCTGGAGGGTGATGGGTCAGGCGTTAGCACTGGGTAATGGCATAGAGTGCACACTTACACAGCTTGCGGACGGTACCAAGCAGGTTGCAAGGGTTAGAATTCCAAATGAACAAACAGGAGAAATGGTCTGAAACAAACAGGGTGAAATTCACTCAGGACAAATGCAAATTTCTACCCCGAGGGACAAATACACAATGCACAAATACAAAATGGAAGTGTGAGTGCCGAGAGAGGAGCACTTGAGGCAGGCGTCTGGGGGTTGAGGTGGATCCCAAAATAAATGAGCAAAAATGTGCCCAAAAAGTGAACATCATTCTGGGTTGTGTTAGCAGGAGTGATCTAAGCATGACACGCTCCACTCAGCACTGATGAGGCCTAAACTGGAGTACTGTGTCCAGGTCTGGGCGCCATGCTTCAGGAAAGATGTGGACAGATTGGAGAAAGTCCCGAGGAGAGCAACAAAAACGATGAATGATCTAGAAAGCACAAGCTATAAGGAAAGATTGAAAATATGGGGTTTGTTTAGTCTGGAGAAGGGAAGACTGAGGGGGGGATGTGAAAACAGTTTTCAAATGCATAAAAGGGGGTTATAAAGAGGAGGGTTATGAATTGTTCTCCTTCAGTCCTGAGGACAGGACAACAAGCAAAGGGCTTAAACTGCAGCAAGGGAGGGTTAGGTAAAACATGAGGAAACCCTTCCTAGCTGTCCGGGTGGTTAAGCCTTGGAACAAATTGCCCAGGGAGGCTGTGGTATCTCCGGCATGGGAGGTTTTTAAGAGCAGGTTAGACAGACACTTGTCAGGGATCGTTTAGTTCAGTGGTTTTCAAACTTTTTAGGCTGCATACCCCTTTCCAAATAATCGAGTGTACCGCGTACCTCCATCTGAGAGAGGGTTATAATATACCTGTGAAAGCAGAAACAAAGGTTGGTAAGGGATAACACGGTGCATTGTCTGCCACCACAGGATTTTTCTCATGTACCCCCTGAAGAGAGCTCGTGTACCCCAGTTTGAAAACCACTGGTTTAGATAATACTTAGTTCTGCCTCACTGCAGGGGTCTGGACTAGTCTCGAGGTCCCTTCCAGTCCTACATGTCTGTCACTGGGGAGTCCTCAGACCACAGAGGTTGCTGGGGTGGTGTGGGCGTGCCAGATGGCATGGTGGGAGCCCTGGGGCTGTGAGGAGGGCAGCTGGGGGAGGGCAGTGAGGCCATGGGGGCTGTCTGCTCAGGACGTGTGCTCTGCCCACAGGGACCTGAGCAGCAGTGAGGATGGAGGTGGCTCCGACTCAGGCAGTGACTTTGAGGACACGCTCTGGAAGGGCGGCAAGCGGGGCAGTAGGACCCCTCTTAGCCACACCCTGGTATGCATGGCCCTTGCCTGTCTCCTCTCCAGTCTCCCAGCCCCCTGAGCCGCACACTGGTACACCTCCAGGCTCCCCAGCGTCCCCTCATGTGGACACCGTCAACCCCCCTTGAGCTTCAGCCTGGTCCTCTGTGCCCCCCTAGCCTCTCTTTGCCCCCACTCAGTCTGATCCCAGCTCTTCTGCTTCAGCCAGCTTTGTGCCATGGAGCTGATGGGATGCAGGTGCAGCAGAGCCCAGGAACTTCTGACTCTGGTCCCAGCTTCCCCCTGTTGTGGCCAGCCAGGGCAGGAACCCCAGCCTCACCTGGCTTTCGGGTCCCTGCAGCATGGGTTCAGTGTTGTCTCTCAGGCACACTTCTCATGAAGCTGTGATATACTCGAACACAGGGCTCAGGCTGTGTCTTTTCTCCTCCCTCATCTCCCCCAGACAGCCAAGCGACCCCGGAAAGATGCCAGCAGAGATGGGGGTAGCCTGGCTGAGAGAAACCAGGAGCCCAGCAACCTCTTTGAGGTAGTGAGGCTGGCTAAGAGTGCCATGGAGGTAATCACATCCTCTTCATCCCCCTGTTTCCACCCTCCCCATGTCACTGCACGGGAGTATCACTGGGACTCCTGGGTTCTCTCCCCAGCTCTGGGAGGGGAGTGGGGGCTGGGGGCTGGGAGCCAGGACTCCTAGGTTCTGTCCCTGGCTCTGGGAGGGGAGTGGGATCTAGTGGTCAGAGGGTGCAGGGAGTCAGGACTCCTGGGTTCTGTCCCCGGCTCTGCTGACTCACTGCTTGACTTTGGGTGCTCAGGCCCTATCTCT